AGTGGATGAGTGTGTATGTGTGCGAGAGTGTGTGTGCAGTGGGGGGATAAGTGTTCAAGTTACTACCGGTTCGCCTTTTCTGACAAAGAAAGAGACCTGATGAGGCTAATAGTCTTCTCGTCCAATATATCACATAGCTGTGAACTCTGTGACCTTTTTTGTCAATAGGAGAACTTTTTTCTCTGGGTTCTATGTGTGTGGGTGTGTGTGTGTGGGTGAGTGAGTGGGTGTGTGTGTGTGAAAGGGGGCGTGTGTGGGCATCCGTGTGTGTTGGCACAAGAGTGCACATGTGGAAGTTTGCATGTTCATCCATTGACATGTGTGCGTATGGGCAGAACTGTGAGAGTGTGCTTCATCTCAACAGGATTACATAACAGGACCAGAACAAGAACGTCCAAACGGGAGCCTGCGTGTAATTATGGTGCACCAATCCTACGCTGCTGAAAGTCTATTGGGGGCTGAGTCGGTATGCTCAGGATTTCACCAAACTGGATGTAAACAGTCACTGATTTACTTGGTTTTAGCCACAACGAAGTCCCAGTTTCAAATAAGAAATTAGGGCGGATGAAGGGTGGGTAATCCACGCATTTTGTCTAATCCTACATTGTTGCAGTCGCAAAACAAAAGATAAATAAAAAAGACTACAACTCTCTACGTTTCTACTTTACTGGAACAAATGATGATGCAATGAGTGGTTGTCTTACTTCCATCTGATGTTTCAATATTTTTCTACATGACTTCATGCAAAATTTTCATTAAAAGTACATTTCAATTGAAAAAATATGAACAATATAATCGCCAATAAATATCTTCCCTGACATATCTCCAAGTAACTCTTTCAATAACCTGATCTTGGAGAAAAAACAGATTATGGTTTACTTGATTCTTAAAGAGCAAGTCACACCCTACCAGATTCTTACTCAACTCCCACTTCCTGTTTGAAAAATGCAACAAAGGCTGTAGCCTAGCAGTCCGAGAGGGTGGAGCCGCTAACAAATACACACACTCACGACATTGTGACATCATAATTTACCATCTAACATCATAGTGTACCTCTTAGCCAGTAGCAATGGCAGATTTAAATTCAATTCAAATTAGGCAGAAAATTTAAATTTTAACTAAAATGCACCAAAGTGCCGAATTATTGACTATACTTGTCTACAGCACTGATTTATGTACTTTATCAGCAAAAAATGTTGATTTGGAGTGACTTGCTCTTTAAGCTAAGTGGGACCCATTTTTAAGCAGACTAAAGTTTGAAAATAACTCCAATCTCTCAAAATGCACAACAGGTCCTATAGAGCTCCGGACGTCACGTGACTCTCAGAGGGTAGATGCCATGTTGGCAGGCAAAAAAGGTAAACAAAATTAACGGGATCAGCTTGGGTTTTACTCCGTCGGAGTTTACTTCACACTTTAAAACCAAAGAAGTCGTTTTACATAGTCAGAAATTAAATAGACTAAACATCTCCGACCCTTACAAAATGCCAGAAGCTGCCGGAGCGGACCTTTTACCGGATTTGAGATACCCTGACATTTATAATTCCCTTGTTAATTTTCCCTTGTCCTACTCCGGAGCATTGCTAAGAGCATATAAAAGCCTGGAGGGATACAAATGGACTCAATCTGGGTTTGTTGTCAGTATCTAGATCTGAATTCTTCCTGCAAACGACAGCGCTGTTGTCACCGGGGGGGTAAGTGGAGATTTTTATTACCATTAGCAACAGCCCGTTGCAAGGTTATGTCTGTGTGATCTGACAATTGATCAACCAATGCTTAAAAATTAAATACAGCTTAGCCGGTTAATTGCTGTGATCATAAGACACGTAAACGGCAGCACGCAGAAATCACGAGGCAACATTTTACGTGACGTTTACTTGTTGCTATGAGTACTAAGATAGAAAAAGCCACTCCAAAATAAGTTTAGGAAGCCCACTAAGAATCATAATAAAAGCATTTAAAATAAATACCATATATAGTTGAGGAAACGTTTGTTTAAGTACCTGATGTGAAGTGGTTGCTGCATAAGCGAAAACCTTTACTCTCGGGATCCCACAGCTTCATTTTAACCTGGAGACTAGTTTCATTGCAATGATCCAACGTTTGCAGCGTTCCGGATCTTGGAGAATCCTGTAGATGGCTCTTCCCTTATCTCGTCCGCGTCTGTTCTGGCATCCTGGGGCACAACAGGAATCTACCATATTTTCTGTTTGATTGAGTTTTCTGACAATAACAAATAGCCTAGCTGTGGGCTACTGCCTGCCAAGATGGCGCCGTTCGATTTGAACTGTTGCATGCCGGGAGAAGTGACGTCGACTCCCGGAGCTCTATACACACCATTTTATAAACCTTTCATCCCTATCAGCTTTGTATAACAAGGATATTTAGACATTGTCTTTTTATTTTCAGGTGCTAACAGGAATAGCGGTAGCTAGCAATAGCATTTTCTTTGCAGACTGAGGCGATTACAGTTGGAGTATTGCATTTTTTTATTGCAGGAATAACCATGTTACACAAAACAGAGATGACATAAAGGTTTGTAAATTATGTTTGTACGCACCGACTACTTTTACAGACCTGCTTTGGTCTAGCTGTTAGCTTATCAGTCCATTCTGAACTCAAGTATCTCTAAACCGAGATAATTCAAAGAGCGATCTACAACAAAACTCTGCCTCAAATGAAACTGACCATCTCTTAATGTGTGCCGCTAATCAAAACACGCAAAAACAAAGAAACAAACTCAAGAATGGCATGAGAAAATGTTTTAGGCAGCCAATAATGATTTGTGTCAAAATCCGAAGCAGAGTGAGCACTAACACTTTGCAGATGCATCCATAGCAATCATCACAAACACAGCAGCTCATGTGTGGTTGTGAAAATCTGCAGTGGAAAAATTATAAATTGCTTTCAACCAAGTTGTTTTTAAAGCAACGTGCAGCACAGTTGTCCCAGCAGCACACTGTGGGAGGATGACTCAGTTCATAAAGTCCTGCACATGATGTGAACAGACTCACTTTTTCAAATTTGATTGTAATTACAGACCAGGAAGCAGAACCCTTTCAACCCCCACTCTGTCACCCACGTACCTTGAGTGAATACTAAGAAGCAACTCTGGCACAGGTCCAATTCAGAATGTGTTGTATGAACCCCCAAGGCTCATCAAAGGCAGTGTGCACAACCATGAAAGGGTGATTGGGTTTGAGGTGCGCTGGGAATAGTGTTTGAAGTTCTCCTTCTATCAGAGAGATGGAGTCAGGCATTTTTAATCCTGTGGGATCACCAAGGCCCCACAGGCAAGGAAGGGATGTGCGCTGGTTCACTCTGAACTCCTCCATGAGGATCGGAGGAAAAAGAAATAAAAAATTGGGAAGAATAGGCAGGGGGGTGGAAGGGGGCAGGGGGAGGTGAGGCGGAGAGTGGATGATCAAAACTGCAGCTGAGGTAAAAGAGCTGAGGCAAACAGAAGAGAAAGGAAGTGCTCAAAGATGATTGATTCAGCTGTATAATCTCCGTCATTAGCTTCTGCTGCTGGCATGGGGCCGTCAGGAACGCACAATTAGGAGGTGTCATGTGCACTGACAAGCTATCAAATCATCTCAGTGTGTGTGTGTGTGTGTGTGTGTGTGTGTGTGTGTGTGTGTGTGTGTGTGTGTGTGTGTGTGTGTGTGTGTGTGTGTGTGTGTGTGTGAAGAGGATATAGAAGGGGCTAGAATTACAAGCTTCTGTTTTCAAGATTTATCAAAACTCTTTTGCAAAATGTCATTATTTTATTTTTCATAACAGTCGCCGAAGAGAAGATATTTGTTTGAAATTTAAATAAATTAAAGATCCATAGAACAGGATATAGACTGACACCAAATGACATCTATTTCATGGTCTGTGCAAATGGTGAAGCGTTTCTAATTAGGAATTTCAGCACAAATAACAAACAACCTGCACCGACCTGAGGATACGATGCATCACATCAACCAAGTCCCAACCAACTCATCATCTATCATAAATAGATATAGATAGATAGATAGATAGATAGATAGATAGATAGATAGATAGATAGATAGATAGATAGATAGATAGACAGATAGACAGATAGACAGATAGACAGATAGATAGATAGATAGATAGATAGATAGATAGATAGATAGATAGATAGATAGATAGATAGATAGATAGATAGATAGATAGACAGATAGATAGGGTGCTTTGTCACCCAGTTGCAGAATATATAACATGTGTAAATGTTGTTGAACCATCTGATTTTCCAAGAAAAGGTCACACACTCCCCTCGACCCTGAGTGATTCTCAGTCTTTGTGTACTTGAGGTTTTAAAAAGAAGGGAAAAAGTGTGCCTATAAACTTCGCATTTAAAAGACAAGTGCGGCCGAGGGGGGCCGCTGCATGAGGGGAACAATGGCAGCTTTTTGGACACACTTTTTCTCACTGCGATGAACAGCAGGGAAACCGGTAGAACCTCCTATAAAAGAGCGATAGAGCACAGCTGCCAGGGTTCAACAGTAATTTCATAAAACGTCTCCAAGGGACCTGCCTGTGGATTTATGGGAAAGCATGAGAGGTTCAGCAAATTGTTGGGACGCAATAAGCGTCCAGAGGTGGGATCGTGACCTTTGGGGTTTTTATTGCTCACGTGTAAAATAAGATAGAAGAAAAAAATGCGACTTTATGATTAAAACGCACTTGACATTCAGGCCGTGCCTCTCCTCCGTGTCAAACACATGTCAACAAAGAAAAAGTTAGAACATGACAGCTGAACGCTCCATCTCCACGGGGGAGCTGTTTATTTATGTTTACCTCATGATTCTGGTCATTGATTTGCCAGATTAGAGCATAATCCTTGTTTTGACAGCTGTGTAACAACTGAGCGGAGTCGTTGGAGGCTTCAAAGACATTCTGAAACCATATCTTAATCTGGATTTTTTAAAGACCTGCTGCACGGGTCACCATGAACCGTTTCCCAATTACGCACGGGACGAGGGGCTACTTACGCTCAGAAGCCATAGTAATGACGGACTCCGTGGTGGCGTGGTACTCGTCCTCCTCCATGAACTCGTCCTGGGCCGAAGCATCACCCTGGAAGTCGTGATGGTCCAGCAGCTGCTGGAGCGGCGGCGCCTTGGGCAGCAGCTGATTGACTACCTCCCTGCTGATGTTGGGCGCCTGCTTCAGGCGAAGCTTGCTCAGGATCTGGGACTTTATGGTCTCCAGTCGCAGCACTTTACTCTGTTCTCTCCAAACACAGGCGGAGCACTCGAGGGAACCGGCGTCCTCGTCCATCAGAGACACCGCAGCATCCGTGGGCGTCTCGCTGGCAGGAGGCAGCAGCAGATTGGGCTCGTCGCTCCCTGACAGTCCCAGGAAGATGAGCACCACTAAGCACAATAAAAAGTTGTACCTCGACATGACGATGCGCAGAACCGGGACGGGAAACTTCACCCCCCCACCCCCCCTCCCCTCACTTCAATTTGTTTTGACTCGTTTTTATTCCGTTTTTATCCTTGTTTTCAGGTCTGAGCCGCTCCTTGTCTTAGTCTGCAAAAGAAATCGGACCATCTATTCCAAAAAGATCTACCCAGAGTAGATGTCAGCCATTATTATGATATTTTTTGCAGCTGGAGTTTTCTTTCTTCTTTTTTTGAAGAAAGTTTTTTAAAAAGTGCGTTCCAGTGTGCCTCGAAAAAAGCTCTTTGATTGAAAGGTGAATTATTTGCCAGATGAATGCATAGCCCGCGCACGTGGAAGTGAAATGGGTGTGTAGGGGTCCAATTTAGTCCGTGGAGGTGGTGTGTGTGTGAGTGTGTGTATGTGTGTGTGTGAGTGTGTGTGTGTGTGTGTTCAGAAGTGTCACTGAAAAAAATGTGCAAGTACGGTCAAAAAGGGGCTCTTTATATATCTCAGCTGCCCGGTGTCGTAATCCGTCTCCATTGGCTAAGATTACAACAAAAGGCTTTTAGGTCTGTCACCAAGTCAAGAGGAACACAGCAAGGGAGGGTGCGCGCGCTCTTATCAGAATGGACATGTTTTACAGTGTTATTAGAAATATTAATCAATTAACGTGGAATGACAGCTTGGTTAGATGTGCACTAAAACGGGGCTTATTCGTGCAAATCTTCTCAAACTCACGTCAGTTCATAAATGACATGTGAAACAATTGGCGCATTTTTAGCCGCTGTGCGTGCTGCATGTGCGTCACACATGCACGTTATTGTGAAGTTTTACACGCGTGTCAAATGAAAATATTCTCCAAAATAAGCCAAATTTGATAGAAAACTGAAACATTACAGACATTTTTAAATGAAAAAAGTTGTAAGGACACATTTGGATTAAAAAAATGATTGTATTATCTGAATGATCCGTTTCAATCTTTAAGGCCTATTTTCATGTGACTAATATATGTTTAGTGTTTAGCTTTTTTAGTGTTTGTGTACTTTTAAAGCTTACTCATTTGTTTGTGTGCGTGTGTGAATAAGTTATTTTTATCATATTAGGACAATTTAACTATTCCAGCATTTGCCTCACTAGTGACCCCTGCTGGACAAAATTGTAAACGCATCATTTTCAGTTAGACCAGCTTTTCTTGTTCTGCTCAGATTGATCCTGTACGAAACAATATCTTTCAAAAACCATTTTCAAGTATTAAAAATCAGTTCTAATACATTTTTACATGTTCCTGTGAACGCATGCTGTGACATCAGTATACATTTAGTCCGTGGAGGGTACATGTGCAGGTACAGATCTGCATGACATGAATGTGCATTCGTTGTGTCTGAATATTCATTTAAAACAAGACACTAACTCACTCATGTTTAGTGATTTATTGAGGAACTTCATGTAAAACTATCTGATATTTGGCAGCAACCCTGGGTAATGATTCACGTCGTCACGCAAAACTTGTCACACGCCTTTGTAATTGTATGAACTCATAAAGAAGTGAATTTGATTCGCGTATCTCGCTCACAGCGTCAGTTGGCGGAACGAGGGCAACATTTTTGGTCCCCCTGGTTTCCGTAGTTCACTGTTAGGGCGTCACTCGGTACCGCAGCAGCTGCTGCGTAGGAGCCAAGTACCAAACAACACTGCACTCGTAGGCGTCTCTTACATAAAAAAAATACTTCACATAACTCGCTGAAATGAATTCAGTGGACGGCAGTGGCTCACCGAGGAAACGCACAATTTCTCGGGGAATGAGTGAGGATGAGTCTCTCCTGAGCATTATAAAAGAGGTGAGCGGAGAAAAATCACGTGAGGCGGCGAAACGGTAAACACCGGAGCTAAAGCTAACTGTTACTGATGCAACATTTAAAACGAATAATGTTAAAAATGTATTTTTTATTTAGTTTTGTTTTTGTTAGTTTCAATCTTTATGTTTAAACAATTGAAATAATTTTGGTCTTCGGGTCTATGGCGTCACTTCTACTTCCCCATATTAGCTCACTTGCTAGCTTGTTGTGTTTTTGTTGTGATGTTAATTTGGACTCTGCGGTTTGTTTTGATCAGGCGGAGAGCTCATCCAGACGCCTGATCCGAAGCGAAAGCCGAACAGGATCTCTCCGGAAAAGGACTGACAGCCAGGTAAGAATAATCTGTACAAAATGGTGTAAACAATGCTTATCGTGATTTACTCCACCCAGTCTGACAGGGTTTATTATCACAGCGACATCATCCCAACATGTGCTTTAAAGCTCCGGCTACTTGTCATTTTGAGTAGTTTAATCAGTAAGTGATGAAATGAAAATAAATAAATAAACAAACCTTTAAATTTAAATTAAATTACATTTAAACCTGGTCTAAGCCATCTCACAATTATGAGTTGAAAAATATAATTATGAAGAGTTGAAAGCGCTCTTATTGGTGGGACACAAACTAATGATGTAATAATCATTTTATAAATTATTTATATTTTATATGCGATCCTTAATCTTAATTTAAAACAGTAATGCAATCAATAATTTCAACTGAAAAAAAGTGTGATGGGATAAAAAATAGACAGAAAATATGAAAAACAATCTAGGGCTGCAGCTATCGAATCATCGATCGATTAATCGAGTAATCTATTTTATGACGTTTCAAGTGAATTGAGACTGTGGTCTGCTGCTAAAACCATTAAAAAAACAAGAAAATGATAAAGGGATCAACAACATGTATTAAAATGATGCTGTCTTGTTCCCTGATATTTACAGTTAAATATTTTCTGGAACAAAATTTGACTTACATTTCATTAAAATTTTAGGTTTAATATTACTCATCCGAGTCTAAACATATCTAAATATATTCAAATATTATCAGTAGAATTTAATTATTGCAGTAACATGTAAGCTACTGGAAATTATAATAATATTTATTATCTACTAGAAACAATGTAATGGTGGCATATCTATTTTATTATGTACAGGTTGGCAACATAAACAGTTGGCAGTTTTCTTTAACATGCATTTGTTTTCTTCCAGCAGTCTGACCAGGACCTCCTCATGGGACTTCCAGATATGGTAACTGGTATTCTTGCTATCATCTATTTAAATAGCAGTTATTTAGGGTATCATTCTGATTCAGGTCCAAGATTGAATCACTGTGTTTCAGAATATTTCCTTACATATGTGCGTTCACACGGGGCCTCCCACCCACGGTCGCCTCTGAGTGAGTGCTCCCTCTTCCATTTTTCTGATAATTAATTCATGTGTGTAGCTGGAGCTGCAGGCCAGCTATGATGAGGTGGTGCAGGAGCTGCGTGGGCTGGAGGTGCAGAGAGAGGCTCTGTTGTTCCAGGTGGATGTCCTGCAGGACTCTCTGGAGGGTGTAGAGGAGCTGCTGGCTGAAGCCCAGAGGGAAGCTGGACAGGCTGGTTTGGTATGTGGACTCCTCACCAACATTAGAAAGACACTTTCCATCTGAGCCCTCCGCCTGTTTGTGAAGTTGTGTTTTCTGATGGTGCAGAAAAAAGTCACAATGTTTATTTGTAGGCGCTGGAGCAAGAGAGAGAGGCCAGGAGGAAAATGGAGAGGCTGGTGAGCTCCCTGATGCAGGAAGTGGAGAGATTAAAAGAGGTAAAGAAAATGGAACTGAAAGTAGAACTTGATATAAAAATCACAGATGTTCTGTGTTTGTATTTAAATGGACTGCATGGTGGCGCAGTTGTTAGCATTGTTGCCTCGCAGCACGAAGGTTGCAGGTTCGAAACTCGGCTGCGGCCTTTCTGCGTGGAGTTGCGTGTTCTCCCCATGCATGCGTGGGTTTCCTCCGGGTACTCCGGTTTCCTCCACAGATCACAACATGCACAACAGGTTATAAATTGTAAGTCGCTTTGGATAAAAGCGTCCGCTAAATGAATAAACATAAATGATTCATTATTCAAACCTGAGCCTTTTCTGTTTGTTTATAGTAGTTTTTAAAAGCCTCATAGGTCAAAATAAAAGAAGCGTGATGATGTTTACTTATGGCACAATTTCCCTCTGGATTTTACTGCAAAGCGGTCAGTAAAATAAAGTATCGCACAAAGAAAGATTGCTGTTAAGAGAAGTACAATTCCGCTTTAGCATCTGAGGAAATCATAAATTGTGCTGAAGCTGCTTTTTAAACCACCCACTTCCATAAACGGGTTAATTTTTTACTTGCTGTGATTTACTGTAATGTTACTTAAATCTCTCATAGCCTGCAGCTCATCTGATCACCTTAAAGAAGTATTAAGCTTAAAAAAACTGTTTTTAATCATAAATATCTGTGATTATAGAAAAAGCAACTTACTTCTGATCAATCAGAAAACCTCAGCTGAGTCCAGACATCAGGATATGTATAGAAAGGAACCGTGTTTGGGTTTATCTCCAGTGTCTGAACAGCTTATTTAACACTTAATACATTTATGTGCTACTCAATTACTCAGTTTCAAGAAGGTTTAGTCTGAGTTGAGCTTACATTTGAGTTTCCTGTTAGTAAATAAAATGTAATTTAGTTTGATTTAGTTCAATAAACTTAAAAAATAGAACCAAGGTTGAAAAAGTGACATTTTAAATCCTTAAAACTATATAAATGTTTTTAAAAAATGTATATATATGTGTGCGTGTGTGTATGTATAGACGTGTGTGTGTTTGGATTATTAAAGTCATCAACAGTTGTTTTTTTTTTTTTCTTTACAGGAAAGACACAACAAAGCTCCGGTGACCATCATGAATGAACTGCCGTTAAACGTCCCCTCAGAAGTGAATAAAGACCTGCAGAAAGAGGAGAAGGACTCCACGCTACATGGACCTCATGGACAGGACGTTTTAGATGGAGGACCGGCTCGAGAAGGTGAAGGAGGCGTCATGATGAAGCTGAAGAGGATGGTCAGTCAGCCTTTAGGCCAGATGCCTTCTCTTTCACTGAACAACATGGTCTCCATCGATGGAGTCCTTCGGAGGCCGTATCAAAACCACGCCTCAGAGGATGGGCGGGATCTTTCTCCAGACAGGAACGACTCTGAGAAAAGTGCCTATGAGGATGCCTCAGCTGAAACTCCCGAGCAGGACAAGCTGTTTCCAGGTGATGAAGAGCTGCCTCATGATGTAGAGAACAAAGAGAAGGGTCCTGACAACGGCCAAACCCTGGAGCTCAACAACACTGATGCCTGCATTTTGTCTTAATTTTTTAAGATTAGCGACATTTATTAGCTATTTGGTACAAATCGGGATCTTTTTGGTTTAGCCCTTTATATTACACCTTCTTTGTTTTAGCCACTTTGAGCTGAGCAGCAAACCAGCTGGTTTCAGCTTCTCAGTGGTGGACTTTTGCCTTTTTAACAAAGTTGTTGGGAAATCTTTTTAGATCTGCACTGAAGCCTGTCGAAGTTATCTTCAGGAAAAGTAAAAAGGTTCTTTTTTTTATCTTTTTCTAACTGAATATTTGCTGTTCAAATCCCCAACAAAAAGATCAGGTTTGAGAGGGTTTTATTTTCTTAACGTTTTACTTTTTTCTACTTAGTTGCCAAACATTTTCTTAAAAGTCTGTCTTAAAATTTCATTATTTTTTTACATGAGGATAATTAGGGGTGGGTTTTGGGCTTTTTCTTTGGCACAATGCTAATCAGGATTTATCTGTATACAAAACACCTTCAGTTTTGTATCCACGTTATTGCTTGATTTGAAAACCTAGACTGAAACACAGATTAGTTCATTTGCAGAAGGTTCAAGTCATATTTACATAGTTTTTTACTGGATTTCATAACTTTCTCCCTTTTATCCGAAATACAGTTTTTCTAGATTTGCTTTTAATTTGATGGGACTTTTTTTTTTTTTGGCACTTTTTGAAGCGGTTTAACATGTCTAATACATCAGCAACAACATTCCTTCTCCAAACAAACGCGTCAGACAGGAACAATAACTGACTCGTTGCACATTAAACACACACTGTTTTGCACATTTTTAGATGAAACTTGCTGAAATGAGTCACTTTGGTCTGATTGCTGTAAACCTTTTGTATTTTCACACATTTTTCTGTAAACTTTCACCTTATTTGTGACTTATTTAGCATGACATATTTTGTTATATACTTGGAACTTTGCACGCTTATAAAATATCATATTTATTCCAGAAAACTGACTTTTGAAGGGATTTAGATCAGGTTCATGTTGTTTTTTATACACTGTTTCTTATTTCCAGGGAAACAAAAATAGTTTTAGTTCTGAACATATCAAGCAAGAATAAATGCTTGGTAAATGCTTCTATTATAGAAATGCTGAAACATAAATATATACATATATATATAAACATGAATATCTGTAGAGCATTAGCTGTTTCTGTCATGGTAAAAGCAGCACGTTTGTATCTCGTCTCTGACATTCCTGATTTGCCTGGTGCTGGTTTTCACTTGATTGTTTACCGTATTTTGCTGCCAAGATGCACTAAATATCCGCTCAAATGCCTTGTTGGCGTTTTTCCTTCACAAAAAGACTGTAGTGCTGTTATACTGAGCTGTAGTCGGTTTATAAACAAACTTTTTATCATGAAACAAATGATCTGTTGTTGGATGTAGATCCGGTCAAAGGGATTTTGTTTATCAAGTTCATAAAATCCCTTAAATGTTGAGGAATCAGATGTTTGGGTTTTACTTTTGTCCTTTATTCTGATTCGATGCCTTTTGTTGGTTTTTGGTCTTTTTTTCTAAGCTTTGAAATGTTCAGCTGTAAAGGTAAAGATGATTTTTAATCCAAATAAAAAGATGAATAATGATTTATTATTTGTGTTTGCTTATTTCCACACTCAGAGGAGCAGTTTAAATAGAGGAAATTATTTCACAACCAATTTAATGATGTTCAAGGGTGAAAAACAGAAAATAGCGAAGATGCAAGTTAGCTGTGACTTGAGATTATAGAAAACAGATTAAAATCCCTGAAAGCTGTCTTTGGTTGTTACGTTTTTCCAACAGGTGGCAAACTGTTAAATATAATCAGTGATTTCTGACATCCCCTCTGTGCAGAATAACTGCCCATGTTTCATTTACAAGTTTTAATGTTTTATTTTTATCTTCTAAAGCTGATTGTACATAATTGCAAAACCAACAAAGCTGTATTAATTTTGCACAAACAAAGCAATATGACAATAAACATTAGTAAACAAATCTGAGGTATTTGGCTGCAGAAAGCAAATCAGTAGAATGCAGAAGGAGATTTGACTGCAACAGCTGGTTTGTGATGAGCATCAGAACAGCCCTTTCTCTTTCTTCAGCTTGGCCTGTTTCCACTGCGGCATCTTCTCAAAGTCCTCTTTGGTGACGCTGAAAAGGCTGAGAAAGTCGGCTTCACTCAGGTGTTTCTGAAAAACAGGTTAGAGACTGAAAATCAAAGAGGGAAGAGCGTTTTGTAAACTTACAGCTGGATGTTATACATGAAACTAAAGAAATGTAGTAAAGGCTGATTTTCTTTTTTAAAAGAATCACAAATAAAATGTTTTGATCATTCTATGAAACATCATTCAGAGTGTTCAGAGGCCCACAGAAGATGTTTAGGAGTAATTATGAGATGATTTCCCCCATACATTTTCCATATGACAATATTTTATTATTCCAGAAGCAGCACACACCTCTCTCTCGCTGGGGTTGACTCCTTGAGGAAGCTCGTTGGCTTTCTTGTTCTGCAGAAGGTCGAGTGAAAACGACTGAAAGACCTTTTCCTTCTCTGGGTTTTTTTCCTCCTGGGAAAAAAAAAAGACAGAAACATTTATTCTGTGGATTAATAATAGAATTTACCACACGACTGTTGCTTCCTGAACTATAACGTTTTAGAAAACAGGAAGAGTAGAAAACTGTTCTCACTCTTATTTCTCGTCATCGTATCACAAGTCTTGCTTCTGAAAATCCCATAAAGGCAACAGAGCTAACGTTCGTCATGATTTGCTATTGTTGAGCGCGCGCGCGCGCGCGCGCGTGTGTGTGTGTGTGTGTGTGTGTGTGTGTGTGTGTGTGTCTGTTTTTTCAGCTCACTTATCTGTACTTCATTTATCACCCAGCAGCTTATTGTCCACTATTCTCTCTCCCAGTGTTTATAGTCCATGGTTTCTTTCTTTTTTTTCTTCCATAGTCAGATGATCCTGTCGCCCTGTGTAGAGGTACTCTGGTTCTTGTTCTCTGAGGTATTTGAAGCTTAGATGTTTCTTCATTTTAAGGGGCATTTTCCTCTCAGGATCATTCCAAGTGCAGAAAACCCATAAAGATGCAAAATGCAGAGACTCCATTTGAAAAGCTGAAGAAATAACATACCACATGAACAATAACGGGCGCTGCAAGATCTTCCAGCTCCTCCTTCAGTGTTTCATAGCTTTTTCCTCCCTGAAATGCAGAAATGTTTTATCTATATTACATTTTATTTTTGGGATATTGAAGCAGTTCTGTTTACATTTAAAAATTCTGAAACTCACACTCCATTTTGTGGGATCCCAGGCTGTAAACCAGCCAGTAAAGGTGGGGGGTTCAAATCCTTGCTTGATCAGGACGATGGGAGTGTCTGGGTCTCTGTCTCCTGGGTGGGTGATCAGGTACTCCCGACTTGTGGTCACTGCTTCTTTACGCTCCTGCTCATTAGCCTCTTTACCAATCCAAAGAAACAGCTGAGACAACAATAATTAAAAAAAAAAACATTTAATGGTGGGGCGGAAGATGTTTCTCTGCAGGATTTTTTGTAATATTGCTTGGAATTTTTTTCACTTACACATGGAAACCAATATAATACATTTTGTCAAGAAAAATCACAATTTTAATAACCTCTGAAATAGAATAGAATAGAATAGGCTTTATTAATCCCACAGTGAGGAAATTCACTTGCAACTTTTTTCATATTTTCAAATAATTTTCTAATTTGCTAAAATGATCCTTTGCATAGTTAAATAAATGTCAATCAGATCCCACCTCCCCCCATGGCCAGAATATCACACTTGCAACTTCAGAGTTGCTGGTCAGATCCGTGCTGGAGGGGAGGAGTTGTAGAGTGGAGTGGAGTTGACATGGTGGAGCTGCAGTCTGCTTCCAGCACGTTTCATGCATGTTTTAGATCATGAACACAGCTGATTTGTTTGGTTTAGTGATGAACCACTCCTCTAGAAACTAATGAAGGCTGAGGAGACATTTCAGCTGTTAGATTAAGGTGTTAAAAAGACGAACGCACAGCGAGGAGATAAGTTTAATTTCTGTCTGGTATAACCACAGTGAATTAATATCACACTAGGGGGTACTACAAGCAAGCTAAACTGCCTAGTATCCCTTTAAAGCAGCACATACACTTAGAGTAATAGGTATAAATAATACAGGTAAATACACAAAGGCATTAGGCTATTACTGTGTTACCTTCAGCACTCCAGAAATAGACTAAAAATAGAGTTTCTAAGAAGAAACTGCAAAAAGACACAGACATATAAGTGCATCTGGGTATTACACAGGTATTTCACATGCACTGAAAACAGCAGTGATGGAGTGTGTATCAGGATAATTACAGTAGCATTAAGCTGTGGATTTATACAATCTTACTGCAGTGGGAAGGAATGATCTACGGTAGAGCTCTTTTTTACATCTTGGGTGTCACAATCTACCGGTAAAGGAAATGTGTAATCCAGGTAAAACCTCGTCCAGTCATTGTGAATGTCTCATTCCTAATAATTGGACCATAATCCATCCGTCACACTGCTGCCCTGACTTACCCCTACTTCACACCGGAAGCATCAGTGGAGCGGAGCGGCAGCAGAAAAACCACGGAGACTGGCTTTCAACTTCCAAATATTAACAAAGAAGTAGAGGAAGACGAAGAAGAGACGCCTTAGCCTTTTAACTTGTAGCACAATGTTAAACATTTAGAGCCTAAGTTAAGACTATTTTATTTGTGGCAATGTTCTCAGCTAAATGGTGTCAAGTCCCGATAACTCCCATTTGTGTTCCAAAATGTGGATTCTGGTTTGTGGTAGTCGGTTTTCTGTTCACTGTTCGCTGATCGTTTTAGAGCAGCTGAGTACACCTCGTGGAGATTTTTCATTATGAAGAGCAGGAAAATGATGAAATGGGGCGTCAGAGATTTGTAAACACTCTCCAGCAGGCAAAACCAGCCCAAGTCAGGCAGCAATCAGCTCAGTGTGATGTTTGGACATTGGATTACTTGAACCGAATGGAATTTTTTTTCACAATAACAGATTTTCATGACCATAAACGAGCAAAGATAAGACTTAATTTACACTTTTGTATTCATGAAATTAGCTTTGTTTTGCTGCTGTGTTGCTCCAAGAGTTTTGCAGGTAGAGTAATGGTGCTTGTATTGTTGTAAAGAGGAGAGTCTGGGCTTTAATTTAAACAGCTGCTTCTGTGGATAGGATCATATTGCATTGTCGTTATGTGTATTTATTTAGCTTTTTTCTGCCTTTTGACTTAGCGGCTTATTGTCATTGGGTATTGTTGAGGTCTCTAGTTCCATATGCACATATGTAGTTACACACACACACACACACACACACACACACACACACACACACACACACACACACAGATCTCCAGTTACACATGCACAAATCTAGTTGCACACACAGATGTTTTTTTAGTCTGATTACTCTCATTAGAATTGTGATTTTCCGTGTTCTGGAGGTGTGACTAAGGGTATGTTTAAAAAGTAGCTGTCTCCAACATCTGTTTCAGGAACTCCAACTCTACCTTTAAGCTGACACAAAGAATTGATATTTGTTTGTTAGTATGCTTTGTCCTACCTGATCCCACGTATCCAACAGCATGACATCATCCTCACACAGGTCGTCCTGTGTGAACTGAGTTATCTCAGATACAATGAAACGGCCCGTCTTATTGGAGCATTCAAACAGGCGCGGCGCATGGTCAAAAACCACCTGCTGTAGTCTGCAGAAAACAACACTAGCTTGTATGAAGGTGCCAACAAATGTGCTTTCTTTACTAATGACTTAGTAGCTAATGTGAATATAATCATCACTACCTCTTTTCACTTGCATAGGGAGCTTTTCCTCCAAGAAACTCCCAGAATTCAAAAGGCTCCTGACCCTCTGCCACAATCTCCTCAAAAGTTCTCTGTGAGCCTTTACCAATCACAGCGCTCACCTCTTTGGCCATGGCTCTCTCATCCCCGCTTGATCCCTAAAGAAGAAGAAAGCAATCAGTCTGAAATAGTGAAATCTGATGATACTAGTTTAGGCTGGATGCCAGTGCAAAAGTTTTAAATGACCTTTCTTTCTTTCCCAAGGAGTCAGGCTTACTTTTCATCTCTCACTAGTTGTTTTTGTTTGTACTTGAACTTTTTTTTCATTAATTGGTTTAAAAAAATACATTTATACATGGTGTTGTTTTTTCCCCTCGGTTCCTGTCGTTTTAGCTGAACATATTTTACAGTGCAAAATATAGAGAAATTTCTAAATTTACAACCTCCTTGTTTCCTGGTTATTATTATTTGTTCATGTTAGTTCATATGCTGGAAAGCTATTGAACGTGTGAACATTGCTTTATTATTTATTGTTTTAATGTATTTTCTGCACAGCACTTTGTTCCTGTGCTGGGTGTTTTAAAGTGCTTTATAAATAAATGAACTGAACTGAACTGAACTGCTTTTTCCCCTGTACCATTTTAGTCTTACTCTTTATTCTTATTTTTTATCTTAGATCTGTTGATATTACTCATGGAAATACTTTTTTAGGCAAGGCAATGCCGCTTTATTTGTATGGCACATTTCAAACACAAAGGCAATTCAACGTGCTTTACTGAAGCAAAAACAGCAAACACAAATAAATTAAATGAAGAATATTCATTTCAGATTTAACAAACAGATTAAAGGCATAGTAGAAGGGTAGCAGTTACAGTGCAGAAAGTGCAGCATAACAAACATTTATTCAAAGGCTGATTAATGAGTGAAGGTTTTTAATTCTGATTTAAAAGTTTCTATAGTTGGGGCACATTTGAGGTCATGAGGAAGCTGATTCCATCTGTGTGCAGCGCAGTAGCTAAGCTGATTGGTTCTGACCCGAGGTTCCACCAGCTGACTGTTTCCTAAGGATCTGAGAGCCCTGTTGGGTGTGTATATAATGGAAGGAGATCCAACATGTACGTTGGCCCCATGCCACTGAGGGAACTAGTAGAAGCACTTTGAAGTCGATTCTGTAGTTTACTGGTAACCAGTGCAGAGATTTAAGAACAGGAGTGATGTGCTCGGTTCTCTTGGTTCTTGTTAAGACTCTAGCAGCAGCATTCTGAATAAGCTGCATTTGTTTTACAGCTGTTTTAGGAAGACCAGAGACCAGTTCTCTAGGTCTTGTTTTGACATAAGACCTCTGAGTCTTGCTAATTGATGGAGATGATTAAACACTGATTTAGTTCATGTGACCAGTGAAGCTCAGGTCTGAATCAATGGTAACACCAAGATTTCTAACCTGAGTCTTTGTCTTGATTCCTTTGGAGCTAAGTTGAGAAATAACTTCCATCCTATTCTTCTTATTTCCTAAGACAATAACTTCAGTCTTGGCTTTGTTTAAGTGGAGGAAACTTGATTGCATCCAGTCATTAACTTACTTTAGGCACTGACAGAGCAAGTCTAAGGGACCAGATTCATTTGGTGATAGAGCTAAGTAGATCTTGGTGTCATCATAACTGTGATAGGCAATGTTGTTATTGTTTATGACCTGGCCCAGTGGGAGCACGTAGAGATTGAAAAGCAGTTGTCCAAGTATCAAGCCTTGGGGGACACCGCATGTCATGGTAATTTGCTTTGATCTGTGTTCACCAGTGGAAACAACGTAACTCCTGTTTGCGAGGTATGATTGAAACCAATTATGGACTGTGCCTGAAAGTCCCACCCAGTTCATTAGTCTATCAAAAAGGATGTTGTGGTCAGACCATTTGTTGCAATGAATTTAATTTTGAATTTAATTTTACATTTTAGTTAATGAATTCATTAATTGTGTGTATTAAGGACCTCTGCCCTGACCTGGAGTTAGTAATCCACCCTTTTCTAGTCAAGGACCATGGCCATGGATTTGCCAGATTAAAAATAGACACCAGGTAAAATCTCAGGTCCTTAATGAAAAAACATGAAAACATAATAAATGATACATTTACGGTATTAGAAACGGTTTCTTTTACCTTTCCACACCACAGAAAAATCCCTAAATTGCTGCTCAATAGGAACACATCATTGGAGTTCAGAGAGGAGGCCAGGGCTGGAACCTCGATGGTTTTTGTGTTGAATGAGTCAAAACCGTGAACCTGGAACAGCCTAACTGGAGGCTCTGGCTCAGAAGACCCTTTTCTAGAGGTCCCCCCCTAATGGAGAAAGAGCCAAAGATGTGTCTTTTAGATAGATATAAACCGTTTTGAATAAATAATTAGAATTGTAGTTTCAGTCTCACTTCAAAGATGACCATTTTTCCCTTGAACATCGCCATGAAGTGCCTCGGCTCCTTGCCCATCGTTACTCTGACTTGAACCGGCTCATCGTTGTACTTCTGATCCAAATTGACAGCCTGGAAGGCCGAGGCTGCCAGTTCATCCTGTGTAGCGTGACGCCCCTGTAACGGCGAGCACACCCATGTCAATACTGTGACTTTATGATTCACAGATCATCAAACATCCAGAGTGCTCTTCCTCACCTGCCAGATGTAGAGCAGGTAGCACTTCTTACTGTTCACCAGATATGTGTAGAGGATGAGGTAGCAGTCTCCTCCGTAGAAATACCCGTATGTCTTTGGGTCCACTGGGACCAGCTCCAGATCCTCAATCCGCCACACCTGGATGAATCAAAGACAAATGTATTCCAGATTATCTGTGATGTAAAGATGGCTGCAGTGAAAAGCTTCAAACTTTTTATTCCCCAAAAGGCTAAATGGTGTAATTACAGTTAGCAAAAAAAGCCCAGAAACGCCTGCATCAGCACGGACAGGTCTGCTACTACAGATTTCCTGATATTTGGACACACTGCCTCTGATTGGATAACAGCAATGCAACTCTACCACCGACTCTGTTTGCTCTGCGACGCTGATGTTTTATCGCCACAAATAACACAAGCTTGGAGGAGCTTCTGCTATGTGGTTGAGTTGATAATGCTAACAGTTAGCTTCTGTTAGCTGAGACGTTCTCTGCTGATTCTGGATGCTAAAACAACAACAGCCCTCTCCATCATGAGTATAGGTGAATCCAAGCAACCGCTTGACGTGGATCTGTCAGGCTTTTCAGATCCTAGAGTTTCACCATCTATTATCTATCAGAAGCTAACGCAGGAGATAGGTGTAGGAGACTATTTTTATATTCAGCCTATTGTTATACTGTCAGAAGCAATCGTTAAAATTTTTTTCTCAGTGTTCCTTTAAAGAAAATCCACAAATGCACTAGGGGTTTCCAACTCAAACAGGACATGTACCTCCACTTCGCCCGTCCCGTTGTCCACCATCCTTTCCTGTGCAGCAACTTCTGGCATGGTGTGCATCAGCGTAGCATCAAATTTCTCCTGAGTGATGTGAGCTTAAACAAATATGACATTAAAATCACACCGCTATGAAAAGGCACAGTTATGTTTCTGTTTTTATCTTTTGGAGTTGTCTTGTGCTGTGGAGGTTCCCTCTCACCAACTTTTCCCTTGGTGTTCACTTTCCCAAGACCTTTAGTCTGATCTTTCACAGTCCACCTCTGGAAGAGCTGCTGGAAGAGAGCAGACTCTGCTCCGTCGTTCACTACTTCCACGTTGGTGGTGATCGGGTAGTTTTTAGCTTTGATGAAGTCCTGTAAAAAACAGCCGGTCACAACAGTGGAATTAAATAAGAGCTGGATCAATTAGGGAAAAGAAAAAGATGTTGTGTTGCTCACCAAAGCTCTGGACATGGCGGCCTGTCTTTCAGCTTTATTGGCTTTCTTCCCTTTCCAAACAAAAATCTTTGCCCCTCCTTGATCCAGGATGTAGCAGTCCTAAAAGGAGATGTCACCATCAACGCATGTCCTAGTTTGGTGAATCGATCATTGGATCATGACACTTTATAGTGATGCATTGACTCACATCGTGATTGAGCAGATCTTGAACCAGAGGCCGGGTGGCAACCTCTGTGACCGTCATCTGACCATCCTCATCAGACACACTGAAACCAAAAGACACAATCGTGTAAACAAAGCTGAACAGGGATCGGTCCTCACTCAGAATAAATATATCTGAAACAGGAAGGAGCTCACCAGTAAAGAGTGAGGTTTGCCTTTGTTTCCTGGTCCACTACTTCATCCGGCTGACCATCTGTGAGCTCACAGGATCGCTCACCGAGAACGCTGTTCATGACCTGCATGTTCTGAGAACAGCTGCCCTCTGCATCGCCCTCAATCACTCTGACATCCACCCGACCTCCTCGCTCTCTGTCCCGGATGTCTTTGGCCAGCAGCATGCCCTGAGGGAGACATACAGGTATGGTTAAAGAAAGGAATTAAAGTTGTTGTCATTGTTCAAAATATCTCATGATTCAAGAAACCCTAAGCACATATTTCAACTCTCTACATGGTGAAAACTCACTGTGCTTCACCTAAAGGGGCCATATCATAAAAAATCCACTTTTTGGAGCTGTTTACCATTTATATTGTTATTTCACCATGAAAAAACACCCATCCATCCATCCATCCATTTTTATCTGCTTATCCGGAGTCGGATCGCGGGGGCAGTAGCCTAAGGCGAGAGACCCAGACTTCCCTCTCCCCAGCCACTTGGGCCAGCTCCTCCGGGGGAATCTCAAGGCGTTCCCTGGCCAGGTGAGAGACATAGTCCCTCCAACGTGTCCTGGGTCTACCTTTAGGTCTTCTCCCGGTTGGACGTGCCTGGAAAACCTCACCAGGGAGGCGTCCAGGAGGCATCCTGACCAGATGCCCGAGCCACCTCAACTGGCTCCTCTCGATGTGGAGGAGCAGCGGGTCTACTCCGAGCCTCTCCCGAATGACCGAGCTTCTCACCCTATCTCTAAGGGAAAGCCCAGCCACTCTTCGGAGAAAACTTATTTCGGCCGCTTGTATGCGCGATCTCATTCTTTTGGTCACTACCCAAAGCTCATGACCATAGGCGAGGGTAGGAACGTAGATCGACCGGTAAATCTAGAGCGTCGCCTTCTGGCACAACACTCGCATCACTGCAGATGCAACACCAATCCGCCTATCGATCTCATGCTCCAGTTTTCCCTCACTCGTGAACAAGACCCCGAGATACTTAAACTCCTCCAAATGGGGCAGGACCTCATCCCTGACCCGTAGAAGACATTCTACCCTTTTCAGAATCAAGACCATGGTCTCAGATTTAGAGGAGCTGATTCTCATCCCAACTGCTTCACACTCAGCTGCGAACCGCTCCAGCGAAAGCTGAAGATCACGTTCTGATGAAGCCAACAGGACCACATCATCTGCAAAAAGCAGAGACCTGATCCTCAGGCCACCAAAACAGATGCCCTCCACACCTTGGCTGTGCCTACAAATCCTGTCCATAAAGGTTATGAACAGAATCGGTGACAAAGGGCAGCCTTGGCGGAGTCCAATTCTCACTGGGAACGAGCCTGACTTACTGCCAGCAATGCGGACCAAGCTCTGACACCGGTCATACAGGGACCTAACAGCCCATATCAGAGGGCCTTGTACCCCATACTCCCGGAGTACCCCCCCCCACAGGGCCCCCCGAGGGACGCAGTCAAATGCCTTCTCCAAATCCACAAAACACATGTAGACTGGTTGGGCAAATTCCCACGCACCCTCCAGTATCCCCCTAAGGGTATAGAGCTGGTCCAGTGTTCCACGGCCAGGATGAAAACCACATTGTTCCTCCTGAATCTGAGGTTCAACAATCCGACGGACCCTCCTCTCCAGAACTCCTGAATAGACCTTACCAGGAAGGCTCAGGAGTGTGATCCCCCTGTAGTTGGAACATACCCTGCGGTCCCCCTTTTTAAATAAGGGGACCACCACCCCGGTCTGCCAGTCCAGTGGGACTGCCCCTGATGTCCACGAGATATTGCAGAGCCGCGTCAGCCAACACAGCCCCACAACATCCAGAGCCTTAAGGAACTCCAGGCGGATCTCATCCACCCCTGGAGCCTTGCCACAGAGGAGCTTTTTAACCACCTCAGTGACCTCAGCACCAGAGATTTGAGAGGCCAACCCAAAGTCCCCAGACTCTGCTTCCTCACTGGAAGACGTGTTGGTGGGATTGAGAAGGTCTTCAAAATATTCTGCCCACCGATCCACAACGTCCTGTGTAGAGGTCAGCAGTACACCATCCCCAATATAGATAGTGTTGGTAGCGCACCCCCTCCAAGGTCTCCAAAAAGGGTGGGTAGTCTGAACTGTAGTTTGGTGCATAAGCACAGACCAGTCAGAACCCATCCCCCCACATGTAGGCGGAGGGAGGCTACCCTCTCATTCACTGGGGTAAACGCCAACGTACAGGTACCAAGATGGGGGGCAACTAGTAGCCCACCCCTGCTCGGCGCCTCTCAGTGGGAGCAACTCCAGAGTGGTAGCATGTCCAACCCCTCTCAAGGAAACTGGTTCCAGAGCCAGAGCTATGAGTTGAGGTGAGTGCGACTATATCTAGTCGGAACCTCTCTACCTCACACACCAACTCAGGCTCCTTCCCCACCAGAGAGGTGACATTCCATGTGCCAAGAGCCAGCTTCTGTAGCCGAGGATCAGACCGCCAAGGACCCGCCCTCGACTACCACCCGTCACACACTGCACCCGACCCCTTTGATCTCTCCCACGAGTGGTGAGCCCATGGGAAGGGGGACCCAAGTTTTCTCTTCGGGCTGTGCCCGGCCGGGCTCCATGGGTGAAAGCCCGGCCACCAGGCGCTCGCCAACGTGCCCCACCTCCAGGCCTGGCTCCAGAGGGGGGCCCCGGAGACCCACGTCTGGGCGAGGGAACACGGTTTCCATTTATATGATTCATCATAAGAGGTCTTCGGGCTGCTCTTTGATCCCTCGTAATGAAAAAACACTCAAACCCATTTTGGTTGCATTCATGCTCACATGCAAAATTTGAGTTTTACTTTGAAAATCCTGTAAATCCTCAATGGAAACTTATTTCATCATCAGGCCCTGCTCCTCTTCCGGAAGCTATAGTCTCTGGTCTGAAACCTGCCTTCCCCTGGCCAGCACAGGTTATGTGACTTGGGCGACGGGTGTCCTTTAACAGACTTGGTAGTCCCGTGGTTAGAGCACCAGGCAGACACCTTAACCACTGGACTACCATAGCCAACGCACCGATTGACCTAAGATGCTCTTGCATGCATGTTTTGTTGGAGCGGGTGTGGGCGGAGTTTCACTGAAAAAAATCGTTTTATTTCCGGGTATAAATTCAGGCTGATGAAAATAACTCGTATTTAAATGACATCTCAACAGTGCCAACGGTAAATTTTTTTCATATACTGTGCCTACTTTTGCTCTCAAAGGTTTAAAATATGGAAACTTTAAAAACCAAGTTCACTCTTATTTTCAATAAATTTGCAGTTTTCTCTAATATGCCGGTTGATCAGCTCAGGCGCTCCTGTTTCAGAAAATAGAACTGAGCCAGAGCAGAAGATGGCAGATTCTGGAGTCATATTTCCTGATATTTCAAAAATGTCTCCTCTGATTGGCTAACAGCAACGTAACACTGTCAATAACTGTTTTCTTCAACAATGATGTTTTACCTTCTTGAATAACACGAGCCTGGAGTTCTGCTGTATGGTGAGGTTGCTAATGCTAACGGTTAGCTCCTACTAGCCAAGACGTGCTCTGCTCTCTTAAGATGGGTGAGTCCAATTTTCCTTGCGATGTGCAAATGACAGACTTTTCTTATCTGAGCGTTTCCCCATCTATTTTCTATTTACAGTTTTAGCCGGCATGTGAAACTCAGTGGGACCGATCACATTTAAAAAATAACAAGTAGGTCTTCAAACATTTTTGCTGCAGCTAAAAATATTTAGCTTGTTATTTTTCCTGCAAAACAAAAAACCTGTTCCATCATTTTGAATGAGCCTGGCTCATGCATCACACCACACATTTGAATACCAGGCAGTCCAACAGCACACTGATGAAAAGCAGTTATTTTGTTTGAGGACCTGTTGAATATCAAAGAAAGGTCATCTACAGCATGACTCAGACATGGCAGAAGTATATAAATCATTTTGGCCTTGGTCAGTTTCTGCACCTCTGATTATAAAATGTTAAGGCAAAGTTTAAATTTTTTTTCCTATAAAAACATTTCCAAAAATAGAGAAATAACAATCCGTTATGTCCTTTTGTTATCTTTAGTTTCCTTTTGAAGCTATATCAAAATGTGGATACTAGTATCAGCTCTTACTTTGAGCCGTTCCTGTTTGTTGCTCTTTGGGCCGTTCCACTGGACAATGGTCTTTCCTAGGTCCAACAGAAAGACATCTCCAAGGTTGAAGCTGTTCCAGCTCACCTCCACCTGAAACAATAAAACCTACATGCCATCTTCTGTCCTTTAAAGCCAAGGAACCTTGGAGAAACGTGGCTCACCTCTTTGGCGACCACTTTCTTGTTCCCTTTGACGTGGAGCAGTCTTTGAATATTGTAGGAGTTGGTTTCGACGTGCTTCATTCCTGTTGCAACTCCACCTTTCTTATAGCTAGAGAGCAGAAACAGTTACCTTTGTGCTTTCCTTCAGGTAAATTCATCAAACATCCGTCACTGACATGATTCCTTGTTTGAAGTAGCCCCTGAAAGTATCGGATTCGTAGTTCTGAACTTCTCTGTACTGCACCGGAGTGGAGCCTAAGAACTCATCCAGCTGTATGGTGTAGACAGCAGCTGCTCCCTGCTCGTCCTGAGAGGACTCCGAACCGATCCAGTAGTGGATGTTGAAAGACACGGCTCCTTTCAGCTTCTGGGTCTGCAGAAGCACAAAGGTAAAGAACGTGTGTGTGCATCAGTTTAACCCAAACTGTTGGGAGCTCTACCCCTTTAACAGGATTTGTGTGTTCCTCATGAAAAATGCCGCACTTTATCATTTACATTTCGTGCCCTCTGGTGGAAAATCTAACAATGGTATTGTTTTTATCACCTGCTGCCACCATGGGCCATCAACCCAAACCTGAAGCTGGTCATATTTCAGTCAATTTGACAGATTTTGTATTAACGTTGATGCCGCAGTAGCCGAGAGTCGTCACACATGATCTGCATGCTAACAGATCGAACTACAACTTGCTTCATCATTAATTTCAAGATTTTACCTAAACGACTACCTTTAAATCTCTGACATGAAAGAGGACATTTGGATTCTTAAATGCTAGGCTGTTTAATTAGTATATAATTACAACATCTACACGTTCCTATACAACCCCCCCCCCACCAGGAGTGATCCTTGACCCCAGACTTACATACAGAAGGACGTAGCTGTCACCCTCAAAGAAATTCCCGTAAGACTTTTCAGGAACTTGAACCAGCTCCATTTTCTGTTGCACAGAAACAGAAGAATCAGTTTAATCTCAAGTTAGTCATCTCAGAAAGAGCAGCAGCTTTCTGCTAAATGATGTAATGATAGTCAAATCAAAGTACCTCAATCCTCCAGATTATAATCCCGGGGTTGCGAGTTACCGCCCTGAATGTTTGCTCCATGTTGCCTCGGTGCGCTCAGTTCTACTAGTTTCTTCTTTGCAAGAAAGCAAGCAAACCATACACTGTTTTGTGAATTAAAATATTTCAGTGTAACACATCATTCAACGATTTCAAAAGTATAAGCCCCACATCTTGTTGATGTGATCAGATCTTACCTGCCAGGTGTGTTTTTACGATTAGCTCATATGGTTATCCAGCAGCTGATTTTTGTCATCTGAAAACAAGAGACCAGCAGTCCTCCTGACAGCTCTGCTGAAAGATTTGCCTGTTTTTGCATTTCAGGGCCTCTCATGATGTCCCGCCCAATCACGGAGGACAAATCCAGATCCCGTAGGCAAATGAGCCAAACAAAAAAAAGCTTTGAGCCATATTCAAATGTACAAACATAGTTACCCTGAGTATGTCTAACAGGTCTGTGTGTCTGATAACAACCACATTTACAGCATGGATGCTGTAAATAAATGATAAAATTACGCTCACGTGATAGCTAAAGCATGTGTGTTGGTTTATAAACTCATCAGTGGAGCTCCTGTACAGTGAAGCTTCATGTTCAAAGAGAAAATGGAGAAACCGGAATCCATCCAACAAACTTCCTGTTTTCTGATGTTCTTCCTGCTTCTGCGATGCTGAATGTGTTGTTTTACAGCTGATAGCGCCGATGCTAATGTGCTACATTTAGGTACAGTTATGTGTCATGATCTGAATCCTTAAAAAAAACATTTAGGCAATTTAGAAGAAAACCTAAATTGTTGTTATTTATTTCAGAATGTATCTGCTTGGTGGTTTCCTCCCAGTGAGAAGGTTGCAGGTTCAAATCCCAGGTGCTGCCTTTCTGCATGGAAATAGCATGTTGTCCTCATGCATGAGTGGGTTGACTCTGGTTTCCTCCTACAGATCATAAATGTGCATGAAGCTGTCCCCAGGTGTGAGTGTGACTAGTTGTTTGTCCCTGTGATGGATTGGTCACCGGCCCATGGTGTCCCCCAGTTGTTACCCTGATGCTCAGGACCAGTGGTTTGCTAGAGGAACAAATGATTCAACTCATTTATCATTGGAAATTGATCCATATTCCCATGGAACGCTACGATTTCACCACGCCATGCAAATAGTTTTTTTCTTCTTTTTTTAAAATTAAAAATAAATAAACAAAGACTAGTTGTGTTTGTGTTTCTGGCTGATAAAAAAACATTTCTGAAACATGAATACATTTCTTTTTTTCCCTCAAAATATTTTTACAATATTACTGTGACTAAAACAAAATATACCCTTTCATTTTTACAATTATGTTTGATTTATTATTGTTTACGTTTTCATTGGTTTACTTTTTTAAACTGAACAGTTCTAAAGCTGAATTCCTGCAGGTGTGGGTACGTCCCACGTTCTCTCCAAATCGAACAGTTTCCTCATCTCTATTGACAGTTAAATAGTTGTTCCCTGTTCTTGTGTTAAAGGTGCAGTATGTAAGAATATAGTGAGAGTTTTACAGCGAGAAAATCCCAAAAGAGTCTAATATTTCAGTCATATTGGAAGGAAGGGTTATACTGACACATATTTCTTATCCAGCTGGCTGTGGGGATTGCCAGTTTTTCTCCTTTCAAAACAAAGGAAGGACGGACGTAACTACTGTTTACCATCAGTGAGTGAGGGGTTGCCGTGTCTCCTGCGAGCTAATACTGCAGCGCTGACAATTGTAATTTGACAACAGGTGGTAAAAAGCTGCAGAGTTGTTTAAAGTGGTTGCAGTAACCAAATTTTACCACAGGATTCCATTTTTACTTCATTTCTACATAATGCACCTTTAAGGGCCAGGGTTTTGTCCTCGACAGCACACTTTTAAATCTCACATCTATAATGTTATCCGGTCTGCTTATTTTCATTTGTGTAACATTTCCCATCTCCGTCCATCTCTTATCCTCACGCTACTGCCGTCCCTTTCATCCTCATCACATCCAGTACTGATTACTCACTTCTCTTTGGTGTCTGCAGCAACCCCCCCCCCCCCCCCCCCCCCCCCCAGAAACGGCAGCTTCCATGCTTATTTTAAACACATTGCATTTCTTTAGTTTAATTCATTTATATCTAATGCAACTTAAACTGAAGCAAAATACATGCTCAGTAAAATCCAGTCCAAATATATTTATTTCTAGGAGTTTCAGAATGACAAGGAGGAGTAAAATTGGACTTCCTGAAATAACCTCTACACCAGATGACCAAACATGGAAGTAGACTGTCTGATATGCATTGCTGCGGTTTAATTAACACGAACATGCAAACTAATTCTCTCGCAGTTCTTACAGAATGGCATGATCTCTGTTTTGTTTTGCAAAGTCCATTCACCAGAGGCTCGGGGTGTGGTCAGCGTTGGGTTTCATGACCATAGATGGACAGATCAACAAACATCTGTGATCTAACACGTCTAACAACAAAGGAACCTCTCTCGGCTTCTATCATCCTACCAAACATTATGGGACATGTTTCAAACAGCCCACATCTGTGAGAGCGCCACCGTCTGGCTTTTGTTTAGAAAGGTGGACGAGTAATTATAGAGAGGCAGTTTTAAATCTGTCCCTTCTTTTCTCTTTAATTTGGTCCATTAATGACTGTGTTTGTTTGGCTGTTGAGTCACAACTAGAAGACCCTGCAGAAACTTTAGTTTGAGTCCTGTCTCAGTCTCTTAGGTGGTCCTGAGCTTCTTTGGTCTATAAAATACCTGAAAATAAAAATAAAGTTTAGATGAAAACATTAACGTTTACAGTATGTTGCATACTAAAGTTTATTGTTATTGGTCTAGAAATCTCCACGAAGAGCAAATTTGACGTAATGCATCATGTAGAAGAATGATTCAAGGAATTTGAATGAAATTTAGTGCACGAAAGGCAAAAAATACAACTTGACACGAACACCTGGGTGTTCTAATCGGATTAAACTACATCTTTTAAGAACTGCTCAGACAGTACATAAACTTTAGTTTGCAAAGGAAATAAACTTTATGTTAAGTCTCTGAGATGGATCTAACAAAACTGTCAATCAGTGGAATTGCTTTGTGATCAGATAAATAAATACTTTTATAACACAATCCACATTTAATATCCAGGCTTTTCTTAATTTATTGTAGGGGGTTAAGAAACTGACTTTAGCAGCTTAAGGTCATAAATACTCCAGAAACAGCTTCTGTTACTGGAAACATTTCACAGAAAGTCTTGTTTTGTAAATGCTAGCATCTCATAGACCCAACTGGACCATCTGTCTCCAGCAGAGGATATGTGGCAAATGGGACACAATTACTGCAAACAGGCTAAAAACTATTCAGCTGGTTCTATACTGGATGCACAATCTTATGAGTAACCTCACAAAACCAGAGTAAAATTCCCATTGTGCCAACTTTATTCCATAATGTGTTTAAGATTTTTTAAATGCCAAAGTGGAGTTGTGGAATGATTTGCTTCTCATTTGATGAAAACGAGAACACATCCAGATTTCCTTTCAGATATTTTACGACGACTTTTATCCTAAATCTACTCCCCACTCTTGTTTCTCTCCCATCACGCAGAAGCAGAACACCTCTGACTCCAGACTCGTCCCTTCCTTCTCTTATGTAACTCCTGGTGGTCACGGTCCACATTAGTTTTCTGCACAAAATGTGTCCAGAACCCTCAGAGCAAAACATGCTAAACATTTAAAAGAGCGTTCTTAATAAGTGTTGTTTTAACAACCATCCACCGGTCGAGAGAAGTCTTTTTTTTTTTTAAGGAAATGCAGTAAGAAGTATTGTCTTGTTCTTCCACTTGGTTCTGGCTCCTCCCAGACAGATTAGTAAAACATTCCAGCCCACCTCTGGGATTCTGCTGGCTCCCGAGTTCCCTCACTCAGAACGGGATCTTAAAGGGAGCTAAAAGACTCGAAATGAGACGACTCGTCATCTTGGTGACTTTGGCCTACCTTGCCACGGCTCAGCATCAAGCTCTTATCGACTACTTGGAGAGGAGGCTGCTTGCTATAGAGGTAAGACTGTCTTTACCTCCCTACCGGGCCCTGAGCTCCAGAGTCCCCCTGAGAGGAAACTTTCAAGGACACGGCAGATGCAATGGAATGCAGATGTTGGAAAGTGCAACTCATTTCCACGAACATGAGCTCTTAGCTTTTCAACTGGTTTAGAAGAAAAACGTTTGACTGTGCAGTATTGTGCCAACATGATTACCTGACTTTCTTAAAGTCTTTTTAACTGGTCTGGAACAACATTTATTTGTGCATTCTGAAGCCTTTTCACTCATTTTGAATCCACTTTTAAAAGAAAAACATTCAGACATAATGATCTATGCCCAACTGACGAATATGAAACAGAAAAAGTCCAGCAAAGACCTGAAACACGACCTGAGTGATGCATCATCATTGTGTGCCAAGTTTCCAGCTAATAGCTCTTTGAGAATCATCCTTATGGAGGAAAAATGCTATTTTATACGTCAAAATGGGTTTTTTGTTATTTCTTTTTTGCATTCAGCTGAAGGCACAACAACAAACTGTGTGTTTGTGGCAGAAGGCTGAGAAACATCGCTAAAAGGTGGTTCTTTAGTAGGTTATCAGCTGGTTCATTTTGTGAAATTATGAGTTTATTTATGCCTGGATGATTCAGGTGATTTAAAAAAAAAAACAAAAAATAAAAAAATAAAAAAATAAAACTGTTGTCTGCAGATGTTCAGCTCTTGGGGGAAAATTGATGAAAGAGCAAAAAATTGTCATGTTCTGTGTCCCTTTGTTCCCCAGCCCCTCCAGTTCCCACTCCAGGTTCTCCTTTTGTGTTTACTAGCGCCCTCATGTGTCGTGTCTGCATCTTCCTCATGTGTCTCCTGGTGTTCCCCGTTTGCCCTCTAGGTTTCCCCCCTCAGACTTCCCTCTCCCAGGTCCTGTGCTCTCTTGGCCCCCTCTTAGCCACGCCCCTGTAGTTTCTTTCTGTTGTGTTTTCCTTTAGTGTCAGCTTCCCCTTTGAATATTAGTTATGGTTCACACCTTCTGGTCTTTTGTTTTTTCTCTTAGGTCATTTTCCTTTGTTACAGCCTTTCATTATTTAGTGTGTTTTTTCCCACCAGTGTTTTCTTCCTCCTCCCTGAGTTAGTAATTGTGTTCACCTGGTCCCTCTCCCCACACACCTGCAATTCATCTCCCTCTCATCTTCCCAGTCTATTTAAGCCCTGTCTTGTCACTCTGTGTTTGTTGGTTCATTGTTGTTGTTTGTTGTAATTCTGTCAAGTTCTTCTCGTGCCTCTTGTATTTTTGGATCTCCAGATCTCTATCTGGATTTTTGGACTGTTGGCTCCCAGCCTTTTGGATTACTTTTGTTTTTTTGGTTACTCCTAAAATAAAGGATTTTACTTTACATCTTCCCCAGCCTCGTGTCATCCTGGGTTTCTGCACTTTGGGTTCTAACATCCCTCCAAAACGTGACAAAAATGTTCAAAGAAAAACTGAAAGACTTTCAGAGCATCAGAAGAAATATTTACTTTGCAAAAATTATGACGCATAAAATATTTTTTATAACTAAAATGTAGGAAATCTTAATCATCTTGGCCATTTCCAAAACAAACAAACACGATTTTTTTACAGGACAAAACTTCAGTTTGCAAAAACAAAAACTCCACATAGCCTGTAAGTCAGAATTTAGGGTTACACTTTACAATAAGGGTCCCTTTATTAACATTATGTTGTGCTTTATGAAACATTACTAAATGAAGTATTGACAACTGCTTAACCATATTATGTAATGCATTACTGAGCAGATACCCCCCTCCAGGTTCTTTGGCCTAACCGTAAGGACCCCACATACTTAACAAATACTAGTAGCACTAATAAAAGGACCCTTTGTTTATTAATGCTTAATAATGCACTAAGTAACATTAATAAAGAGACCCTTATAATAAAGTGTTACCAAATATATTCTGTTTATGCCAGAATCTTTAGTAAAAATCTTTTTATTTTATATTAATCCCCTCTAAAACAAATATTTTAAATCCAACTCACAAAAATATAACTCATCTCCAACCTCTAGTGACCAAATTTTTTTACTGTGCTGTTTCAGACCTTTACTGTACGACTATGTAAAAAACAAACATCTGTGTGTTATCTCTACTGAAATGTAAACAGGTTGAGTTCACACTTTGCTGCTTTAATTTTTCTGATTGAAAACAGGACAGGATCTCTTTGTGGCAGGAGCAGACCACACGCTACGCCTCAGAGCTCAGAGAGCTGAAGCAGCAGATGGTGTCACAGCTGGAGAGTCTCGATAAAGAAAAAGAAACTCTGAGAATAAACCTGGACGGCGTGGGGACGAGGGTGGACCGAGTGGAACGGGAACTGGACTACCTGGAGACGCACAACGGGGTCCAGCCGTGCGTGGACGTGGACGACAAGCTGATCGAGCAGCAGGTGACTCTGGTGAAGGAGAAGCAGAAGGAAAAATATCTCAAACTCACAGGTGAGCTCAAGGGAAGGGTTTTTTCTATAGACTATAGAGTTCATCTGCTACCTACAGTAAAACACGGTGGTGGTTCCATCATGCTGTGGGCTGTGTGGCCAGTGCAGGGACTGGGAATCTTGTTAAAGTTGAGGGACGCATGGATTCCACTCAATATCAGCAGATTCTGGAGACCAATGTCCAGGAATCAGTGACAAAGCTGAAGCTGCACCGGGGCTGGATCTATCAACAAGACAACGACTCTAAACACTGCTCATAATCTGCTAAGGCGTTCATGCAGAGGAACAAGTAGAACGTTCTGGGATGGCCATCTCAGTCCCCAGACCTGAATATTATTGGAAATCTGTGGTGTGAGTTAAAGAGAGCTGTCCATGCTCAGAAGCCATCAAACCTGAATGAACTAGAGATGAATTAGAAAGAAAAATGGTCCAGAATACCTTCAGCCAGAATCCAGACGCTCATTAGAAGCTATAGGAAGCGTTCAGAGGTTGTTATTGTATCTCTGTGTGTCTCCTAAATGATTTATTTAATGGGAATTCTTTATCGAAACAACCAATGATTTATATCGAATAAATCTATGTATAATCATGAAGATTAACAAGGCCCACCTTATGTGTCATGGAGCCAAACCACAGTGTTGAGCATGTTCCCGTCTCATTTCCAGACTGCAACGACATGATCTCCAGCATAAAAGCCATGAAGATCCAGAAGCGAGTCGGAGGGTCAAAGGGCATTTGGAGCAAAGACACCACTGGTAAGGTCTACATTTTTAACGGGACATCTGGGGACACCATCAGTGAGTTCGGCACCATGCAGGACTTGACCCGTTCTCTGGGTTTCTCCCTGTCCACTGGCCTGAAGCTCCCCTCTGCTTGGGAGGGAACTGGACACGTGGTCTACAACAACCATGTGTATTACGTAAACCAGGCTGAGGAGACGTCAGTGGTTAAATACGACATAATGAATAAAGTTCTAACAGATAGTGCAGTGTTCCCAGTGCAGGACCACATCCCTGTGTATGAGCTGAACCCTGACACCATGATAGACCTGGCTGTGGATGAGGAAGGCCTGTGGGCCATCTACGCCACGCGGCAGAACGAGAGGTACATCTCTCTGGCTAAAATGGACAGCAGGTCCCTGGACATCGAGCAGATGTGGGAGACAAATTGTCCCAGAGAGAACGCAGAGGTGGGCTTTGTCATCTGTGGCACTCTGTACGTCGTGTACAACACCAAGCAGCCTGGTCGCTCACGGCTGCAGTGTGTGTTTGACGTGAACGACATGGTGACGAACGAGGAGGCGCCTCTGTTTTACTTCCCCAAACGCTACGGGTTTCACTCCAGCCTGAAGTACAACCCGCAGGAGCAGCTGCTGTACGCGTGGGACGACGGCTACCAAGTCCTCTACAAGCTCACCATGAAAACGAAATTAGAAATCTGAACTGAAAAACAGCAAGTCGAGGTTTTTAACTGTTCCCAATTAAATGTTTAGAAATGACGTTTGTCTCTCAAGTGAAGCAGTAGTGGTTATTAATGATAAGCACATTTGTCATTTTAAACATAGTTATTTACTGTTATTTTAGTCTTTTTATTTAAGGTGAATGAACTAGTCCTAGTAAAACAAGCGATTTGGACAACAGACTGATTTTAAACACTGCAGTATCAGACGTATTGTGATCATATGACAATTGTAGACTTTGTCTACAACGCAATAAAAGGATTAGTTTTTGTTTTTAAGGAACTTATGTGAACACATGTCACATTACCATCTACTAACCTCATGGGCTAACTGTTTATTTTATGCTTTAGATTCAACTTTTCCACTTATTTTCACTCTTTTTAGGTTAAAATACATCCAGTCAAGTTTATTGGTCAAACAAATTTGATTTTGTTTTCATAACTTTTGTTTTGTTGCTCCAGCATGAGTGACACCAAATCCATCATAACTCATAAACATGTCTTCCTAAACAATGAATGCAATGTATCTTTAGGACGGCATTAGTAATAATAATGTATTTGTATTACATCATTAATGTAATCTGGTGTGATGACGTGTGAGAACCTGCTAGCTGGCTAGCACTATTGTTTTTTTTTTTGAGTGCATGACCACATCTCACTTATTGAAATGCATTTCTAATAAAACAGCTTTCTTTAATCTACCCAAATCAGTTTTCTTGCTTTGCTTGTTTTATTTTATTGTGATTTATTATTTCTGATTAAACATGAGCGTCACCTGCAGGTTCCATCTCGGCTCTGACCAGAAAACGCTGTTGTTGTGTCCTTGGGCAAGACACTTAACCCGCCTTGCCTGCTGGTGGTGCCCGCCAGGCCTCGCCTCTGTCAGTGCACCCATCCCCACTGCTGTGTGAATGTGTGTATGACGGATTGTGTTGTGAGGAGCCTTGGGGGGTTGTAGAACCCTAAGAAGGACACAAATAGAGGCCTTTTACCTTCACTATAAAACCTAAATAATGCCAACTACACAGTGGAAACATCAAAAATGTCACCATTTGATTTGACAACAGCCATAAAACCAGAAACAAGTGCTGAAACACATTTATTTTGTCTGAATGTATATAAACATCTATAAAAACTGTGCATTGAGTCTGGATAAAATCTAAAGATACAACAGCAAAGTTTGTTCTGTAAAATGTCGTAGAACACTTGTATATCAGAACCGTCGCTTCAAAGATGACATTTTAAAACCACTTCCAGATATTTTGGGACCAAACGCTGCTTGAACCTGGAGGATAATCGTACTAATTTTAACTTCTTTAAGCACCAACCATGTAATATCCCCCCATTTTTCCCCTGGTTGCAGCTCAGTTTAACATCGTTTATAATTTACACGATCCCACAAATTTGATCAAATGAAATTCTAATCCAGACATTTTGGATGATGGCATCCACATGCGAACATACCATTTAAATTAAAGAATTCAGTGAAAGGCACTGATGTGTCTCTCCGACGTGAACTCATAGATAATCACAAGAAACAGATCAAATATAGCACTTGCACATAAATATGCAAAATATAATTAGAAATTACAGTTAAACACTTCAAACTTTGATAACATCAGAGTTGGAACTTCCAGGAAAACCAGCTTCTTGAACGCGGCTGAAGAATCATAACGTATCCTGTAGTGTGCATCCCAGGCACAGAACTGAAGCAAGGCATGGTGGTCCTTATTGCTAATGAGATTATTGGCATTTAAAACAGCCTGCTAATTTGCACAGATTAAAGTCTCAGGTGAGGAACTGGCATGGTGACGTCCCGGAAGAATCGATGCACCAGTGCATTTTTGGCAGAAATCCTTTTGTTTGGGTCGTAGTTCAGCATTTCCTAAAAGATAGAGTCAAAACAAAGTAAAAAAAATTACTGGTATTACCAGCTGTAAGATGTACAGCAGAATGAGGGAAATTATTTCGGTTCTTACTCCTAGAAGTTCCCTTCCATCCTCATCAAGGAGAGGAACCACTTTAGACAAATCCTGTCGAGCCCACTTGGGGAAAGATGGTTTGTAGTCTGGCATGGATGTGACTCCAGGCCACACGGTCTCATCAGGCGTTCCCAAGGTTCGAAAGATTCGGAACAACTGGTCTATCTCAGAGTCGCCGGGGAATAAAGCCCTCCTGGTGATCTGTGGACACAGGTGTACTAGTTAGATGTCAACAACACTCCACATCACACAAACGCTGTTTATTTTGATTTATGAGGCTGTGTTTATCACCATTTCAGCAAAGATGCACCCCAGACTCCAGATGTCAACAGCTGTGGAATAGTATTTGCAGCCCAGGAGGATTTCTGGTGCTCTGTACCAAAGTGTTACCACCTGGAAATTCAGAAAAGTCGTTTTGTACAAGAAGCTAAAAGAATAAACGAAGCTGTCCTGATAAAACCCACTTAGACAGCTTACCTCATGTGTGTATGTTCGTACGGGTACCCCAAAGGCTCTCGCCAGGCCAAAGTCAGCCAGCTTGATCTCACCTTGGGCGTTGATGAGCAGGTTTTGAGGCTTCAGGTCTCGATGAAGAACTCTGTGGGAGTGACAGAAGGCCAGGCCTTGCAGCAACTGGAAGAGATAACTCTAAAAGAACAACAAAAGTAAGATCAGATCTAATTTGCACAGAAGATTCAATCCTAACATTTTGAGGACTGACAGTCACAAAGTGATGACTACCTTGACCAAAGGCAGCGGGATTCCTGTGACTGAGGAGGAATCCATGAACTTTTTCAGATCCTGATGAAGGAACTCAAAAACAAGGTAAAGTTTGTTCTCCGTATGGATGACGTCCTGGAGTCTAATAAAAAAACAAAAACAAATGATGACAGTTGGCAACGGTTCAGACGTGCTCTGGCCGTGGCTCAAACACTAAGAACTTACTTGACAATATTTGAGTGACTGAGTTCTTTGAGGAGTGAAATTTCCCGGATGGCCGTGCTTGGTACGCCTTCTGTTTCTCTGCATTAGGGACAAACAAACCAGAGCTTTACACCAAAACAAATAATGACCAGCAAGCAGGCATTGCTGAATACAGTAGTGATGCACCGATATGAAATTTTGGGCCGATGCTGATATTAAAATCGCTGTTATGACCGTTAACCGATATTTGCCTAGACTGTTATACTGACATTAATCTGTCTAAAATCAACAGATTTTGTATAGAATGAAAATTATTAAAGCTGAATTTACCGTATTATGTACACACACAACACACACATGCTTCTGAGATGATTTCATTCACTGTCACATGACTAAACAAATACACATCACCCCCTCACCCTCTGAAACAGATAAACAAATGGAGACAAGATTGAAAAAATATCGGTTGTTCATATCGGCCCACTTTTATTTATCAGACCGATACCAATATGTTAAAAAATGACTAACATTGGCCAATACCGATATTGATGCTGATATATTGTCCATCCCTAGAATACGGTCATACCCTTTAACAAGGATTATACAGTGCTGCAAAAACATATACTCCCTTACACATTTATTGTTTTAGGCATTCATTTATGAATTTATTCTACAAATTGCCATATCAGACACCGATGATGAGTAAAACGCAAAATGCTTTTCATGTCACGCAGCTGCTCTCCTCATATCCCAAATGGTCCCGATGGTTGTTGTCACTGCTTCTGCTGCATGCTCGCGTTCATTTTCGCTTTTGTTTTCGTCCTAACGGCTCACGCCATATTGTCTTTTTATTGTTTTTATAGATGGTGTTGGATACGTCCGTACGGGGAGTTAACCGAGGTTAACAGTCAAACCGGTTAATCCCTGCAACCCTAACCTCGAACGGATTAAATTATGGCGTACTTTGACGGAATAAAAATTTTAAAGGTGCATTATGTAGAAATGAAGTCAAAATTTTATCCTGTGCTTTTTGCCGGCAGTTGTCAAATTACAATTGTCGGCGCTGCGGTATTAGCTTGCAGTAGATATGGCACCCCCTCACTCACTGATGGTAAACAGTAGTTACGACCCTCCTTTTGTTTTGAATGGAGAAAAAGTGGCAATCCCCACAACCAGCTGGAAATGAAATATGTTTCAGTGTAACCTTTCTTCCAAAATGACTGAAACATTAGACTCTTTTGGGACTTTCTCACTGTAAAATTCTTACTATATTCTTACACTTTTAAAATGTTTTAATTGTCTATGGACGCGCTGATCAGTGACGTCACTCATTGCAAACATGCTGATGATATGCTGACGTATTTGCAAAGTCCTGAAAAGGCTGATTTTGTACAGACACGACGGCTGAAAACACTGATCCATTGTGTTTTCCTGGAACTTCAATAGTGGAAACATGGCTATCGAGTACGCTAAATGATCCCACACAGCAGCAGATGGTGCCTTTGCTAGTTTAAGGTCAAATTCAACAATAAGAAAGAGATGAGACAAAAAAGCCTCTATGGGACAGTTCCGTAAAACATCTCTGGTGACCACACAAAGACCCATCTCACCGTCTCCAAAGAGCATCTTGATGATATTTTAGAAAGTGGAACACTTGTTTAATCAATGCATTTTTGTAGTAGTCTCTAGTACTAATAAATGACGAGTAAGTTGTTTGCAGGGGGAAGAAATATCCCAGTGCACCATTCTTCTGACCTAAAATTTGCCCACATCACAGCAGACCTTCTGATGGCAGGATTTGGAGTCTTTTTCCTGATATTTGGACATCTCACTCCGGATCGGACAACAGCAATGCAACTCGACCACTGATTTGCAACATAGACATTTTATCTCCACAAATAACACAAGGCTGGAGGAACTTCGGCTGTGTGGTGGCATTGCTAATGCTAAAGGTTAGCTTGAATTAGCTGAGAAGTTCTCTGCTGTTTCCTGGACACTAGAACAAAAAATTTACTGGACACTAATCCAACAACACCCAAGATGGGTGAGTCCATGAATGTTATTCAGTGTGACGTAGATCTGTCAGGCTTTTCTAATTCTAGTTTCACCGTCTATTTTCTATCAGAAGCTAATGCAGGAGAAAGGTGTGGGAGACTATTTTCATGTTCAGTCTGCATGAAAAACTCAGTAACCATAATCAGGAAAAACATATTTAAAATGGTTTTTCAGTCAACAGCATCTTTGAGACTTTTTTGAAAATATTCTCTGGAGTGGTGAGACTATTTTGGTGAAAAACTAACTTCAGAAACACATCAATATACCAACAGTCAGACACGGTGGTGGCAGAGTGATGGTCTGGGGCTGCTTCAGGACCTTGACCACTTACTGTAATTGATGGAACCATGACTTCAAACATGTCAACCCACTCGTTTGGCTGGAATAAAACAATGTCAAAAAAATGTGGTCTAGGAATCCTTCACAGCAATGTAAGCCTTGTTATTAGTTCTCACAGATGCTTGATGGATGTTTATGCAGCTAAGGGTGTTGATTGGTTGTTTGTTTCCTTAATAAATAAATTAAATCATCATTTGAAAACTGCTTTCTGTTTTTACTTTGGTCATCTCTGGTATTTGTGTTGGAAGACATCGATAAGGATCCAAATGCTTTTTTCAGAGTGCTGAAGTTTGGGTATGTTGGTAGTTTGACAGCTTGAGATACTGAAAGGTACCCTCCTACAGCAGCAAAACTATAAAACATGTCCATTCAACTAATAAATCAACCAAAGGAATGAAACAGAATAGCATTCAATGTAGAGTCAGAAAACTACTTCTGATCACTCACTAGTAACATCTGATCGTAGACTAAAACACAAGACAATGAAAAATTCCCTTAAATAGTTACATATTTCACTTGCTCAGACGCTTTTACCCAAAGCGACTTGCAAAAAATTGTAAGTCGCTTTGGGTAAAAGCGTCTGCTAAGCACATAAGCATAAACATAAACAAACATATCCAGCTAACCTACAGGGTTATATCCAAGGATGCTACGTCACTTAGTCCTGTGTGGAGGTTATATTAGGCACTGAATAATTACAGTTTAACGAGAAACGCTTATTTCTGTTGTTGCAGGAAGTGGGCAGACGATCACCAGCCACGAGGTCGTGGATAAAAAAAATCTGAAGCATTAGTGGATGTTTTTAGCGCGGCGTTAGCTCTGGAGATAACTCCTGCCTCTTAACTTACGTGTCCAGGCGGATTTTCTTCAGAGCAACAGTTTCTCCGGTCACTTTATTCTTGGCTTTGTACACCACTCCATACGTCCCTTCTCCTATCTTCTCCACTTTCTGAAATGAATCCATTTTGCTTACAAGAGCGGGACTGTTTAAAGTTTAGCTGCTTAGCAATACTGGTCTCTTTGTGTGCGCGCTAGCAGCAGCAGCGACAGCGGCTCGGTGGCTACAGAGGGGCGATGTTAAGGAGCAACGCGGGGACAAACCGACACTAACCGCCGCCCCGGCTCCCTTCGGCCAGTCCGGAAACAGCCGAGCGGGAGATAGGGGGTTCGTGTAGAAGATGAAACGCTCTCAGATCAAACGACAACACAAAAACAGGTATATGGGCATGTGTGTCCAGCCTCGATAGTAATTATGTGGATTAATTCAAAAGGGGAGCGCGACGGTCGCAGCTCAGTCCACAAAACTGAACCAACACAGCGGCGTTTCCCGCGTTGTAAGAGGAGCGTTCGTTTTTGACTTCATGATACACCGATTATTTCGAATGGGTGGCACTGTACTCTTTATTTTATTGCTTATCTTGCAGTGTTCTCACAGGGGACCGCTATGAATGAATCCAACGCTTTAGATTAGATAAAAAGGTTCACAAAAGTACTTCTGGTGTTTGTTAAATTTAACGTGTTGTTAGAAATCACCAGAAGTTGGGATGAGACGGAGACACTAAATGAGCAGCCCTCACTGGTCACATGATCAAAATGGATGACGTACCCTGACGTCATCTTAGAGGGATGTGGAGTGCTTTTGTTTGTAAAAAATGTGTTTATAAAATTATTTTCTTGTCAATTAGATCTAATTTCACAAACATTAATTCCATTTTAGCCTACCATCATATAAGTTTAAAGTTGCCATTGTTAGTTTTTTAAACATTTAATTAATTTCTTTACCTTAGAACAGGAGTCCTCAACCAAGTTTGGTCCTGAGGTTTTTACAGCAGACGGGCCAGATGCACTCTAAAATAACTAAAAGCATTATTGTATCTTAATTTATCAATAATTTAAATGACTTTGTTTTCCACCTAAACTGTCTTCATTGTAGTTTTAGTTGTGGTTGGAGAATGTAAACAATTATTGGGGGGGGGGGGGGGGGGGGGGGGCAAAGAATTGGGACTACAGCCCTGCACAGGCCTAAAAATCTGAGCCCGTGTCCGCCCGGCCCGAGGGGGTGGAGCCCCAGCCCAACCCAGTCCGAAAAAGTTTTCAGGATTCTCTGGCCCAACCCAAGCCCGAGGCCGACTTTTTTTCTTTAACCTTTCATAATGTTTTAGCGTGATAGAAGGCTCAGCATTCTAATTATCTGTGGGAAGCGTTCCGTAGTAAAAAAAAAAAAAAGAAAGAAAGGAAAGAAAGAAAAACAGCATTCAATGCAGCTTTTTTTTCTAACAGCGTATTTTTCGAGCAGCAGATGAAATTTACGAACACTATATTAATTGGATGCGTTTGTAAATTTTATCTGCTCTGAAAATGCGCTCTTGTGCAATTAGGAAAAAAAAAGCAGCATTCTAATTTTCTAACTGCAGAGCACATTTTCAGAAACACCCCCAATTAATATAGCGTTTGTAAATTTAATCTGCCACTCTGAAAATGCGCTCTCCAACCCAGTAGTGAATGCTGTATTTTTTTTTTTACTGCAGAGCGAATTTATTAACAGAAAAATAGAATGCTGCCATTTTCATGAGAATAAACGAATGGTTTTTGACATATCAAAGTGGACATAAAATGGCATATTAGAATAGGGGCACATGTTTCAATCAGTAGTTTGAGAATTTGTTTATATAGGCACATTTATAAACCACACAGATCTTAACAGAGCTAATGGGTGCCAGTGCGTGAGAAGCAGGCAGGTGCTGCTGCGTTTAAGTATTTCAGTTTTTTTTAATGAATTCACTTAAAAATAAAGGCACCCGGCCCGGCCCGTGTCCGAGGTAATTACACAGTCGTTGGCCCGAAGCCCGGCCCTCGGGCCGTCGGGCCGGGCCGACCCGAGGGCCCACGGCTTCAGTGCAGGGCTCTACTTGGGACCCAGGTGGAAAGGTCTGGTGGTCCGAATGTGGCCCACGAGCCTCCAGTTGAGGTTCACTGCCTTAGAGGCTAATTTTTTTGCCTTTACAAAACCTGAAATTTATATTTAAAGATTAAACAAACTAACCGATTCTTAACATGAGATGAAACTGTTATTTATTTATTTCAACATTTTCTTTTTTGCACTTCATTAATAATGGCCTAATGACTTTTAAACATTTTGTTCACCTATTTATATATTGTCTTTTTTTCTCCCTATTGTTCAAAACTTTTTTGTACCTGTGTATGTTTGATGCACTGAAACAACACAAAAATCTATGAATGAGAAGAAAGAAAAAGGTAAACATACCTTACACTATTGTTACTTTCTTCCACATTCTCATAGCTTTTTCAGTCAATCAAACTTTATTCCAGACAAAAACAATGTGTCCAAGTCATAAGACACCAAAGATAAAAAAGTGGAGGTTAAAAATGGTTTAACAAAGACATATAAAAAAAAGAAAATTTTCTCAAAATATGACTTCATTGTTTTTTCAGAACATTTGATAAGGACATTAAATTGCTTTTGATCCTTTTGTGTGTAATGTGGTAAATGTGTATGGTAATCTTGTGCAGTGACAGAACAAAATAGAGTTAGTAGTGCCCTCTAGTGGAAACAAACATTTATTTATTTCTGTCTTTATTTGCATCCCATAGACTCTTAGCTCTGTTGTCTGTACTCTTTCCATTCATCATTTTCATAATTTCTGTGAATATATTTTATTGTTTAGAAACAAAAACCTGATTATTTCCATGACAACAGATCTTACAGCACAGTGGCGTATTATGAGGGACTGACTGACTCCTTCACGTGGTTCTCCCAGGCATGCAGACAACAGCGTTCATCTCTAGATGGAAGGGCAGGATTAAACATTTTAGCTGAACTTTGAAATAAAAAAGATCTGCTGCTCCTCCTGAAGAATGTATCTGATGCTCTTTAGACCATGTTGACACCACTGTTCATGGTTCAGACTATCTGGATTGCCCTCTGAGTGAGAAGCACCACCATCTCATCTAAGGCAGTGTTTCCACATTAGTAAACATCCAGTCACAAAGGGGACTCTGACTGACCAGAACTTATTTAACGTGACATTTTCATTTGAAATTTTGGCTTCTTCACACCAAACGGATGGCAGCTTGAGTAGCTCCATAAGAAATATATGATGAACCATCTCAAGTCAGATGTTCTGTGAGGAACGGCCTCTGTGTCTGTTCAGACATAGAAATAATTCACATTTTAATAATGCACATGACCAAATCCCTGAGGCTTAGCACACAACAGATTTACTACACAAACCCTTTCTCTACAAAGCTATCATTTCTCATTATTTTTGCTTTATAAGTGTTCTTAAATCAGATTTGGTTTCTTAGAAAATGTTCAGTATAAATTTGTTAACATCAGGAAACGTTCATTACCAAACACTTCAGACTATTTTATTCATCATTTCTCTTCTGGTTTCATTTTTTTTCAAGAAAATGCCATTATGGACATTAGAAATAAAAGAAAGTAGTATGTAGATTTGGTTGTCATTTTCGTGTTTAATTTTTGTAGAAAGTGAAGATTTATTCTGATTTTGGTTCAAATTTGCTCCCACTGAGTCGGGACAATCATTAGATGACACAAAGCAGAGGGAAAAGGTTGACTATTTGTGGTATGTTGAGTCAGGTGCTCTTTTCCGGGGATTTATTTCCTCCTGAGCTGTGTTGTGAGCACGAGGGGTCACATGTGGTACAGCCTGAACAGCCTCACAGCCATGAGACATCATCGCTGAAGAAAACCACCCGCCGTCGCTGTGATAAGAGACCTGAAAAGGCCAAATTATACAGACTAAAAAGCTTTATCATTTTTTTTAGATTTAGAAAAATATATATTCTAAAACATAAAAAATAATAAAACATAAACCGTTAAGCGTTAATTGTATGTTTTTTTAATTAAATGTCATTTTTCAAATGAATTCTAGGAAAAACCCAATGATCATCAGTCCTGCTGCATCCTTGTCACAGTTATTACAGATGTGATTATGATGTAAAACTCTTTTACTAATCTCTCATAATTTGCAGCTTTTATTTGGCTGTTCAACTATTTCTCTTTGACAACGTCATTTTATTTTGGAGCACTTTAATCTGTAATAAGAGTATTTAAATCGCAATTTACATTTTTTTTTACTTTTACATGAAGACTTTAGCTGCAAAGCAAAACACGAGTCAAAACCAAACAAGATTAACTGGATGAGGCCAAGATTTCAACAAAAATGCTTAAGATCATTTTAAAAATTAGCTGTTTTTAAATAAATTTAAAAGTGTGGGACACTGAAAATTTTTTAACCTATTATTTCTGATTATAATCAATCACTCTGAGTTTTTCATGCAGGTAGAACATGAAAATAGTCTCCTACACCTTTCTCCTGCATTAGCTTCTGATAGAAAATAGATGGTGAAACTCTAAGATTTGGAATGCCTGACAGATCTACGTCACACTGTCACTTAACGTTCATGTACTCACCCATGTTGACTCAAGACGGGGAAGACTGTTGTTAGTTTAGCATCTAGGAAACAGCAGAGAACGTCTAATAGAAGCTAACTGTTAGCATTAGCAACTTCACCACACAGTAGAACTCCTCAAAGCCTAATTTATTTGTGGAGATAAAATACCAACATTGCAGAGCAAACAGAGTCAGTGGTTGAGTCGCGTTGCTATTAGCCAATCAGAGGAGAGATGTCCAAATATCAGGAAATAAGGCTCCAAATCCTGTTGTGGCATTCCATAGACACCAATACGTAGCCTCATTAAGCACTGTAGAGCGTAACAGCGTCACCGCCATATTGGATAGGTCTCCTCGCTCTCCAAAGTCAATGCAGAGTGAGCAACTCAGCTTGTTTATGTGCAGCGTACGGTTGCAACAACCAACATACTATTTAAAACAGATCATGTGGGATTACTAGTGACTTTTCTAGCCTACCTGATGGGACATTTTTTTTATTTGAATTTACTTTAATGTATTTTGTTTCATTATATTTATATTTTAAGTTTCATGCCATACCATGTGTCTGATTTTGTGAAAAAGCTAATAAAATGTGTTTTTAGTTGTGTAAGCACCTTCCTCAGTATAACAAACGCACTGGGGTGAATAGAGACCCATCTAAGATGGCGGTCAACCACTACGGCAGCGCCAGTCCACGGGGCATCTGCGTATATTTGTCTCTGCGTGGCATTCTGCTAGTTCCTGAAACAAGCACATCTGAGGGTTTTTTCCCCCTGAGTATGACTTGCAAGGCATTTATTCTTACTAGAGACCACAAATGTATTAAATAAACACGTGTTCCACACATTTAACAGAAAACACGATCACATCATCTGTGAACATTGGTGAGGAAGCTAAGGCAGATCCCTGGATTATGGATTCAATTCCGTCAACATTTGCCTTTACAATTTCTTGCACTAGGCCAGGCAAGGCAACACATTTCATTCACAAAGGCAATTTAATGTGCTTAGCCCCTTTGCCCATATGGACATATTTGGCTCCATTTAAAATTGTCCACACAATTTAAACTGTGTTTAACACCAGAGTATGGCTATGTGGTAAAATGCCCATGTTTCTTGATTTATTGTTTTATAATGCTAATTTCTGTCCTCTTTTTTCCTCTGAATGAACATCTAGAAAGAGAGTCTGAAAATGTTCTTGTCCTTTTCTGTGAGCTGCCGCAGCCTGAGGTGAACAGCAGGACTGACAAAGGAAACAAAAAGATGCTGTTGAACGCTGTGATCTTGTGATACCCATGCACACATCGCTGTAAGGTCACGTTACCAGACCAGAACTTGGGCTTTGCTCACAGGCATCACAAATTTTACTGACATTGTGCTGAAACTGGATTTCCATGAAGGTACTTGAGGATTTCTATTTAATTTAGAACAGTTTACACTCACAAATATTCTTGTAAGGAGCCATTCAACAATCTGGGTTTAAGCATTAGAATAAAAAAGTTATAACATTTCATTTTAAATGTTTCTCATCAGAGGGGGTGGGACCAGCTTTCTGTGATGTCAGAGGTTGAGAACATATATTATGTTAATTCAGGTTCAGGACTGTCTTAAAAGACTGAGGAGGTGCTTGGGAGTCTGTTTTGGAATTGTGTTGGGATTCAGGACAGCAGGGTGAGGATCTGGGATCAGAGAGGAAACACCATCTAAACCAGGATGAGGACTGTGGTGCTGCTCTTTCTGGCTTTCATATCGGCCGCGGCGATCCGTGAGTACATCAGAAAATAAAGACAAAAATGTTTATGGTGCAAAAAGAGATTTTACACAAGACAACATGAGTTAATTTCATTATTTATCATTTAAAACACAATTTACCTAAAACAATGAAATGAACAAATTGAAAATAAATGTTTTCTTGAGTTAATCTTTTTTTCTCCTTCAGGACACAAAGATGAATCCATTTTAAACTGCTTTATATATTCACAAGATAACAAAACAGCTGAAATCTGCAAAAGTTCAAAACATTTCTAAACTTTACTGATAACTTTGCCTATTATTCTTTCTGAAACAGATTTTTTTCAGAGGTTTCTGCTCCAACCTTTGCATGACATTATTTCAGAGACATAATTTAATCTGAACACAGCATAGGAATTTATTTTATTTACTGCAGTTATTCATGCTTTGGACCAAAAATCAAACAGCAAACATTCTGATCTGCTTTTCCATGCATGTTTCACGCTCACACACTCAACGTTTTGTCTGAGGATGCAAAGATTTATTCACATTAACACGCTGATTTCATACGTCATATTCAAATCAGTAACCAGTTAATGACCTTAAATAATGTCCAATGTCTGCATCGAAACATTTACCAAATTTTGCCGTTGCTCAAAAAAGTTTAATTTTGGTCTTGAAATGGAGTCTGGGAGCCGCCGTAGCTCCCACAGGGATTACTGGTGCTGAACTCAGCTGAGAGTCACATGAAAGGGATTGAGGGGGGATTGTGGGTCATGTGACTCCCGAGTCAAGAACCCCTCACACCCTCCACTCCCGTCCAGAACCAGAACTCTCACACAAACCAAACAGTCAAAAAGATAACGGCCCCAACAAATAAAAACTAACGCTGTCATCTTTTTCTCGGAAAATTTTGTTCAATTTTTGCTTCCAGATAGTCTCAATAAATGAGTCAGTGGTTTTAAAATTTGGTTTTATTTGACTAATTTTGCAGGACAAAGAAGTCAATTCACACGTTATCGATCATGGAACTCCCAGATGTATCCGGTTTGGCAGGATGGAGACCCGAGGTTCAGGAACTGCTGGTTTGGTGAGGCTCGTTGTCTTTACCTGTAAACTCACTCACTCAGTCATGGCTGCATGGATAGAAAATGCTAACTCAACGCGGAAAGGCTGCAGTTGGGATTCAAACCTGCAACCTTCTCACTACGACGCCACAGTGCTGCCAACTGCATCACCATGAGTTCATTTCTTTCTTTTCTTTTTTCTTTCTTCTTTCTTTTTTTATAAAATCAACATTGTTTTACTGAACAATCAAACGATAATAAATCACAGTGCATTTAGTGCCAACCACAGCCTTAAGACCTGTGTTGAAAATGTCCAAGTCCATACTTATGAGAGCACCATGTGAGCACCTGTGTGTGTACACGTGCTTGTATATGTAAGGTTTCTCCATAGGAGCATCCAATAGAGAGTGTGAGGGGCCACAGATTTGCCCCCTAAAGATGTGCAGGAGACGAAGGGAGCTCCAAGTCCCAGAGATCCAGGAGCTGCCCCAGAGCACAGGAACCCCAGGGAGACTGCGACCAGAAAAGCCCTTGTCCCCTCTTGAGAGGCACAGAGGATTGCCCCGGGGCAGCCAGCAGAGTCCCGGGAGATATCAGTGGCAAGCCCACAGGCCCGCCCACAGCCTCCCACCCCCGGCCGGCCGAGCCCAGGACCCAGCCCCGCCGGGGACCCAACAGAGCCCATTTACTCAGATCCCACCAGGCAGCCACCGGGATCGATCAGACCAATGCCAAAAATCTTAAATCCCCTGACCCGGGAGCTGTGAACACTCGGGCAGTCCAAGGCACCATACTCCACACCAAATGTGGCAGGGGGAGGGGAGGCGAAGATGTGTAGCAGCACAAGAAGTCCCAGGAGAGGGGAGGAGTCCAAGACCCCACCCAACATATCAGCCAAACACAGACACAATCACACACTCCCTCCCTCATTCTCACACATACACATACAACCCAAGACTTACTAAATAAACACTAGACACCCACTCATGCTCCCCATACACACCCTATTCACTCTGGTCCCGGTACTGCTGCACATGGGGTACAACTCCCAGAGTTTGCCCCGTTCTGTTGGGGTGACAATGAGCAGGCTCCCCCGCCCAACGCTGAGCAAAGCAACCCACCATCCCAGCCTCCAATCAGACAGCCAGCTCCCCCTCCTAGCCTCCAGCCCCGGGAAGCCAAGCGACAACAGAGGTGTGCTAAGACCCCTAGTCTCCCTCCGCCTGCTCCAATATAGTGTTAGTGCGTGTTGATGAGGTGTATTCCATGGCTGTAGTGAGCGGGCGGTGCAGGCATCGTTTGGCCTACGCCAGCTGATGCAACCACACAACCCCACTACTCCTCACAGCCCTCTGTGTCTAAGTGCAGTTTAAAATTGGAAGTGGGCACCGGCACTCGGGATGAGGCTGAAAGATCCCCTTGCCAAATGCCGTTGAGTGTGCTCACTCCCAAGACCCTAAGTGTGTTTGCGTGGAATGTCGTTGGTGGAAGTGTTTAATGTGCAAATAAAGTTAAAATTGGGGTCAGGCTGCCACAGGAATGCGGCCCTGAGTTCATTTAAAGACGTTAACTTGTCTTTGATGTTGTTTTCAAGGAGGTGAGGTGACCTTTGACCTGAAGAATGACGCACCAACTCTGACAGGAGCAAAAGCAACTTTCAACATCAACCTAAACTTCCCCCCGAACCAGACCGCTCTGCCCGATGGTCAGGTGGTGTGGGCGCAGAACTGCACCATCAATGGTAGGGGGTGACGTGTCAAATGCAGCGAATGACTGGCCCGTTTTATTTTCATCTTGACCATGGGTCCCTGTCTTTACGCAGGACGCCAGTATCAGGAGGGTCAGGCTGTGTATCCGGACCAGAACCCAGAGTGGACTGGAGTTTTCCCTGACGGTACAGCGTTCACCAGAACTCAGAACCGGACCCAGGACAGGAAACCCCGCTACGTGTTTGTGTGGAAGACTTTAGGTAAATTCTGATGTTTGAAACAAAAGCAGCTTTTGCTAAGTTTTGTTAGAAATTATGTTGTTTCTTTATTTTCATGTAAATGTCTGCTTCAAAAAATGTGACAAATCCTTTAAAATCTAAATCATAAATGTCACATAGTTGATGGAAAGGCTTCCCAGCCTGCACACATAGGTGGGCCCCATGTGGTACATAACTGGGCAAGCCGTATGGGTCCCACCAGGGTTTTTCTGCAGTTTCCATGGTGGCCCCACATAGGTTTGCCCAGAAAGATATTTGGGCAAATATCCTATGGATTTTCAGAGGGTTTTGAATCTTTCTGGGCAAACCTATGTGGGGCCACCGTGAAAACTGCGGACAACCCCTGCTGGGACCAATACGGCTTGCCCATATATGTCCACCTATGTGTGCTGGCTAGGCTTCGAGACTAGATATGCTATATTACTCGTCAAACAACACAAGCTTTAAATTATTCTGTATTAACATCTTTATAGTTTTATTTTAATTGGCTTCTTTTTATAATATTTAGGATAAAATTAAATAAGCAAAAACACCTAATTTTCAATTGTTAGTAAAATGCTAGTAACCAATATTAAAGGTGTGGAACACTGAAACTTTTTGATGATAATTTCTGATTATCATTTTGATGCAGGCTGAACATGAAAATAGTCTCCTACACCTATCTCCTGCATTAGCTTCTGATGGAGAATAGACGGTGAAACTCTAGGATTTTAAAAGTCTGACAGATCTACATCACACTGTCACTTAACATTCACGGACTCACCCATCCTAGCTCGTGACGAGGAAGGCTATTGTTGGTTAAGCATCCAGAAACAGCAGAGAACGTCTCGACTAGTAGAAGCTAACCGTTAGCATTAGCAACTCAACCACACAGCAGAAGCTCCTCCAGGCAGTTGTTATTTGTTAGAAAAAAACATCCATATCGCAGAGCAAATGGAGTTAGTGGTAGAGTTGCGTTGCTGTTAGCCAATCAGAGGCAAGATGTCCAAATTTCAGGAAATAAGACTCCAAATCCTGTCATGTTAAGCTCTCTTTTGATGTAGCAGACATTTCCGTATACTGAGGAAGAGGTTTCTGGGCTTTTTATTTTTATTTTTATCCAAAGTATGGTTTACAAGGTATTCATTCCTACCAGAGACCACTGCAAATGTATTGAATAAATGAGTTTCCCACACCTTTAAAGAGTGAACTCTGTGTTGTTTGCAGGTCGGTACTGGCAGGTTGCAGACGGACCTTCCTCCTCACTCACCATCGGGACAGACAATGTCCCTCTGGGCTCCTACAACATGGAGGTTGTCATCTATCACTGCAGAGGAAAAAACAAGTTCATCCCCCTCGGCTATGCCTCAACGGTCTTCACCATCACAGGTGAACTGCTGAACTGTTGCCAAACTCAGGGCTTTGTAAAATATCTTAACATAAATTTCCCTTTCTGTCCTCAGACCAGATTCCATTCAGGATCTCACTTTCTCAAGTCAACGATGTGAATCAGAACGACCAGAACTTCATCCAGAACCAAGCCATCGCCTTCACCATCACGCTCCACGACCCCAGCCAGTACCTGACTGGTGCAGACATCAGCTTCAGCTGGGACTTTGGTGACACCAGTGGGACACTCATCTCCAGGGAGCGCTCTGTCACACACACTTACCTCTCAGTAGGAACCTTCAAACCTCAGGTGGTCCTGATGGCGAGCATTCCTAACACGTGTCCTGACCCAGCAGGTGGTAGGAATTTTAACGTGTCACCATTATCAATATCATTATGATTCTATTAGCTGACTTTCTTTTCCTCACCAGTTGTTCCCATTGATGCTTCGGCAGCTCCAGCTGTTGTAGTCATGGCCTCCACCCCTGCAGCTGTCCCAGCTGCTCTAGCGGAAGGAGGAGATGCAGTTGCCCTGGATATTTCTGCCTCTGATGCCACTCCAGTGCAGCCAGCTGAGGAGGAACCGGTTGCTGAAACCGACACAGAGGCAGTAGAAGTCGCTGCGTCAGTGGCTCCTGCAGGAGTAGATGAAGCCGTTGTCCCTGCAGAGCAAGATCCTGCCAACACAGCTGCTCCTGCTGCAGAAGCAGATGTTTCTGAGGAGGAGGAGACTGATGTAGCTGCAGATACAGCCACTGTTGCACCGGCAGCTGAAACACAAGCGGAGACAGCTGCTGAGGGAGCTGAAATCGTGCCTGTGGCTGATGCTGCTGCTTCAGCCATACCTGTTGCAGAGAACGAAGAAGCTGCAGTTGAGGCTGCTGACGCCATCACCATTGCTCCTGTGGTGGATGTAGCTGTGGAGCAGGAAGCTGTTGATGCTCCTGTAGAGACTGCTGAGGCTACTTCTGTCGCCACAGAAGTGATCCAAGCTGAAACCGTAGCCGCTGCTGAAAATGTTGTTGCTCTCGCTGACACTGAGGCCACGGCTGCAGAAGGGGGAGCTCCAGCTGATGAGGCTGAAATAGTGGAAAACGCAGTCACAGCTACTGTAGCAGCTGCAGGTGAAGAGTTCCTTCCAACTCAAAATGCATCAAAGTGTAAGAAGATATGTCTAGACACAAAAGTACTAACTAATAACAAATTTGTTTTTCTTTGAATGTTCGTGCGGGTGAAGAAGAAGCAGCTCCAGCTGAGGCTGAGGTTCAGGTTGAAGTGGAAGCAGATCCTGCTCAGGTTGCTCTGGTTGTAGCCAAAAGACAAGCGCCAGAGCTCACAGCAGACTGCACCATCTACCGCTACGGCTCCCTCGCTACATCTGTGGATGTTGTTCGTAAGTCTTTCACTGTGATGCGTGTCACAAATCAGATGCTGCTGTTTAAAAGAGGTTTTAACACCCTTCTTGTTCTCTTTCAATCCTGCAGAGGGAATAGAAAGTGTGGAGATTGTTCAAGTCTCCAATATCGTGTCAATGATGACTGAGCTGGACCAGAATGCTGTAGATGTCACTATTTCCTGTCAAGGAAGGTGAATACAAGTCTTAAAAGATTCCTTTGGTTGTATTTCATTTGTGACTTCTTCGTTTACAGCTTTTAGCTCTAAAGCCTCTCTGATTATTCTCCTTGAAACTTCTCCTTTGCATTCCTTCCTGTAGTCTGCCAAGCGAGGTGTGCACCGTTATCTCTGATGCTGACTGCATCACACCGATCCAAACCATCTGCAATGCAGCCTCACCCTCTCCAGACTGCCAGCTGGTCCTTCGTCAGTTCTTCAACGACACCGGAGTCTTCTGCCTCAACGTGTCTCTGACCAATGACGTCAGTCTGGCCGTGGCGAGCGCGAGAGTCAATGTGGCAGTGGGTGAGTGAGAGCGACAGTGATCAATGTACATGGTAATGACTTAGAAAGAGGTGGTTTTGTGTTGGTGTGATGTGATGCGTCTTCTTTCAGCTTCTGGTGGATCACCAGCTGGAACTGCTGCAACTGTGCTGGGTGGGATGGTCCTGGCCTGTGTGGTTTGTTGTTTGGGTTTGATGTACAGGTGAGTGTCAGATCACCACAAGTCTAAACCAGAATCTGTCCGTTAGCAAGCTGGTTTTAGCAACCAAACCAAGTCAAGAGCTTCAGTGACCATTTAGAAAAATGAAAAAAAATTTCTTCGGATTCTTTATGATTTAAACTGTAAAAGTTGAATTATATCTCTAATGTTCAGCATGTCTACCTCTCAAACAGCACTAGTGCTTTCCTCTAAAACCCAGTTTCAAATCCTAAATATCTTCTCCCATCTGGTGGAGGATCTGAGTATTGCATATGCCCCTTTTTATTTTTATTTGTTGATAAATTCATTTAACAAAAGTGTAATTTTATTACTTTCAGCAAACTTTGATTAATTGATCTATTGTTTGATTGATCTATTGATTTTCCTGGCTGTATGGGTTGTTGGTTGCAGGACATAACACAAATTTTAAATGTTGACTTGTGTCAGGCGGTTTAAGCAGTACCAGCCACTGAGGGAGAGCCAGGAGGACGCTAACAGAGGCAGCTTCGCAGTAACGTCGGTACCTTTGATGCTGTGGAATCTGCTGAGTCGACAGTCACCAGGAGAAAGCCGTCCACTTCTTCAGGGAAGGGTTGTGTGAAAATCAATCCACGTGCTAAAATCATCTGCTAACAGTTTGGCTTCATGTTTGTCACTCTGTAATGACACCAGATGGTCCAGACACCTGAAACATGCACATGTTGAGAAAACCAACTCATGTACAAATCAGGATTTTTACTGAAATAATGAAAAATATTTATTATGTCCTACAACAGGACCGGTATCCAGCACCTTTTAGTTTTAACCTTGCTTCAACGCACCTGATTTCAATCAGCAGGTGATTAACAGGCTTCTGCAGAGCCTGATGAGCTGCTGCACAGGTGCTTTAACCGCTGAATCTTGTGTGTTGGAGCAGAGAAACCACCAAAATGTGCTGGATACCGGCCCTCGAGGCTGTGAATAGCCCTGTTCTACAACATCTTTATAATCACATAATAATTATCACAGCTGTATTTGTGGCCTGCTTATACTAAACATATGAAATATATTTCAATTAATTTCTTACAGTTTAATAAAGTTTTCCACAGAAATATCATGTGAGTGACTCTGAAATAAAAACATTCAACTAATTACCATCATGTGTTTCTTTAAGTTGTTTTACCAAATCATCTAGATGCAAGAATCACATCATCAACAGGTAAAACTCTGGTAAAACCAAAGTTTTTCGTGTTTTTGCTGATTAATGACACGTTTCCTTTTAAAATCATTTAAATCTGGACAAACGGGTCTATGATGTATTTACTCAGTGTAACAGATGAACATTTTTGCATGCATCAGGTGATTTTATAACCAAAAAGTCCAACCAGTACTTGTGCTGCATCTTAAAACCAACTGCTGTATCTGCATCTTTAATCTCAGGAGATCAAACCTGCTCTAGCTCTGTGATGATTAATAACCTTTCACTGGACATTGGACCACTTTAGTTCTGTTTTATGCTATGGAGAGAACAGCAGAAATCATTACAAATACCATCAGGGAAGCTTGATCATCGCTAACATTATTAATACAGCTTCCATGAAAAGGTTAGGAGCTATTTATGGCAAATTCATTATCTTATAACTTAAATTATGTAATAAATGTAAGCTGTTGTGTTCTGAGTTTGGGAGCAAAGTGAGGATTAACATTTTAGTGTGTGAATGTGTGTGTGTGAATGGATGAGTGATGCACTGTAGTGTAAAGTACTTTGGAGTCCTTACTCTGAGCGGCGCTATACAATTTATCATTTAAAATAAAAGTCTTTAAAGACACAAAGCAACACGAATCCAGTGTTTTACAGGCAGTTGCATGTATTTTTGTCTGAATAATCCACATTGAAATGATTTAGTGTTAGAGAACGCGGATTAACAGAAGAGTGCACGAGGATCTTGGCAGACTTCCTAGCAGATTAACAAAATAAATAATTAACGTGTTCAACCACAATGAAAGGAAGTGAGCGCGTTTAACAGAAAACACGTTTAGTCAAAAGAAAATGACAACAAAATAACTCAAGATTTTGAACGGCATTAAGATCCTTTCTTGTTATTATCCTCTCCCTGACTGTTGCACGATGCTCCACAACGCCCTGCAGCAGGAATAAAACCTGACGTCACTGCAGAAAATCCTTTACTGGAAGAAGAAACTACAGCCTCAATGTGAACAAAGACGCGGAGCTACGAGGACATAAAATGAGCGATAATGGATCAAAGTTCTTTCCCTGTGAATTATTTACATTGCTTTATTTTCTAATTTCACTTGTACGTGCAGGAAGCAGATGTCTGTTTGCTACAGAGATGGACGGAAACAAGACAACCTGGTTGTTTCCTGCTGATGTGCACATTATTCTCTATCAGTCTCTTTACTCACAGTCCACATGAATTTAACAGACATGTAACACTGCAGCACTCCATTAAGGGGATTGAAACACAACCATTAATCACATACAGCTATTAACTTGTCTCTCAGCCGTATGAGCCATCTCTGTTCTCTCCAGCCAGGAGGCGACCCGGGAGGTCGTCTCTTTCTCTGACCTGCAGCTTTTAACAAGTCACTGCTTCACCAACAGAGAGCAACCCAACGTTCATGTTAAAACTCACTGTAAAAGTGAAGATGAGTCAGGGAGGGACATCTCCCCGGGAGCCACGCAGCTCTGATTAATCTGGACCAGTTATGTTGCTCGCCACTCCCATAGCAACAGATCTTTAAGAGATCTAATTACCTCCGTATTTTCTCCGCGCTGCAGAAACCTTTAGAGGGATGTCACGATAACAATCACTACTGCCAATGATCTGAATAGATGTCAGGGCAGAGTTCACGGCTAACCAGAGCTCACTCATCTAACAGAATTAGGTTTTAAAAATGGTTACCCCTCCTCAGTTACCTGGATCTTTTGTTCTCCTCCAAACTTCTAAAGAAACCAGCCAGCCAGTGAGAACAGTTTATCATCGATCATTGAATCATTCCCACCAGGCTGCTCAACTAGCTCCCTTCTTCCCTTATCTCCACCCATTTAACCCTTTTGTTGGCAGAACTTCACTCACCTTTCAGATCTGATCAGCCTCTTTAATCAACTTTCACCTGAAATTATGACACATAAATCCACTTTTTGCTTATGTTTATTGGAAAAATTCACACTGTGAGTTTGTGTTGCTGCCACTTACTGACGTTTAAACCTGCTTCCATCTGGGGCAAAAACCCGACATTACTGAAGAATATATTAGATGGAGCTCATCTTTATGAAAATGTAACGCAATAAATACGTTTACATCCCAACATCATTGAGACACCTGAATGCATGTTTACGTTTGAAACTGGACACACATATTGAGCTGAAGATGAGAACAGATATTTTATTGTTTAGGTGGCTGAACGCGGGGATCCTTGGGGAGTTCTGGGATAAGAGCTGTGGAAGGATCATTTACTAATGGTGACATCTGGTTGAGGGTTAGTGTTACACACAGAATCCAGAATTAACCTATAAATAGTGTGTGTGTGTGTGTGTGTGTGTGTGTGTGTGTGTGTGTGTGTGTGTGTGTGTGTGTGTGTGTGTGTGTGTGTGTGTGTGTGTGTGTGTGTGTGTGTGTGTGTGTGCAGGTTCATGTTCTAAAAATCTCCTAAATTTAGGCTAAAGTGAACCATCTTCCAAGGCAGGATGAGAGATTCTGTTTGACAAGAGGAAAGAGAGGATGAGTCAGAGAGAAGAGAGTTACTGACCATGAAGCAGGTTGATTAGATTACAGAGAAACATCCAACAGGCCTTTTATCACAGATCAGCTTTGACCGTGTGTTCACAACCAGCAAAAGTGTGTGTATTGGTGAAAACCACAGATAATAAAAAATAAAGAGTTGCGTTTTCTTCCCAATATGTGAGCTACTGCAAAAAATAAAAGGAAACTTATTGAATGAGAAAACTGCTGCTTTTTTAATTAAAATGACAGGAATTTGTGAATAAGACATGAAATACATTATGCAAGGTTGTTAAACTCAATATTCTAGAAAAGTGATGTCATCAGACACAAGGAGAAGATCGTGCCACGCCCAGCTAAAACGGAGCATGCTCTGTTAGTAATGTCTGTGCTCAGTTCAGACACAGATGAATCAAACCAACACACAGAGAGGATTAGGAATGTGAAAACTACAGACTCTCAAAGTACAATACAAGTACTATAACTTTGGATGTAAACATCATTTTCATTATGACTTTTTGAAAGAAAATTAGGTTGATTTAATTTGTTAAAGTGAATTAAAGCGATTTAAGTTCAATGTCTTGCTTATGTTTAGCTGTCAAGTTATTTTTTGTACTTCAAACACAGAATAAACACGATGTGTAAACACTCTTCTGACAGCTAAAAATAAATTTTACTTATTCTAAGAATGACTCAAGTCAGCGTCTACAGTGTTTCTTCATTTGTGAACATATTCCTTCCAAAAAATTACTAAAGCAAAAAATTATCCCACATTATTTATTTGCTGTTTCACATCATTATTAATAAACACTCCCTACAAAACTAATAGTCCTCCTATAACTACTTGAGCATTGAACTAGTTGTCCAAATCTGTCGAGTAAACTTCGTGCATTCCTTTATCATATTTTACAGAGACATGGCCATCGTGCAGTTTTACCCAAAGAAAGTATTTTGTGTTAGTTTTAAATATGTTTGCTTTTGCACAATGCTGCAAAGCACACATGCAGTGAAATGCGAAGCAAACAGTGTTGTGTACTCATTAACCTCTAAGAAATGCCGTACTATTAATGAGACAAGCAAGTCATATTGAACTAGAACATCACTGATAATTGTCTGCCACCTTGTATGAACTTGCTGATCTATGATCTGAACCAAAAACCCAAACTTGTCTGGAAAAACAGAGATTACTGGATGATTCTTTTCCAAAAAGATAATATAACTGCAGAGTCATGTCTCTACCCCAGACGGCCAGAATATCAATAAAGTATTCCATTACTGTAAAAGGAGAGACAGACAGGGAGCAGAGAGACACAGAGACAAATGGACGAGCGGAAAAAAGAATTGAATCAATGCATCCATGTGATTCGGTTTAGGGTAGAGTTTCAGGTTCTCTACTGGGAACCAGGAAATCAAATCCTCGGCACGAGCATGAGTGATTTTGTGATAATCAGGATAAGAACAGATTGAAATTATTTATGGATGAGAATCCAGGGGAAGACAGATTAGGCACATGTCTTTACATCAAAGTAGAATTAAGAAGTTGGTCTGGCTTTCTGCCAGCTTTTCTGGTTAGGAGATGGATGGAGACCAGTGAAACTGCAGAAAAAGGCATGGTCCAGCTCTGAGGGGTAGGGAGTGGCCAGAGCTGTATGGTGATGAGAGAGCAAGAAAGGAAGGGTGGAGTGAGGAGAGGAGAGGGGGGAGGAGGTGTGATGCTCAGAGGGCCTGAGAGTATAAAACCCTCCTCACGCCTCAGTCGGATGTCCTGTTGCTTCAGGAGCATTTCATCTTTCCACAGCCACAGAGAACAGAGCCAGAACAACCATGAGCCATTCTTCAGTGCATTCCTCCACCTCCTACAGGCGCACCTTTGGAAGCCCACACCCCATCTCCCTGTCCTCCTTCACCCCCGTATCTTCTCGCCCTCCCGTCTCTGGAGGCCGCTACATGCGCTCAGTCTCACCTATGGTGGCGTCCCGCCCCGCCACCTACCAGCAACAGCGTACCCGCTCCAGCCCCCAGCCCCCTCGCATCTCCTACGACAAGGTGGACTTCACCTTGGCTGAAGCCGTCAACCAGGAGTTCCTTGCCACCCGCAGCAATGAGAAGGCGGAGCTGCAGCAGCTCAACGACCGCTTTGCCAGCTACATCGAGAAGGTGAGGTACCTGGAACAGCAGAACGGTGCTCTGACGCAGGAGCTGAACCAGTACAAGGGCCAGTACCAGCAAGGCCAGCCCAACCGGGCCTCGGAGCTCTTCCAGGAGGAGCTCAGGGAGCTGAGGCGTCAGATGGATGCAGTCGGCAAAGAGAGGGACCAGTACCTGCTGGAGAGGGACAACCTGGCCGATGACCTGACCCTCCTCAAACAGAGGTCAGTACGATAGATAGATAGATAGATAGATAGATAGATAGATAGATAGATAGATAGATAGATAGATAGATAGATAGATAGATAGATAGATAGATAGATGATAGATAGATAGATAGATAGATAGATAGATAGATAGATAGATAGATAGATAGATAGATAGATAGATAGATAGATAGATAGATAGATAGATAGATAGATAGATAGATAGATAGATAGATAGATAGATAGATAGATAGATAGATAGATAGATAGATAGATAGATAGATAGATAGATAGAAAGAAAGATTTGGGCGTGGCACCAGAGCATGATGCTGCACCACATCACGTGTGCAGGATGATGTGATGTGCGATTGCAAATGACACATTTATTTCATGAGATATGGAGGTAAACAACAGCACATGACATCATCAATAGAACCATGTGATATAGGAATCATTGCATAATTAAGTAAATAATATAAATGTGAATTTGTTAAATAGCAGACACACGATGATGCATGCTTGCAGAGAAAGGAGGTGGGGGGAGGGACCAGACATTGGGTGGGGCAGGCCGAGAAGCAGGGAGGAGGAGGAGAGGAAATGGGAGCAGAGAGAGAGAGAGGGAGAGGGTGAGAGAGGGGTTGGGTGTCAGGGGGAAAAATCAATGTGACTCAATAACTCCATTAGGTGTGTTTCAGACAGTGTCCCTCTTTACTGATGGGATGGTGCCAGAGAGCCCATTAGGACAAAAAAGGCCCGGCGTAACTCCACATGAATTAAAGATGAGAACCAGGGACCCACTAATACTCTATGTCCATCCTGGGTTGAACCTGCCTGACTGAATGGATGAAGCTGGGTTCAGCTGCACTCAGAGATGATCAATCTGAAAAAAGCTGATCAGGAGAGAAGTGCATTCTGGGTCATGGCTCATTCTGAGTAACACAAGAAAGAACATGATTTATTAGAGCAGAACAAAAAGTCAAGGTTAAAGCTTTTCTGCTACTGCACAGTCATGTTGAAAACAGTTTTTTAAGTTAAAGGTGGAGGTATGTTTAGATAATCAAATCGGGTTTGTGCAGACGACCTCAGCGAAATGCTGACCTGCAACATTTGCTGAAAGGAGCAGCTGCAGGTCTGCACTCTCAAATTCCTTTTAACGAGACAGCAAATTCCCAAATGGATCCAGGAAGCTTAGCGCCAGCTGATGCTCTACTGTTGGCTGATATTAGAGGGAAAACATTAAATTAAATTAATTCTCATATACAATTGCAATTCCTGTTAAAACCCATTATAAAACTGTTCTCTGCTCTCAGGTTGGAGGACGAAGCCCAGAAGAGAGCTGATGCTGAAAATAACTTGGTTGCTTTCCGCAAGGTAAACGCCAGAGTCGCTGGGCTGTCTCTGATGATGAGACTCATTGATTAGCTTTGTTACGCCTCCAGCACTTTCATAACAGAGTCACAGTGTGACAGGGCAGATTCCTTAGATGGTATTGATCACTCAAGGCTGCACTGACCTGTTAAAATAAATACAAATACTAAACACCTCTTGGGAATTTACACTTTAGCTCTTCTTTTGTCTCCTAAACTCAGGATGTCGACGATGCCACGTTGTCCCGTTTGGAGCTGGAGAGGAAGATCGAATCTCTAATGGATGAGATTGAATTCCTAAAGAAACTCCACGATGAAGTAAGTAATGCTGACTCTTAGCCAGTGGTTTCCTACTGTAGAAGCAAAACTCTTGGGAAAGAATTGATCTAAAATGCTAACAGTAATCTAAATCCTGTTAGAACAGGAAACAAATATTATTATCATAAAATGAATGAAAATAGATTTTACTGTGTCGGTGAGTTGGTTTGTTTGCAAATTCAGGAAATCCAAGATGTCCAAGTGAGTGTCCAGACCCAGCAGCTGAAGATGGAGGTGGACAGTACCTCCAGGCCGGACCTGACTGGTGCTCTGAGGGACATCAGGGCCCAGTATGAGACCATTGCATTGAAGAACATGCAGGAATCTGAGGACTGGTACAAGTCCAAGGTGTGCAGATGGGACAGACACATTCTCGAGCACACAGGAACACAAACATACTCATTCCTTTATTTTTGTTTCCTCTTTTGCTGCTTTATTAGTTTGTTGACTTGACTGAGTCTGCAAAGCGCAACACTGATGCCCTGAGGATGGCCAAGCAGGACGCCAACGAGTCCAGGAGGCAGATTCAGTCCCTCAACTGTGAAATTGATGCACTTAAGAACACAGTAAGACCAGACCGTCTTCATGAATGTGTGGTACGCATTCACAACTGCTCCAAATCTGTTGTGCTGCTGTGATTCCCCAGAATGAAGCTCTGCTCAGGCAGATGCGTGAAATGGAGGACCAGTTTGGCAACGAGATTGCCAACTACCAGGACAACGTGGGCAGACTCGAGGACGAGATTCGCCACCTGAAGGAAGAGATGGCTCGCCATCTTCGGGAGTACCAGGACCTCCTCAACGTCAAGATGGCCCTGGACATCGAGATCGCCACTTACCGTAAACTGCTGGAGGGAGAGGAAAGCAGGTGAGGGAAGAAATATCAAAGACGCGTGCATTACACTGACCATGTCCAAAGTGTGGCTCGGGGGCCATCTGCCGCCCTGGTGGTGATTCTGTTTGGCCCTGACTGAATTTCCAGGAGGATGAATTTAGTCTCACCAGTAGGATTTTTATGTCAAAAGACCCTTTTCAACATTTCTTCTTTCAGACTTGTACTGATGCTCCAATGTCGGAACTATTTTTGAGAAGTGCAAATAAAAAAATACATAAACAATTATCTTTGTTATTTTAAATAAGTAAAAAACATTAACAGGGACACTTTAAAATAAGGGTCCCTTTATTAACATTATCATTATTGTTAACTATTAAAGTCTCTTTCCGGAGTATTTATCTTATCTGATGGCACCATCTAGTGGCTAACAAGCATATCACACAAATAGTCAGTCGATGCGTTTTTTTAAGATGGCGACTTCACGTTTCTTGTTTATAAATGTGCATCTGTGGCCAACAAACCGAGCTAAAACACGCTGTTTTACAAGTATTGTATGTTTTCATATAATTATATTTTAAAGACTTACTTGACTGTGAAAAGTTAATCAACTCTGCATCAGCCGAGGTATTTCTTACATTTGAAGCACATAAGTGGCAGTCTAACGCTGTTGGTTAGCTCTGGTTGGCGCTCAGTTTCCTATTGCACAGAGCTCTGCAGGGCAGGGGGCGTGCTTAGCAAAAAAATAAAGAAAAGACGTGTTGCTTACATTATATCACAGTACATAATAAGATAATCACTTTTACGTATTTCTGAAAATTCATACATAATTTCTCAAAGGGGAAAACTCCAGAAAGCTACTGTCCTTAAGGTCAGGACAAAGGGCTCAGGACTGGGGGATATCTGCTTAGATATGTATTTTCATTGAACATTAAAATTGTCTCCTACACCTATCTCCTGAATTAGCTTCTGATAGAAAATAGACGGTGAAAATCTAGATTTGAAAGGCCTGACAGATCCATGTCACATTGTCACTTAACATTCATGGATTCACCCATCTTGACTCACGACGAGGAAGGTTGCTGTTTTAATGTCCAGGAATCAGAAGAGAACCTCCCGACTAGTTTAGGCTAAATGTTAGCATTAGCAACACCCCCACAAAATTAAAACTCCTCCAGGCTTGGGTTATTTGTGGAGATGAAACATCAACGTTGCAAGTCAGTGGTAGAGTTGCGTTGCTGTTATCCAATCTGAGGCGAGATGTCCAAATATCAGGAAACATGACTTTAAATCCTGCTGTGCAGCAGCAGGATAGTTGGTGCTGATCCAAGAAATTCTGGGCTGTTTTTGCATTGAGTGTGGCTTACAAGGCCTTCATTCCTACCAGAGACCACTGCAAATGTATTGATTAAACAAGTTTCCCATACCTTTAATGCTTAATAAGTCATTATTATTTACTTATTATAAAATGCAACCAAAATAAAATGTTTGTTGACCACAAGTACTATTTACGTGGCAATTTTAACCTTCATTAGTGTTTGGACACCGATGGCTTAACAACCCCCCCCCCCCCCCCCCCCACACACACACACACACACACACACACACACACACACACTCTCTTTATGGGTGACCCTGTGAGGAAAGTTGACCATTGAGCAGGATTGATGGTTTATCCCTTGAGGTCCACGTGGCAGGGTGAGGTGGTGCTCACTCCTTACCCCTGCCACATGGACCCAAGGGGTGAACCATCAATCCTGCTCAATGGTCAACTTTCCTCACGGGGTCACACCCATTAGGGCAGTGGGAGGGTTAAAGGATCAGACCACAACTTCAAGGCTCTAAACCTGAATTCTTTTGTTGGGTTTCTTGAGTCTTTTCAGACCAAATTACATGCATGCTAAGTTTAAGTAGAGCAAATTCAATTTTATTGCAGAACAACAGCCTGAAATTATTTGTTTCTGTCACAGGATCTCTGTTCCCATCTTCAACGTAGGAATGAGCAATCATCTTGGTGACAGAGGTGAGATATTTTCCATTTATTTCTAAAAACTAATTTGGATTAATTGTTGGTGTGTCTTGTACATTTGTGAACTGGAGGTGTGGGTGATTATGTGAAGGACTGTCTGTAGTAATTCAAAGCAGTCATCTGTGATTTAATCTTTCTTTTTTTTTAAGATTATGAAAAAGCTCCTGAAACTCAGGGCAAGAAGACTGTGGTGATTAAAACTGTGGAGACCAGAGATGGAGAAGTAAACTGATTTAAAGCAAAACTGCATTGCCCTTCCTTAAGTGGTCAACTTTCATACCAGTGTGTTTCTCTTTCTGCATCAGGTGGTGAAGGAATCCAGGAGAGAGAAGGAGAGTGACTCTGGAAAAACCGACATAGACGACTAGATAAAAGCTGTGAAGTTAGACAATGTGCCATGGTAGAGAAAAATATGAAGAAATTAAGAATTCTGGCACATTTAGTTCTCATTCCCATTAGTTATGTGTGTTGTTGTCTAGCAATGTATCCCTCAGCAAAGGTGCAACCTTTAGAGAATCACCTTGGTGCTACGTAAGCCACCAAACTTTTGCTAAACGCTCGTGTTATGCCGTTTATTACTGTACCACTCGAGGCCTTGATTTACAGTGCAATCCTGTGGAATTAGGCTACCACACATTTATAGTAGACATTTAAAGTACAGGCAGAAATAAGTAGCTAAATACAAGATTTTAGTGCTTAATTTTAGACTGATTTACTAACAAATGTGCTGACACTGCCCTTTATTGCCCCACACACCTTAAATGGCAGAATAAGGTTAATTCAATCTGTCTGCTTTTGTTTTTGAAGCTTTGCTACCCTTTTATTATTAAGACTGTCTTTTTATTGGAGATGTGGATTGATAAATGAACATGTAACAAGCAAGAAAAGATGAAACTGAAAAGATGATCAACTAAATAGACTTTTGCAAAATGTGCTTTTGAATGATGTAGCACGGTTAATGAATAAAAATGTATGTGCAAATAAACTTCATTGGCGCTAATACTGGTTTTCTGTTGACATTTATACCTTTGAAATACGTTTACATCTTTGTCAACATGATAAATATACCTGAACACCGCAGTTTCAAAGCCCAACAAACCCCATTCAATATTAGTTACAATAGCAGTGCTACAAAACAATAACAGCTGAAGCAGTGCAGTCAATATTTGATTATTTAAGAAGACAAAAGAAGAGCAATAAATAATCTAATGAAGACAGAGCAATTTTAATTCAATTCAGTTTATTTATATGGCGCCAAATCACGACGAGAGTCGTCTCAATGTACAGGTGCTGGCCAGTAAATTAGAATATCATCAAAAGGTTGAAAATATTTCAGTAATTCCATTCAAAACGTGAAACTTGTACATTATATTCATGCAATGCACACAGACCAATGTATTTCCGATGTTTATTACGTTTAATTTTGATATTTATAGGTGACAACCAATGAAAACATCAAATCTGGTATCTCAGAAAATTAGAATATTCTAAAGGCCAATGAAAAAATGTTTGTTTCTCTAATGTTGGCCAACTGAAAAGAATGAACATGAAAAGAATGTGCATGTATAGCACTCAATACTTAGTCGAGGCTCCTTTTGCCTCAATAACTGCAGTAATGCGGCGTGGCATGGACTCGATCAGTCTGTGGCACTGCTCAGGTGTTATGAGAGCCCAGGTTGCTCTGATAGTCGTCTTCAGCTCCTCTGCATTGTTGGGTCTAGCGTATTGCATCCTCCGCTTCACAATACCCCATAGATTTTCTATGGGGTTAAGGTCAGGCGAGTTTGCTGGCCAATCAAGGACAGGGATACCATGGTCCTTGAACCAGGTGCTGGTGGTTTTGGCAATGTGTGCAGGTGCCAAGTCCTGTTGAAAGGTGAAGTCTGCATCCCCATAAAGTTGGTCAGCAGCAGGAAGCATGAAGTGCTCTAAAACTTCCTGGTAGACGGCTGCATTGACCCTGGACCTCAGGAAACAGAGTGGGCCAACACCGGCAGATGACATGGCACCCCACACCATCACTGACGGTGGAAACTTTACACTGGACCTCATGCAACGTGGATTCTGTGCTTCTCCGCTCTTCCTCCAGACTCTGGGTCCTTGATTTCCAAAGGAAATGCAGAACTTGCTTTCATCAGAAAACATAACTTTGGACCACTCAGCATCAGTCCAGTCCTTTTTGTCCTTGGCCCAGGCGAGACGCTTCTTGCGCTGTTTCTTGTTCAAGAGTGGCTTGACACACGGAATGCGACACCTGAATCCCATGTCTTTCATGAGTCTCCTCGTGGTGGTTCTTGAAGCGCTGACTCCAGCTGCAGTCCACTCTTTGTGGATCTCCCCCACATTTTTGAATGGGTTTGTCGTCACAATTCTCTGCAGGGTGCGGTTATCCCTAGAGCTTGTACACTTTTTTCTACCACATTTTTTCCGTCCCTTCGCCTGTCTGTTAATGTGCTTGGACACAGAGCTCTGCGAACAGCCAGCTTCTTTAGCAATCACCTTTTGTGTCTTGCCCTCCTTGTGCAAGGTGTCAATGATTGTCTTTTGGACAGCTGTTAAGTCAGAAGTCTTCCCCATGATTGTGGTGCCTTCAAAACAAGACTGAGGGACCTTTTAAAGGCCTTTGCAGGTGTTTTGAGTAAATCAGCTGATTAGAGTGGCAGCAGGTGTCTTCTATATTCAGCCTTTTCAGAATATTCTAATTTTTTGAGATACCAAATTTGGAGTTTTCATTAGTTGTCACTTATGAATATCAAATTTAAATGTAATGAACATTGGAAATACATTGGTCTGTGTGCATTGCATGAATATAATGTACAAGTTTCACGTTTTGAATGGAATTACTGAAATATTTTCAACCTTTTGATGATATTCTAATTTACTGGCCAGCACCTGTACTTCACAAAGTAAACATTCCAATACATACAGGTCAGTTCATTAAGCCAATCAGTAAAAAGTTTCCTACATAAGGAACCCAGCAGATTGCATCAGGTCACTGACTAGTGTCAGTGACTTTACAGCAATCCTCATACTAAGCAAGCATGCAGCGACAGTGGAGAGGAAAACTCCCTTTTAACAGGAAGAACCCTCCAGAGGATCCTGGCTCAGTATAAGCAGCCATCCTCCACGACTCACTGGGGATCGAGAAGACAGAGCAGACACATACACGCACACACCAACACACACACACACACACACACACACACACACACACACACACACACACACACACACACACACACACACACACACACACATACACACACACACACACACACACACACACACATGCAACATATATACAAAGTAGTATTTCTATGGTAACATTGTGATTTCTTAGTAAATATTCTATTTGGTGAGAGAGAAACTTTATTGTATTCATCTTAGTGAATGTATAATTAATTCAACGGGTAAACTAGTAGTAGCACATTCAATGTCAAAGTAAGTAAAATGTTATTATCAGGAGAGGGAGAATGTCTAAAATAAGTAAGTTGTTTGTATTTGGTTTTAATTTCATTGTTTTGATTATTGAGTTCTCGTGTTTACATCCGGTTGACCTAAATAAAAACATATAAACCTCTTATAGACCACATGTGACCATCAATAAAACCAAAAGGCAGATTACAAATAATGAAATTAAAAGTCTATTCAGACAAAGAACAAACTGTTAAAAAGAACAGCATTTCTATTCTGTTGCTGGTCGTTATGCTGCATTTGCTTTTTATTTATTTGAATAGTTCATACATTATTGTGAAATCTAAATACACCTATGCTTTTCCCGTTCAAAACAAAACTGTGCCTTTAAATAAATAATTTATATGTCTGTATGAATGTCTCTCTCTCTGTGTGTGTGTGTGTGTGTGTGTGTGTGTGTGTGTGTGTGTGTGTGTGTGTGTGTGTGTGTGTGTGTGTGTGTGTGTGTGTGTGTGTGTGTGTGTGATCTAATATTCATTTGATCGGTTTAATTCCACAACCATGGTAAATCATTGCTGTGTTGTGGGGTGCAACCTTCGGGTGCAACACGTGATCGCCACGGAAAACAGGCTAACTTTCCACAGTTTTCCTGCTTGGAGGCATAACCAAGTGTCTAACATAACAAAGTCTCGTCGGCTCGCTTGGATCGTAGCTGTAAGGAGACCAAACATCACCTTCCAAAATATTTTCATTCTGGTATGTTTCAGATGGTGTACAGTTTTTATATATTGTTTCTTTCCTTCAATCGCGACATGCACACACAACACACACATAGGCTACACACACACACCATTAGGCTAATGCGGGCACACTGACACACAACACAACTTTTCCTGTTACACCTCTATGCTATGGATGCCAATTTTGATTGTTTTTCAAGACAAACCAGCAAATAAAATGTTTACCTCTCATCTGGACGTAGCCATCCGCTCACACCACGAACAAGATAGCCGAAAATGCCCATTATGCAGCACTGCGGCGACAAGTCTTAGGTCTTTTATGGATCTAAACTTTTTATACAGCTGATTTTGTCCATATACCTGTCCCTGACGTCATTATTTAACATGTCCATGTATATTCTGCATCCTTTTGGGATTTTAGCATGTTGTTTAATGCTTCCTTTCTCCCAAATCTGCTTCTTCTCTGCCACATACTGTTTGTTTTCATGGTTTGTTTACACTGGTAAGACCATCAGCATGCTCCATATCCCAGAATGCAACACATAATCACGTGTGAGCCCAAGCCCTATAGTTTTATATCTGATTGATTAGAAACTACAAACTCATGCTGCAGGGCGTTAGTACGTTGGATTAAAAAATTCTGTCGCTCAAATGCTACTTTTTGTTTTATTTCTGAAGGTCCGAAGAGCCGCTTTTGTTTTGCCTGATTTATTTTATGTATTTATTTATTTTGACTGAAATACAAAACTCAGGGCACGCAGAACCGCACTGGTGACGTTCTTCCGGTTCCGCTTTAGGTCTTGGCGCGAGATTTTGTTGCTGCAGGTATGTTTTAAGAGCAGCTGTACGACGTCGTTTCGTAAAAAGTAGGAAAATATAAACTTCTGTCACAGACGGACGTTAAACACAACAGCTACGGACGCGGAGCGTTCTCTGAGCGGACAGGTTAGCTTCGCATTGGTTTGTTTTTACGGTTGAACTAATTTGGTGTCCGCTGTAAGCTAACAGCTCTGCTCCGACCACGTCAGAATGAGGAGAATGAACTGTTTTGTCTGGCCTTTTGTATCAATATTCATCATTTCTTAACTTTTCCTTTGTTCAAGCTAAGTTTGTGGATGAAAGTGTTTAATAAAGCTCGTCATCGGTAACAGTCACACTTTTAGTGACCCAGAAGTGAACTAGATCAGTGTGTATTATTTCTGATGCACCTTGTACATGACCTGGTTCCAAAAATAAAACAGAATTTGGTCCCTTGGTGTCCTGACAGGTCGCTGGATTTGACCGATTGGACTGAACCCTTACACCTGAGGCAGACAGATGCTGTGTAAACTCATTCAGGATGAACTGTGAACTGTTGGCAACCTGCAGTGCCCTTGGATACCTTGAGGGAGACACCTATCACAAGGAGCCAGACTGTTTGGGTGAGAGCCTTTTTTAACTAGAAATGGATTTGTTCATGTTCTCATAGAGCTTTTGTTAAGCTGTTGTCCTTTTTTCCTCAGAGAGCGTAAAAGACCTGATCCGATATTTACGTCATGAAGATGACACCCGTGATGTCCGCCAGCAGCTCGGGGAAAGCCAGATCGTTCAGAACGATCTTCTGCCAATTATTGTTCAGTATAGACAAGACAAATCCTTATTTGATGCCTGCATCAGGTGTGACCCTCAACAGAGCTTTTCTTTTTTTTTTTTTTTTAGATGTTATTGTAATAATAACCTCAAACACAAAAATAATCTCTAGAGATGCACCAGTATCAAATTTTGGGGCCGATACTGATATTAATATCACTGTTGTGGCCGATAACCAATATTTGCCGATACCGATATACTGACATTGATGCTTCTAAAAGCAGCAGATTTTGTATAGAATGGAAATTATTAAAGCTGAATTTACGTTATTGTGTACACATAAGACACATTTACGATTCTGGGATGATTATAATCACTGTCACATGACTAAACAAATACCATCACCCCCCTCACCCTCTGAAACAGATTAACAAATACAAACAAGATGGAAAATACATCAGTTGTTAATATCAACCCAGTTTTATATATCTGACTGATACTGATATGTTAAAAAATGACTAACATCTGCTGATTAATTGTGCATCCCTAATAATCTCCTTTTTTTTCCATTTTTCAGACTTGTGGTCAACCTTACTCAGCCGGCCATGCTGTGTTTTGGTAAAGTCCCGGATGACCCGGTGTTCAGGCATCACTTTATGCAAGTGACATCCCATTTACAAGCCTATAAAGAGGTATCTTATTAACATTTTACATTGAATATTTGTGTTTTTATCAGTTACCTTAAAGCAACGCTTGCATTTATACTCTTTGTTCTTATTTGCTTCAGGCCTTTGCAAGCGAGAAAGTGTTTGGCATTCTGAGTGAGACCTTGTACAGCCTCCTACAACTCGTGCGTCGTTGAACTCGACACTTTTGTGCTTATTTTAATTTCTTTTTGATGGATTATTCTGTATTTACTGGTCTTCTCTTGTCGTGTTCAGGACTGGGAGCAGAGACAGGAAGAAGACAACCTGCTTATAGAGAGGATTCTGCTGCTGGTCAGAAACGTGCTTCATGTCCCTGCAGACCCCTGTGAAGAGAAGGTTCGTCTCTGAGAATAAATGCGTGTTTCATCTGATAAATGCTTTTGCTGTTTTCCAACCTTTTCCCGGATTTTAAATCCCAATCTGTGGTCACCTCTTTTGTATAGAAGGTGGACGATGATGCCAGTGTTCATGACCGGGTGCTGTGGGCCCTTCACATGAGTGGTTTTGATGACCTGGTCAAGTTCATCGCCTGTGCTCAGAGTGAGCAGCAGTGGAGCATGCATGTGCTGGAAATCATCTCCCTCATGTTCAGAGACCAGGTTAGACTGCGTCCGTTGGGCTTTACTGTCTGACTAACATCTGTTCTGTACTTGAACTTTGTTTGCGTCCATTTCCAGACGCCAGAGGCTTTGGTGAGCGCCGGTCATGCTCGATCAACTGAAGAGAAACAAAGAGATTCCCAGGAGCTGGAGGCACTGAGGGAGAAAGAACACGCTGAGAAACGCTCTCGTAACTTGCAGAGAGGGACCAGGTAATGATGAACGTGGCGTCGACGTAACGATTATGGAGTAGTTGGACTTTCCTCTTCAAATAATGTGTGACTCTTTCTCAGTTAGTCGTAATCATTTTATAGTTGTTGTCGTCTCAGAAAAAAAAACTCCTTCAGCAACCAGTAAAGGATTGTGTCCATTACAACTGGGTCGTTTTGAATTTTCTTTTCTAGATGCAGTATATTTATTCATTTCTCCAATAAGAACATTAAGTTAATTATTAATCAGATAACCACAATGAAACGTTTTCTCCAAAAAGGTTTCACTTGAAATGTTTGGAATGTAAAAATTCAAATATTTTATTATTATTATTATTACAGGTGCTGGCCAGTAAATTAGAATATCATCAAAAGGTTGAAAATATTTCAGTAATTCCATTCAAAACGTGAAACTTGTACATTATATTCATGCAATGCACACAGACCAATGTATTTCCAATGTTCATTACATTTAAATTTGATATTCATAAGTGACAACTAATGAAAACTCCAAATTTGGTATCTCAAAAAATTTGAATATTCTGAAAAGGCTGAATATAGAAGACACCTGCTGCCACTCTAATCAGCTGATTTACTCAAAACACCTGCAAAGGCCTTTAAAAGGTCCCTCAGTCTTGTTTTGAAGGCACCACAATCATGGGGAAGACTTCTGACTTAACAGCTGTCCAAAAGACAATCATTGACACCTTGCACAAGGAGGGCAAGACACAAAAGGTGATTGCTAAAGAAGCTGGCTGTTCGCAGAGCTCTGTGTCCAAGCACATTAACAGACAGGCGAAGGGACGGAAAAAATGTGATAGAAAAAAGTGTACAAGCTCTAGGGATAACCGCACCCTGCAGAGAATTGTGACGACAAACCCATTCAAAAATGTGGGGGAGATCCACAAAGAGTGGACTGCAGCTGGAGTCAGCGCTTCAAGAACCACCACGAGGAGACTCATGAAAGACATGGGATTCAGGTGTCGCATTCCGTGTGTCAAGCCACTCTTGAACAAGAAACAGCGCAAGAAGCGTCTCGCCTGGGCCAAGGACAAAAAGGACTGGACTGATGCTGAGTGGTCCAAAGTTATGTTTTCTGATGAAAGCAAGTTCTGCATTTCCTTTGGAAATCAAGGACCCAGAGTCTGGAGGAAGAGCGGAGAAGCACAGAATCCACGTTGCATGAGGTCCAGTGTAAAGTTTCCACCGTCAGTGATGGTGTGGGGTGCCATGTCATCTGCCGGTGTTGGCCCACTCTGTTTCCTGAGGTCCAGGGTCAATGCAGCCGTCTACCAGGAAGTTTTAGAGCACTTCATGCTTCCTGCTGCTGACCAACTTTATGGGGATGCAGACTTCACCTTTCAACAGGACTTGGCACCTGCACACAGTGCCAAAACCACCAGCACCTGGTTCAAGGACCATGGTATCCCTGTCCTTGATTGGCCAGCAAACTCGCCTGACCTTAACCCCATAGAAAATCTATGGGGTATTGTGAAGCGGAGGATGCAATACGCTAGACCCAACAATGCAGAGGAGCTGAAGACGACTATCAGAGCAACCTGGGCTCTCATAACACCTGAGCAGTGCCACAGACTGATCGAGTCCATGCCACGCCGCATTACTGCAGTTATTGAGGCAAAAGGAGCCCCGACTAAGTATTGAGTGCTATACATGCACATTCTTTTCATGTTCATTCTTTTCAGTTGGCCAACATTAGAGAAACAAACATTTTTTCATTGGCCTTTAGAATATTCTAATTTTCTGAGATACCAGATTTGATGTTTTCATTGGTTGTCACCTATAAATATCAAAATTAAACGTAATAAACATCGGAAATACATTGGTCTGTGTGCATTGCATGAATATAATGTACAAGTTTCACGTTTTGAATGGAATTACTGAAATATTTTCAACCTTTTGATGATATTCTAATTTACTGGCCAGCACCTGTATTATTATTATTATTATTTATTATTATTATTATGACATTTATTTATTATTTTGAATTACAAGTGAGCTTTAATGCCAGTTGAGCTGGTTTGATGCTGTGACATAAAAAAATCTTCTCTTAAGTAGCAGAAACAACATCTTCTACACACTCTTTTATATTCAAGAAGAGAAAATGTAAGATTTTTAGGTTCTGTTTATTAATCTCTACACACATTAAAGGTGTGGGACACTGAAAACCCACTTTAATGATCATTTCTGATTATGATCAGTCACTCTCAGTGTTTCATGCAGGCTGAACATGAAAATCGTCTCCTACACCTTTCTCCTGCATTATCTTCTGATGGAAAATAGACGGTGAAACTCGAGGATTTGAAAATCCTGACCGATCTGCATCACACTGAACAACATTCAGGGACTCACCCGTCCTGGCTCGTAACGGGGAAGGTTGTCGTTGGTTTAGCGTCCAGGAAACGGCAGAGAACATCTCCGCTAATAGAAGCTAACCGTTAGCATTAGCAACACCACCACACAGCAGACGCTCCTCCATCAGCGCTGCCAGTCAGTGGTACAGTCGCGTTGCTGTTATCCAGTCCAAGAATGGATGTCCAAATATCAGGAAGTAAGAATCCAAAACCTGCCGTCTGAAGCTCAGCTGTGATGTTTGTAACTTTTAGTTCCTGGAAATGGTGCACTGGTATTTTTCCCCTGTTCATTCCTACTAGTGACCGCTGTAAATAGATTGATTCAATAAGTGTTCCACACCTTTAAAGGCCAATTTAGATGAAGAAAAAATGGCTGATTTCATCATCGAGGCTTTTCCCTCCAGACATTCTCGCTTCGGTGGGTCTTACGTTGTTCAAGGCCTCAAAGCCATCGGGGACAAAGATGTGATCTACCACCAGAATCTCAACAACGTGAGTCGTCTTCCTGCTGTATCTCTTCTGTCATTTGAAAAACTTCCTGCTAAGGTAGCTGCAGCTGATTTGACTTTCTATTTTGTAGTTTAAAAATTACACCCACGACCTCGGCAAAGCAGTGAGACGCGTCCCTAGGAGGAATCGACGGGCTCAAGAATGTAAGGACAAGCGGCGCTCGGCCTTGAACGTTCGACTCTTCCTCAGAGAGTTCTGTGTCGACTTTCTAGAGAACTGTTACAACCGACTGATGTACCTGGTGAAGGTCAGTCACTTCCAGCGTGATTCTCTTCTCTGTTTCATGTAGGCTTGGGCGGTATTCAAATTTGAATACCGTCTAACTTCCACTTAATTTTACCCCGGTATACGGTATTACCGTGAATACTTAAAAAGTATGACGTAAGCCTCAAGTGGACCTTCACCTTTTTGAATCCGAATACCAAACAATTACTAAAAAAATAACAACGCAACTCACATACTATTAACAACATTTATTAACACAAAAAACGCAGCTTATAAACAAGTGCAAAGAGTCAACAGTCCAACAGCAATAAATCAACGTAAAAACCCTGGACCGCTGTTGTGCGCAAATCAAGTGAACAACTTATCAACGAGCAGCATGAAACAGTGCAAATAGGCCGTAACAGTCAACAAGAGTTGAATAACCATAAACATTGAAATTATAAAAATTATTGCAACCAAAACAACTGCATTAAAATTATAAAAAGAAAACTCACACGACCACACGCGTGCGCGCACACACACACACAGGTGTGTGAGCATTACGGCATGTTGCAGCAAATCTAGTTAAGATTTCTCGCCAGAAAAACCAGCATGTTTACTTTTTCTGGGTTCAAGTTTGCACGTTGTGGACCAACAACTTTACCTGCGGTGCTGAAAACCCGCTCCGATGGTGAGCTGGTGGCACAAATACATAGATACCTCCGGGCCAGTCGTGACATCTGGGTAAAACGACTGCCACCATATTTCCACCAGAGAAGAGGGTCTTCGTCCCCGTAAATAACAGGTTCCAAACAGTACGCTGTTATTTCAGCTCCAGCTCGTTGCTCTGCGCTGACGGGACCCTCCGGCGCAGCGTCAGCGGCTCGTTTTTGCAGGAGAGCCCCCAGAGACATCTTTTTGCGTGGGGGTTCAGGTTGTGCTCGTTCCTCTATGGTTCGGATGGCCACTGCTTCTGGTGCTGCTTGCCCCTCTAAGCTCACAATCTCAGCCTGTAATTCAGCTTTGATTTCATCCAGTGCGTTGTCATCAAGCTCATATCTGCCGCGGTAACGAGGATCGAGGAAAGTGCATTTTCGCATTAATTTGCGCACTGAATCAGATTCATACTTGGCCTCCAGCTTTTTTAGAATTGTGGTTTTTATTGACTTTGTAAGCTGGAGGTCGTTTTCTGACTTGAGGTTTTTATAAAGTATTTATTTAAAAAACTTCTGTGACTGAGTCAGTTGTTTAGCTCAGAGGATTCAACAGAACTTTGTTTTTCCCGCTTCTCTCCAGGAAAACCTGATCCGGGAGCAGACTCAGCAGCACGATGAGACCTATTACCTCTGGGCGCTCAGCTTCTTCATGGCCTTCAACCGTGGCAACGGTTTCCGCGCCGACTTGGTGTCAGAGACCATGTCCATTCGTGCGTTTCATTTTATTGAACGCAACATTACCAACTACTATGAAATGATGCTGACAGACCGCAAAGAGGCCACATCCTGGTCCCGCAGGTGAGCCCGACAGCTGTTTATAGTTACTTAAACCGAAGCCTTTTTATCATTTGCTCATGTTTTTGTTCTTTTAGGATGCATTTGGCTCTAAAAGCCTATCAAGAGCTGCTGCTAACTGTGAACGAGATGGACCGCTCACATGACGAAAGCATCCGCCAGAGCTCCAATGTCATTAAAAGTGAGATGCTCTCCAGTCACTTTAAAATGACTCAAAACAAAGATCTTAACGGTTTAGAGGGTTGAAACCTTGCTTGTTTCCTCTACAGGTAACATATTCTACCTGATGGAGTACAGGGAGATCTTTCTGACGCTGCTGAGAAAATACGATGAAACCAAGCAGCCGCAGTCCTACCTCAAAGACCTGGTTGAGTCAACGCATCTGTTCCTGCGCATGCTGGAGCGCTTCTGCAAAGGTCGCAGTAATCTAATTGTGCAGGTAGATTCATTGTTGCTTCTTTGAGGTGTGCGTTTATCTCTACCCGAGGTGTTTATATCTAAACTCGCCCCAATCAGAGGAAGAAAGTGAAACGAAGGAAGCCTCACAGTAGAAGGAAGCAGTTGCCTCCAGAATCAACCCCAGAAACGCTGGCGGAGACCTGGAAGATCGTGGAGGAGGAACTGAGAGCTGTGGGGTTTCAGGTCTGTGGGGGGGGTTCTGGCCTCTAGGGGGAGCCGTGGGAAAGCATTCTGCATCATGCAGCTTTATGAACTAGTACAAGTGTTTCTTCTGTAGTTTGTTAACGAACCCTACTTTCAACACATTTGTTCTCAGCTGTCAGACTCTTTGGCCGAGACCATCGTGCCTTTTGACGCCGCGTCTGAAACTCCTCCTGAGGAGCAGCGAATGGAGGCGGTGGTCCGAGTTCAAGATGCGCTGCTGGCTCGACTGGGACCTGAAGCTCTGGCCCTGATGCGCGCTGCTAGGTCAGTAAAACAGCCTCCTCTTATGACACTGTTACTAACTAGCTTTCTGAGTTTAGACTTCCTCTGAGAATAAGTAGTGAGGTTTTCCTCCCTTCGTGCTCAGGGAGGTGTGGCCAGAGGGCGACGTGTTTGGTTCAGCTGACGTGGAACCTGAAGAAGAACTGGAGCTTCTCAAGCAGATCCTCCATGCCAACCTGCCCAGTGAGTTTAATGTGCCTTTAGTCCAGCGCCGCTGCATCTGTGCAGCTTGTTAGCTCCTCGTTTTAATTTCAGGACCACCTCCTGAGACAGTGGAGGATGAGGATGATGGAGTCGAGTTAGAAGAGGAAGAGTTGATGTCTGTTCAAGTCACTGAAAAAGAGTTTAACTTTTTGGACTTCCTCAGAAGGTGAGCGAGGGTAAAAGCGTCGTCTCTGGGTGGTTACCGTCTCCTAACAGCTTCTGTCTCATCTCCACTCTGATAGGTTTGCCAACCCCGCCGTCGTACGTCCTTACCTGCTGCTGTTAAAGTCTTACTCTAAAAACACCCCGCACACAAACCACTGCATAGCGCGAATGCTGCACCGCTTGGCTGTCGACCTGAAAATGGACGCCCTGCTCTTCCAGCTGTCGGTCTTCTACATTTTCAACCGAATCATGAGCGATCCAGCTGCAGCCGCGTACAAGGTGCGTCGGTACCGCTGCTTCTCCAATCTACTGTTGGTCAGACGTGAGAGACAATCCTGTTTTTCTTCCTTCACAGGAACTAGTGACCTTCTCCAAGTACGTGGTGAACCGCTTCTTCTCAGTGGCGGCTCAGAACAACAAGGCGTATGTGGAACTGCTCTTCTGGAAGAACGTGGGGGCTGTACGCGAGATGACCGAAGGCTACAGGAAGGAGGGGTGAGAGTTCTGCTTTTGTTTGTGTTTATCAAGCAGACGTTGTTTACAAACTAAAAATGCAACCTAGGGCTTGTGTGTTTATGTTTGCCACTTTTGTCATTGTTCTAAATGTTTCAGCGAGGGGAAGAAGCCAACGTGGACCGAAGAAGAGGAGGAGGAGCTGCGGAAGCTCTACCTGGAGCACCGGGACTCAGAAGGTCTGCCTTGATCTTTATTGTTGTGTTACTAGTCACCAGATTGAGATGACCACCAGGAGGATGAGATGTGTTCACTGATTATAAACAACAATGTTGCATTAAGTTAGTTTCATATTTGGGACTTGTTGTTTCTGGGTTACGCTGCTAGTAAAACAAATAATGAGTCGCCTTAAACAAAAAACTCAAGAAACCGTTTCTGTTTCTAGTGCCAGACATCGTGGAGACTCTCCTGTCGTTAATCAGCAACAGCGCCCGCACTCGGCGACATGTGGTGACTCAGCTGGTGCACATGGGTCTAGTGGACAACGCCAAAGAACTAAAGAAACAGAAGTAAGAACTTAGAACACGGAAAAAATATTTTTTATGATTATTTCTGATTAGAATCTGTCTGAGTTCTTCATGCAGGCTGAGCATGAAAATAGTCTCCTACACCTACAGTGGGGCAAAAAAGTATTTAGTCAACCACCGATTGTGCAAGTTCTCCCACTTAAAATGATGACAGAGGTCCGTAATTTACATCATAGGTACACTTCAACTGTGAGAGACAGAATGTGAAAAAAAAAATCCATGAATTCACATGGCAGGATTTTTAAAGAATTTATTTGTAAATCAGGGTGGAAAATAAGTATTTGGTCACTTCAAACAAGGAAAATTTCTGGCTCTCGCACACCTGTAACGTCTTCTTTAAGAAGCTTTTCTGTCCTCCACTCACCTGTCCTCACCTGTATTAATGACACCTGTTTGAACTCATTATCTGTAAAAAAGACACCTGTCCACAGCCTCAAACAGTCAGAATCCAAACTCCACTATGGCCAAGACCAAAGAGCTTTCGAAGGACACCAGGAAAAGAATTGTAGACCTGCACCAGACTGGGAAGAGTGAATCTACAATAGGCAAGCAGCTTGGTGTGAAAAAATCAACTGTGGGAGCAATTGTCAGAAAATGGAAGACATACAAGACCACTGATAATCTCCCTCGATCTGGGGCTCCACGCAAGATCTCATCCCGTGGGGTCAAAATGATCATGAGAACGGTGAGCAAGAATCCCAGAACCACACGGGGGGACCTGGTGAATGACCTGCAGAGAGCTGGGACCACGGTAACAAAGGTCACCATCAGTAGCACACTACAACGGCAGGGAATCAAATCCTGCAGTGCCAGACGTGTTCTGCTGCTGAAGCCAGCGCATGTCCAGGCCCGTCTGAAGTTTGCCAGAGAGCACATGGATGATACAGCAGAGGATTGGGAGAATGTCATGTGGTCAGATGAAACCAAAGTAGAACTTTTTGGTATAAACTCAACTCGTCGTGTTTGGAGGAAGAAGAATACTCAGTTGCATCCCAAGAACACCATACCTACTGTGAAGCATGGGGGTGGGAACATCATGCTTTGGGGCTGTTTTTCTGCTAAGGGGACAGGACGACTGATCTGTGTTAAGGACAGAATGAATGGGGCCATGTATCGTGAGATTCTGAGCCAAAACCTCCTTCCATCAGTGAGAGCTTTGAAGATGAAACGTGGCTGGGTCTTCCAACACGACAATGATCCCAAACACACCGCCCGGGCAACAAAGGAGTGGCTCCGTAAGAAGCATTTGAAAGTCCTGGAGTGGCCTAGCCAGTCTCCAGACCTCAACCCCATAGAACATCTGTGGAGGGAGTTGAAAGTCCGTGTTGCTCGGCGACAGCCCCAAAACATCACTGCTCTCGAGAAGATCTGCATGGAGGAATGGGCCAAAATACCAGCTACTGTGTGTGCAAACCTGGTAAAGATCTATAGTAATCGTTTGACCTCTGTTATTGCCAACAAAGGTTATGTTACTAAGTATTGAGTTGAATTTTTGTTATTGACCAAATACTTATTTTCCACCCTGATTTACAAATAAATTCTTTAAAAATCCTGCCATGTGAATTCATGGATTTTTTTTTTCACATTCTGTCTCTCACAGTTGAAGTGTACCTATGATGAAAATTACTGACCTCTGTCATCATTTTAAGTGGGAGAACTTGCACAATCGGTGGCTGACTAAATACTTTTTTGCCCCACTGTACCTCCTGCGCCAGCTTCTGATAGAAAATAGACGTTGAAACTCTAGGATTAAAAAACCCTGACAGATCTACGTCAGTGTCACTTACAGAGAGACGAGGCAGTTTTGGCTTGCTTTTAGCACCCCCTCATGTCCGTTTGTAGAACCAAAACCAATCTCCTCGTTGTGCGTTCGTCTTTAATAATCTTAATCTAACAGCTGAAACGTCTCCCAGCCTTCTTTAGTGTCTACGGGGAAGATTTATCACTAAATTAAACAAATCAGCTGTGTTCTTGATCTAAAACATGCAGGAAACGTGCTGGACCCAGGTGTGTAAGCTCAAGTTTAAGTCCATCAGACTGGACCTGCAACTGTGAAGCTGCAAGTGAAATATTCTGACCACAGAGGGCGATAGGGGGTGGGGCACAAGAAAATGGTTTAAAAATATGAAAAAGTTGCATTAATCCCTTTAACATTCATGGACTCGCAACAAGGATGGTTGTTGTTAGTTTAGTGTCCATTAAACATCAGAGATTGTCTCGACTTGCAGAAGCTAACCGTTAGCATTAGCAACTCCACCACACAGCAACACTCCTTCAAACTCGTGTTATTTGTGGAGATAAAACATCAGCGTTGCAAGTCAGTGGTAGTCATGTTGCTGTTATACAATCCAGGGATGGATGTCCAAATATCAGGAAATAAGACTCAGTACATGCCACCTGAAGCTCAGCTGTGATGTGGTTCGCTTCTAGTCCCTGGAAATGGTGCCGCTGTGGGTTTTTTTCAACCCTGAGTATGACTTACAAGGCATTCCTTCCTACTAGAGACCACTGCAAATGTATTGATTAAATGAGAACCTTTAAGGAAAATAAAGTAAAAAATACTTTTTGATGGCAGAATATTTAGATTTAATTGAACCTTTTAATTCTTAAAGTGTTTTTGTCCTGTTTAAAGGATTGGCACGCGGATTGTTCTGTGGACGGAGGAGCAGGAGTTGGAGCTTCAGATGCTTTTTGAAGAGTTCAAAGACTCTGATGGTATTTAGATACTAAATAGAATCAGATGGATGAGGCTTGCTCTCAACATTTTGGGTTTTGGGTCAATAGGAAGTATTTGTGTTTCCGCAGATGTGCTGGGTAACATCCTGAAGAAGCTCACGGCCAAGCGGTCGCGTGCACGTGTGGTGGACAAGCTGCTGAGCATGGGCCTGGTGTCCGAGAGGCGAGAACTTTATAAAAAGAGAAGTCGCGGCGCTCAAGGGAAGAGCTCTGGAAAGGGAATGGTAGAGGAACTTTTGGGTATAAACGTCCTGGATCGTGTTTGTGTGGTGCATCATTTTATTGTGAATATAAAACGTTTTCTGTCACAGACTGAAGAAGACTTCTTGGCTGAGATAACACAAGGCCTTCCAGACAGTTCTGTGGATGGAGATGAGAGAGAAGATGAGTCTGAGGATAGTGAGGAAGGAGATCAGGAGAGAGAGAAATACCAGAGGGGTGGGAAAAGAAGTGAAAACGTTCAGCTGACAGGAGAGAAGAGAGCAGAAATAAGCACCATGGTGAACGCACTGCAACGAGAAGGTCAGACCAGCTAACCTTCAGCTTCCTTAGTTGGACTCGGACATGACTACTGTTCTTTAGCTCAGTGATGCTTTTTGTTTTTCTGTAAAAGGCATGTCTGGATCGTTGTTGTGGCTGCAGAACTCGCTCAACAAAACTGCAGAACACCGTAAAGATGACGGTGAGTGTGGAGGGGGAGAAATAAACAACACTTCATATGTAAACATTCTCCTGATGGTCGTTCAGGGACGGTTCTCGTTATCGTTAACAGCACGAAGGAGGAACAACGCTAATTTAATCAGTGTTAATGAACTTCTGGTCCATTTCACAGAAGTGTCTCAGCCTGTCCCACTTGTCCCTTTTGGTGAGGCCAATGAAGACGCCATGGACAATAAGCGCTTCCAGAAGCTGTTACTCAAACTGGGAATCCGGCCGCCTGCAAACGAACAAGTGTGTCTTTGTGTGTCTGTGATACTGGATTATCTAAAAAAGCCTGATACGCTGCAAGAGATAATAAATGAGAATATCTGATGTGCACTTTTCGGCAACTAGGAGATTTTCTGGAGGATCCCAGCTAAGCTAAGTCCAGATCAGCTCTGGAGTGCAGCTGCAGCTTTGGCTCCAGGAGAGGGCCAAGCTGAAAACTGCGAAAAACAGGAAGGACCTCAGGAGGACGAGGTCTCGGCCAATCAAAGGTCCCAGGCTCTCAGAGCTCTGCTGCTTGCACGTGGTAGGAAGCATCAGACTGAGCATGCAGGCAAGTGTGGCAGCATCGTCTTTAGCTCAGCTTAATTACAGCTCTCACGCTAAGCTAAGTGTCACCTTACACACGAAGCACTTTCATACAGGCAGCCTTGGCTTCGTCTGAGGATCTAGTTTCAAATGGGAGAACATTTCTTGTAAAGATGATCATTTTTGAATTGCTTTAATAAAAGCTTTAGATGACGCTAGTTTAGGGATTTGTTACAGAAGGAACGAATAACATTACACCAGCTCTTTAGATTCCATTAAACGGATTATTTCTGTATCGTTTTAGCTAAGAAATGTGTTGAAGATAAATAAATATTACAAAGCTAATTAAAGATGGCGTATTTTTAAAAGTTTGTATTTTGAAGTTTAAATATAAATTGATTGTTTTGGATCATTTATTTTTTACTTTAGCCCCCGTGTGTGGTAAAGCTGCTGCTGATGATACAAACTGTGAAACTGAAAGGTCAGTTACAAAATGCAGCATTTAAGGTGAAACCTCAGCAGAGACCCGTTTAAAATGTTTTCATTTTTCCTCTCGATTGAACAGATCCCAGGAGAAAACCTCCGCTAAAAGAAGCAGGAACAGAATTTTGGATGATGATGATGATGATGATGACGGAGAAGAGAAAGGTACTCTGTTCCTTCACCAGGACCTTGTTTTCTAACAACATTTGACTGACGCAAGTTTCTTTACAGAGAACGATTCCAGCGGTGTGATGGACATAGACAGAAACGGTGACGCAGACCTGGACCAGGATATCTCTGCTCCTGTGAAGCGAAGGCGGAAAATGGTCCTAATTGATGAAGAGGAAGAAGATTAGTGGAAGTCTTTAATGGACTGCAGAGAGGAGTTTATGAAAGTGGTTCAACCCTCTCGAGGGCTGGTGTCCAGACAGCAGAGAATAATAATGGAAAAAGCTTCGGCTCAAAGAAAAGTTGAAAAAAACGTATTCTGTAATCTGTTCAGTGGGAAACTTTTTTTATTGGTTTTTCATAGTTTATTGCCTCTTTGTTCACTTCTGGTTGTTCTGTGTTCTTAATATTTCCAGTTAAGAAAAACTGTCCAGGTTATTCATATAAAGGTTTTTCCATATTTAGAAAAGTTGTTTGTTTTCTCATTCGATCGCTTTTAAATTTGGACTTTTTTTTAATATGTCAGCAAAATGTGTTTTGATTAATAAAACAACTAAAGAATCCTTTTTTGCAGCAGTATGTAGTTTCACCACTAGAGGGCCTTTTAAATGATACAATTGTATAATTTAGAAGAAGAAAGCATCATTTCTATAGCGCCTCAAGATAAAAATCACGAGGTGCTTCACAAAAGCAAAAAACTTAAAATATAAAAAAGCATTTAGAAAATGTTAAAAAATATATTTCAAACGAGCAAAAATAGACATTTGTGATTAAATAAATGTTAAGGAGAGAGTGAACAGGAAAGAGGGAAATCGGTGGATCCTGAGGAAGGTGGAATTAGTGGCGAGAGCAGAATAAAGAGAGAGTGGTGAAGAAGGTCATACAAAACTCAGCTGGAACAAGTGAGTCTTTAGCTGCTTTTTGAAGAAGACCACTGAGTCCTCTGATCTCAGGCTCAGGGGGAGAGAGTTCCAGAGTCTGGGGGCCACAGCAGCAAATGATCTGTCACCTTTGGTCTTTAGCCTGGTGCTGCACAACCAGTAGGCTTTGATCACTGGACCTCAGGGACCTGCTGGGGGTGTAGGGACTAAGAAGATCACCAATGTAAGATGGTGCTTGTCCATGTAAGGCCCTATAGACCAGAACCAGGATCTTGAAATGAACCCTGAAGTTGACTGGCAGCCAGTGAAGCTGGAGGAGAAGCGGGGTGATGTGGGTGTGTTTGGAGGACTTGGTCAGAAGCCGAGCACAGGCATTCTGAACCACCTGCAGACGGTTCAGGGAGGTTCTGCTCAGACACGTGAAAAGAAAGTTATAGTAGTCTAAGCGTGAGGAGATGAAGGCGTGGATAACTGTCTCAAGTTCAGAGCGGGACAGAATGGGACTCAGCTTAGCAATGTTCCTGAGATGGAAGAAGGAAGAGCGAACAAGAGAACTGACATGAGAATCCAGGGTGAGAGCTGGGTCAAAGGTCACGCCAAGATTCCTGACAGAAGGTTTGGTGTGGGAAGCAAGCTGACCAAGAGAGTCTCTGACTTTGGGAACCAAAGAGAGAAACCAAATTTACTGTTTTACATTAAAGATGTAGAACACTGAACAAACATTTTTAATGATTATTTTTTATTATAATCTCTCTGAGTTTAACATTTTAACAAAGTCAAATTTTGACCCTTGCACTTTTTACCATCCAAAAACAATATTACGCTATATTAAATAGACAGGTTGAGCTCAAGGACCAAGCGGAAAACAACCGTTTGTGTTGAAACCCTTTTCCCATTTTAGAAAATACCATAAAGATACAATCCCCGTCCTCTTCCTGGTTGTGAAAAAAAAGACGTATCACTTACATTTTATCACAGTACATGATGAGACAATCGCTTTTGAAGATTTCTGAAAAATCATACATCGTTTCTGAAAGGGGAAAACTCTGGAAAGCAGCTTTAATATTGTACCATGTGCACGTTTGCAGTCACCACCAATAGTGCAGACAGTTTTCCAGTTGTGTCAGAGGCGGTGTTCTGTCCTCGCATCTGGATGACATTAGGAACTTCCTGCCCCAACATCTGTTCTGCCCCCTTCCCACAGATCCAAAGGAGACCTGACAAACATTGTCATGAGGCGAGCGCAGACGTGGATGTCCATGAATTCACAAGGTTAAGGTTACATCACATCCGCACGGGAAAGCAGTTTGAGACCATCCTAACTCAAAATTACAAAATCAGTTGGTAGAATCATCTCGATGCGCTGATGTAACGGGGCTTATGTGTGAGAAATACAACGATTGCATGGACAAGTAAAGGTTATTGTATGAAGTAGGCTGCACATAACACACCTCTACAGAGTCACATTTAAAGTGAATCGCCTCAGGAAAGGGAACCTGTTTCTTCTATGGAAAACTATTAAATCATCATAATGAAGAAATGCACGTCATGTTTTCCAAAACACTAAAGTTTGCTTCCTGCTCCACGCCTTGAAGAAACACCTCTGGCCTCAACTGACAGCCTCTGTTTTTGTGTACCAAGTTTCACACGACTACAGTTCCATGACTTTACTGTTATTTAGAGGAACCCTTACTTGTTTTTGCTCAAAATCTGGTAAAATAATAGTTGGAACTTGACTGAAAACAGATCAGATAATGAGTAACATTTGTGCTTTCACGTGATCCCATGTGGATTGCCAATGGCACAAGTTTGATGAAGTTGTTTGTGTGCTCATTAAAGTCAGACAGCCATCTCCTCTGGAGGGGGAAAGTGTTTTATAGCTGCAGCTCATTCCTGAATCTACCACGACGATCCTTTTAGCACCATATCACCAGATTTGTACTCTCGTTGACTAACAGGGCTGCACGGTGGCGCAGTTGTTAGCACTGTTGCCTCGCAGCACGAAGGTTGCAGGTTCGAAACTCGGCTGCAGCCTTTCTGCGTGGAGTTGCGTGTTCTCCCCATGCATGCGTGGGTTTCCTCCGGGTACTCCGGTTTCCCCCACAGATCACAACATGCCCTATAGGTTATAAATTGTAAGTCGCTTTGGATAAAAGCGTCTGCCAAATAAATAAACATAAACAAAACAAACTTCCTGGTTGAAACGCAACCTTTCACATTTAATTCACAAACATGGATTACAGTCTGAATGTTAGGCTTATTAGGCCTAAGTGAGGATTTTTGTAATAATAAGGCTCTTACCAGAGTGTAAAACAGTTCTCAGTTACATCATGAATTCTTCTCATTGTTATTTACAAAATCACTACCTGCACATAAAGCAACTATTGTTGTTGACATAAAAACTTCATATAGGTCCTGGAAAATAATGTTAAAATGTTATTTTCATTGATTACTATCAACAGTCTAAACCAGTGGTTCCCAAACCTTTCAGCTTCAGACCCACAAAATAGAAAAAGTTAAGACTCGTGACCTCAGATACCTGATTTGACAATACAAACACACTTAAAAAGCTAAATAATTCAAAACACTTCAGCTGACATTGACCTATATCCATTCATCATCACTCAGTTGAGTTTTTATAACAATTGTGCCTGAAATAAAGCTCCAGTAAATGTTTTTCAAATGTGTTTCAATTTCTGGAAACCATCTCAAGAACTTGTGTAGCTCTTTGTGACCCACAGTGGGGTCCTGACCCAAACTTTAGGTGGTCTATGTATTGTTATTATTTTTCTTCAAATTATTCTATTCAATTGAATTTCCCCCCTGTGGGATCAATAAAGTCTATTCTAGCTTGGGATCATTTCGTTATCACCAGTGCGGCCGCCATGTTGGATGCCTCCTCACTTGTTGCTTGATTCTCCAGACATCAGCGCGCTCAGTCTTGGTCTCGCGGCTTCATTTAGTCTATTATTCATTTGGTTGGTTATTACTCAACATGTGAGCTCCAGGGGAAAAAGGTGGAAAAGGAGCTAACTTTTCACCAGTGGTGTAGCAAGTTTGAGCTGGGTCCCGGTGCAAGTTGCTTTAGGAACCCCCCGGCCGAAGGTTAAAGTTGTATTTACCATAATTTAACATCACCTTGTTCCATGAATGGAAATAATAAAATTTAGCCACAACTTCTGACACAGCAGCACAATGTTGTTACAAGTTTTTATTTCTCTCTGTCCTTAAAAATGAGACGACGAGGCTGAACATCATCATCTGTACCTGACAGCTGCAGCTGGTGTCCACCCCCATCCCCCGCGCTCCTCTGCAGCACTGACCACAAAAATTCAAATCTAAACCAGTTCTTCCAAAAGGATCACTTACAAGCCCGAATGCACTCGAGTTGTGTTTCGTTAGCGAACACAAAGAACATATCATGGATGAAAATTAATGTGCCATGTGTCTGAGTTGAGATGCGACCTCGTCTCTGCTAGTAATGCACTGATAGGAAATTTTTGGGCCGATACGATATTAAGATCGCTGTTATGGCCGATAACCAATATTTGCCGATACCGATATACTGACATTAATGCTTCTAAAATCTGAAGATTTTGTATAGAATGAATCTTATTAAAGCTGAATTTACGTTATTTATGTACACACAACACACACATTTACGGTTCTGAGATGATTTCATTCACTGTTCACATGACTAAACAATCCCCCCCCCCCCCCCCCCGAAACAGGCAAACAAATGGAGATGAAATGGATAAAATATCGGTTGTTAATATCAAACTGGTTTTATTTATCGAACCAATACCGATATGTTAAAAAATGACATTGGCCGATACCGATATTGATGCAGATTGTCCATCTCTAGTCTCTTCTGTTGCTCAACTGGCCGGCCAGCTGACCGATGCACACACTCTCAAAGTCTTGTCGGCTCACTTGGATCGCAGCTGTAAGGTGACCAAATATGAACTTTGAGAGTATCCCGGTCTTGATGAGATTGTAATCTCTGCATTTTCATTTTGGTAAGTTACAGGTGGTGTATGGTTTTTTAATTGTTTCTTTCCTTTAACCATGACATGCATAACAACACATAAATAGGCTAACACCCATACCAGTAGGCTTATGTGGACACACTGAAGCACAACATAACTTTATCTGCTGCAGTTCTTTGGGACAATTTAGATTGTCTTACTAGAAAAACCAGCCAATGACATCTATACCTCTCATCCAGGTGTTTACATCCGCTCACACCACAAACAAGGTAGCCAAAAATGTCCAATCATGCAGAACTGCAGCAGCAACAAGTTGTTGTCGGTGTATCAATCTTGGGTCTTTCATATGGATCCAAATCGTTTACAGTACAATGCAGATTTTGTCCACACGCTGGTCCTATTTAACATATTCCTGTATATTTTGTAATCCTTTCCGTGTTTTAACATGTTGTTTATTACATCCTTTTCTCCCAAATCTGCTTCTTCTACGCAATGTACTGTTTCCACGATTTGTTTACAGTCATGAGGCTGTCAACATGGCCACCATGTTGAGTATGCATTGTTTTGTTACATTGTTGTTTTGTTACATTATTTTTGTTGTTTCAACTGAAAGCTGTAAAAAAAATTGCATTTTTGTCACAATTTTTCAAACAGAAAGTGTGGGTGGAGTCAGACAGAGGTAGACTTGGGGTGACCTGCTTTAAAAATATATATTTAAAAATTATCTTAATTTATTTCAAGTTTTAAAACCTTTACAAGTGGAAAAGCCTGGGAACCACAAGCGAAAAAGGGCCCGAGCCCCCACCGATTGAATATTAAAGCACGGGATGCATCAAAATAGCCTTTGTAAACTAGTTTGGGTACACTTGGTGTTATTTACACACAGAGTATTGCTAAAAACAGCCACGTTTGGTTTAAACTGGCTGCTTTTAATGATATCGGGTTACAATTGATGCCTTTATTTACAAGTGTGAACCATATTTACATGTCGATGGTGTGAACATTTAAATTAGCAGCCTGCGCCCCCGCCCCCGCCCCAAGGACCTCCAACGGCCGCTCTGATGGAGGTAGGAAGGGGAGGAGGGAAAACTTTTTTCTCCTTTGTTGTTCCAGGCGGAGAAAGAGATGGTAGCTTGCTGTGTTGAGGTTTTCCTGAGAGGTCTGTGAAACTTTAGCTGAATTTGACTCCCAAAGAGTGGGTTAAAACTAGCTAGCCTTCCGCCAGAGCTAGTTTGTAAAGATTTTCATAAAATAGGAAGAGAAACAAAACGATGCGGCTTTTGTCGGTTTAGAGGAGCTGGTGAGTTCATAAAGAGCCTTGGGATAAAGTTGAGGGGAAAACCGGGTTTTTTTTGGTACCCTACCTTCCGTTTCTTCCTCTCCTGACATTGTCAAGAAGTTCCCGCTGCTCATCGGTAAGTTTCTACACTCGGTAAACAGATTTGTTTCTTTATTTTGTTACTTCAGATGTCCACAAAAACGGGCCATCGTGTCTTAAAGCGAGGATTATTTATATTATTTACGCATGGAGACTTTTTTATCTAGCCATTGCTTACTTGGTTAAATGATCCCATCCCACATATTGGCTGTTCGGAGCCAAACAGCTGGAGATGCTTGTAGGAACCAGGGACACGTCCAGGCTGCATAATACACCAGAGCGTCACCGTCCTTCAGCCCTAATGGCCCATGAAGACTTGACCCATTAGCAGCTAATGGCTAACTCTTGATAGTGTTGTTAAAACACTTGATTGAGGGAATTGACAAACTGCTCTACAAGTTTATTTCATTTTAAGTAACTCAGTTTTATTTAGCTTCCAAGTGATCAGGCGTTCCTGTAATTTTAAAGTTTTCTTGAGTTCTTTGGACTTTTTCCATTCTTTCTCACACTTTGACAGAAAATGAAGAAATTAAGCCAAAATAATCCCATCTACTCTAGGACATCATCTGGGATATAACCTGATCACATATTAGGTAGGACAGGTTTTCTGCTGTCTGAGAATTCTCTTTTAATTAGTTTAAAGCAAAAATACAGTTTTCTGTGGTAAAGTGTCATCATTAGGATCTCTTTAGGCTTCACTCAGGAAACAGGAACAAAATGTCTTTTGTGACAAGCTGCTGGGTATGAGAGTGCTGTTTTTGCCCCTTGTTGACACAAACCCATGAGTTTAGGGGATTTAGTTATACCTGGACAATACATGGGTCTGTGTTAAACGTCTAAGCAAACAAAAGGAGGCTCCTAAATGAGTGGAACAGCAGCCTGAGTCCAAAGAAGAAAGTCTGACTCATTGGAGAAAAGTTGACTTGACGCTATGAACAACACTCTACATGGATGCATTTTCCTCGTGGATCGTGGCAGCTCCTGAGAAGGCCCTGTCTTGCGTTTGTGAGTGATCAAGAGGAGTGTCTCTTGTTTTGTGGTTTTAGCCTGCAGGCCTTGTCTTTACTGGGGTGCTTGCCCATGTAGAGCACTCCCTCCATGTATGACCTACTCTTGTCAGCCTGCACCAGATGGTTTAATCCTTTTGAAAAAGGCTAAGAGGAAACCCGTCCTTGCTGTAGGGAAATGAACAGAGAAGACAGGAAAACTGGCATGAAGAGCAGAGCTGTGTTGATTATCATTCTGCTTCGTTGAGGTAATTGTTACCGTAGATGTATGATAAACTACGCACCTCCCAGGGAATTTTGTGCATTTTCAAGTCACAGATGGTTTATTTGAACCCTAAAAAGAATCTGTGTGCAAAAAAAAAAAAAGTTCTGATTGCCACGTATAACAACGGTGAAAGTGAATCATTAGAGATTTCCATCTACCAGCTACTTCCATAGCAGGCACTTTAAACACTGGTCTGATGAGAGGGTTGTGAGCTGGCTGGGAGAAAAAGGAAAAACATGCATGATCTTTTCAGTTTGTGAGATCTCTGTAGGAGGTGCAATTACCACAGAGAATGGAATTCAACAAAGAGGGTTTGAAAATGGCTGCTAGAAATGACAGTTTGCATATTTGTGTCTGCATTGAGTAACTTGTGTTTAATCCCCGATTATTCTTTGGCTATAATGTTTCCTCCATGTAAATAATCTGGTAAAATGCTGCTTGATTTAACTCTGCTCTTGTTACCATAAAAGTTTATTAAACTAAACATCTGGCTGTTTAGTTTCATGAAATTGCTTTAGCATGCTTACACATGAAGGAGGTGGTGTGTTGCCCGGGCAGCAGTTTGCATAAGTGGTGGTTAGATGTAGGTTCTCTGGTTCGACCTGCTCTTCATATAGCATCTCCTCAGAGCTTTACCAACATGCTCCAAGCGAACACACAGCCATCGTCTACCACGCGCTCCTCTGCAGTCACAGACCTTAATGGAGTGTTGTGGAGCTGCCCTGCCTTACCGATGTGCCTTACACACAACCCCCACACCACCCACACACACACACTGTGCACTCCACCCTCTACTTTTGAGTTACAACTTCTACTTCTTGCATATAATCTGTGGATGGAAATCTCTGCACTAATGAGCATGTGCAGTATGGCACACATGCATGCACCATTGGTGTGTGAATCTTTTCAGACGTTTTTCCTGTTGCTTTTTTTAATTTTTTTTCACATCCTTCTGAAGTCTGCAGTTGAAAGAACTCTATTGAAAACAATGAGATGTTGAGAAGACAAAAATAGTGATTGCCTTTCAAATATAGCCATGAATCGACATGGTTAGTGTGCAGTTAAATTGGAGAATAAGGAAGAGTTTTTTTATTCTTACTATTTAGCAAAAGATATATATATATATATATATATATATATATATATATATATATATATATATATATATATATATTATACAATGTGATGTGTATGGTATGGAAGACTTCCTGTATCTTTCCCTTCAACAGCAGAGCTGTAGCAGTCTGTGCGAGAAGGTGGTCCTCTGTCTTTCTACTGTGTGATGGAGGGGTTGTTCGTCATTATCCATGATGGATAAAAATGTATTCAGCATCCTTATCTCCACCACGGTCTCCAAGGTGTCCAGTCTGAGAAAGAGTACTGAGCCAGCCTTCTTAATGATCTTATTAAGTCTTCGTGTCGCTGGTTATGATGCTACTTCCCCAACACACGATAGCAAATAAGATGGTGCTGGCAACAACAGACTGGTAAAAGGCATGGACAAATGATCTGCTGCAGTTCAAACTTCAGAAGCTTCAGAATGAGGAAGAAAGGTGATTTAAGTGACTTTGAACGTGTTGATGCCAGATTAGTTGGTCTGAGTGTTTCAGAAACTGCTGATTTTCTGCAAGTGTCACACACAACCATCTCTAGGGTTTACAGAGAATGGTCCGACAACGGGAAAACATCCAGTGGTTCTGTGGGCGAAAATGCCTTGTTGATGCCAGAGGTCAGAGGAGAATGGCTCCATGGGGCTCCACGGCATGCATACAACACTGCACCATAGTAGAAGTAGAAGTCGCTGTTGTTTACAACATTTTTTCACTGTGTCCTTGTCTTTTCTGACTGTGACAGCAATTAATAATATTTTGATCAAGGTGACTTTTATGGACCGAATCATAAAGATATCTGTACTTACGAACCTCCGCCACTACCAGCGTTTGCCAGTCTGCCAGGTTTTTCTGTGTAGGACCGTCCGCATGGTTAGAAAATTTCCTAGGTATGCAGTGTGGAAATTTTGGGCCGTGCGGAGGCCACACGGAGGGGCATGGTTGCCAAAATGAAATAATTTGGCCTTGCGGACGTGTCAAACCAACCTTAACTCAAATAACCACTCATTACTACTAAGGTATGCAGAAGAGCATCTCTGAACGCACAACACATCCTTGAGAAAGATGGGCTGCAGCGGCCATAGACCACACCGGGTTTCACTCCTGTCGGCTAAAAACAGAAAACTGAGTCTACAATTTACACAGGCTCAACAAAACTGGCCAATAGACGATTGGAAAACAGTTTTGACTGGTCTAATGAGTCTTGATTTCTGCTGCAACATTCGGATGATGGGGTCAGAATTTGGCATCAATAGCATGAAAGCATGGATCCATCCTGCCTTGTATCAACGGTTCAGGCAGGTGGTGGTGGTATAATGGTGTGGGGGACATTTTCTTGGCACGCATGCATGCATCATTGTTGCAATGCCACAGCCTACCTGAGCATTGTTGCTGACCATGTCCATCCCTTTATGATCACAGTGTACCCATCTTCTGATGGCTATCCAGCAGGGTAATGCTCCATGTCAGAAAGCTCGAATCATGTCAGACTGGTTTCTTGAACGTGACAATGAGATCAAGGTGTGCCCAATAAAGTGGCCAGTGAGTGTATATATGTATATACGTGTGTGTGTGTGTGAATTCAAGTGGCGTATTGTTTTATTCTTTCGTTTCATTGACTCTAATGGCATTGAATCCATTTTTATTCATAATTATTTTTAGATTTTTATTTATTTGTTAATTTTAAGAACTGGCGTTTTCAACAATGTCTTCAGTAAATCACTTAAAAACAGCTGTGATTATTATGTTTCATTACTATTTGTCTGTTTAGTTTTACAGCGGGGAATTGGAAGTTTATTTTGTGTTTGGAACACTTTAGTTTATATAAATATTTGTGGAAGGCCAAACACACTTAGAGATTTAAATATACATTATAACAGTCATGAGTGGAGTTAACATATTTATTCTTGTGTTTTTAGTTTTTGCTGCTTTAAAATAAGTGCACAGAAGAGGCGCTAGTAAACTAAAAGTGACAGTCGTTTTTATTTTTATTTTATTTTTGCTGAGCTAAAGCTACACATAATATCCCTTCTCAGTCACATAACTCAGTGGAATTACGTCTAGATTAGCTGGTAGAATTAATAAAGATTTCACATTGTATTTTGCATCCTCGTGCTTCGATTTTGGGCCAAACTTCTAATTTTAATGTAGCTATTTTCTAAATCTCTTTCAGACTCAGCCATCTGTTGTTCCTGGTCAGTGGTTGTCTTTTGATATCTACATTTTACTCCTTTTGCTTCAGCGTTGATAACCAAACACTTTGGTTCTGTTTTTACCTCTCACAAACACACGAGTCAGTTCCTGCTGAAATGTGATGTTCCACTTCCTCATCTGGTCCCGGGTTTCCTGCCATGGAGAGACAGGAAGCTCGGTATTGATACTTGACGTCCAGCTGCACGTGCTTTTATGTTACAAGAAGATGCCAATGGAGTTATGTGCATTTACACTTAATGCATTCATGTCTGATTTTATATCCCCACTGGGACCATTAAACTTTCTTCCCATGTTGTCAAGTAATGATCAGTCTGTCAACTGGACGAGGTAGGATATAAAGCTACAACTGTTGGACCCTTTGTGCTCCTTACATTCTTGGAAGTTTTTTTAAACAAGGTTGTCAAACAAGTCGTAACATAGCTGGTTTCTAACCTCTCAGCTGGTCTTAGCTGTCAAGTTAGCGGAGCACTCGTAGAATCCTCAGCTGTGATTACATGCACCCCCACCCCTTGATTAAACACACCCAAATTAGCTATGAGGGGAACTTTTCTCTGTTTCTCAGCTGCTGTGAACTCAGATCTGCTCTGATCAGCAAGGCCAAAACAGATGGAACAAACAAAGGAAAAATAAAGAACTTAAAGCAGTGTTGGTATTGGCTGATTTTTTAGGACATCAAGTGATTTGTACCAGCTTGTTGTTCCCTTCCTACTCCACAGACTTCAACATGTTAAGTTTTTACTGTGAAATATAAGAAGCAGAAGCAATGATGCACAGAATGGTGAATGCATGGCTGGAATTGGAAGATTTTAAAAATTGTTTTTATTTTTTATTCGTTTATTTTTTGTCATGAATGCATCATAAGAATCTGGTGTGCTAGAATAATTCATTTGAGTACAAAAGTTTCAATTCAAGACACAAGTTAGCTTGTGTGGTGTTGAGAGATGTAGTTGGAGAAAATGAAGTTCAGACAAAGTCCAGCGGTCTACTTAGCAGGATCTGATGAACTGTTACAATTAGATGTGTTCAAAAAAAGTTAGTCACATCAGACAGCTTTTTTTAAAAAATTTACTTTAAGCTAGAGCTTAAACATTGATCTCTGTGATTGTTGGGTTACAAATTTGACCAGTTTCATTTTTGACACCACTCTGCAGCCCTCTACTGGCTAAAAACCACACTAGATAGTTTTGCAGAATGGATATCTGCTATCCACTTGTTAGCTCTAATGCTAGCAGTTAGCATTTTCAGTTTGCTGATTGTCAATTAAAAGTACAAGAAGAAGAAAAGGAAGAAGTTAGCATTTTCTGTTAGCATCGTGGTGCAGCCTGGAAGTAAAAGTAAGGCGAGGCCTACACAAGTTTGAGGAAGCTAAAGGAGGCTACAGAATCACAGACTGATAGTGACCTGACTTTGTTGCAACTGGACTTCTAAGTAATATTTTTTGTCCAACAGTGTGGATCTTTTTACTTCGTGATTTATTTTAGTATTAGTTGGCTCATGCTAGTATCAGCTTGTTTTTGGCACTAGCTACAGCAGGCTGCTGCAGGGTTGTTTACGACAGTTGTAATTCCACTTTCATCCAGTAGGACGAAGGAGCAGAAAACTGCTCACTGTTACTTTAAGGTATTTATTCTTGCCATATGCTCAGATCTGTTATCGTTAGAGCGGTGATGAAGCAGGAGCACTAACTTCATCCTGTTTTAGAGAAAATGTACTAAACAGAAGTTAGTTGCAGAAAATTCATCATTTTGAGGTTTTGAGGGCCTCCCCGTCACTGATTATAAATAGCTGGCTCACACAAACTGGGGATGCAGCAATTCCTTGCAGCTTTTTCCCGGGCATCTTTATGTGATCATCTTTTTCATCTGCATGGTTTCCTCTGAGGGCCACTAGAGGTCACAGCATGGGCCCCACAGTCTTTGTTTTGCTCCATAATGGCTCTATTCTCCCTCTGCAGCATTGACTCACAAGCCTGCCTGACACAGGACACCACTGTGATGAAGGGAGGTAACGCGAGTCATGGGAGTGTACTGCTGCACACCACTAATGCAGAATTTATAGATCATTAAAACTGTTCCTTATGAATTAGAATCAGCAGTCAAACATGTGACCATTCATGTCTATTAAAGCTGTTTTATTCTGTAGTTTGTGGTAAAGTGACCACATCCAGGTTCCACAAAGGCTTTTATTTTGAAAACAAATATGCTACCAAGTCCGCATTGCGTTTGTTGGTATTAATACATCTGACAGGTGAGTTTATTGCTGTGCAGGAAGCTGGTAGGTCGAAGTTTTTACATGCAAACCAACCAGGTGTTCCAACTAGGGTGAAATTTATCAAAGCCACTAATTGGCTCAAATTAGTCAAGTCTTCATTTAGACCACATTACAAATTCACTATTTATTTAGATTAATTGAATTCTTGTCTTTTTTCCTACGACTAAAATAGTGATAACGAAGAAAAACTGATCAGAGCCCCAACCAAACCACACCCTTCAGGGTCACATGGACTTTGATTACACCCCAACGGTCATATTTACATCTGCTAGACATTTACAGACACACCCAGCTGTCATCTGTGTTCTTGTTTGAGCTGTGTATGGATTTTTTTCCCCCTCCAGCTGTTCCATGTTTTCATGTTGGGACAGTTTGTACTGTCATTTCTCGTGCAATTACTCATCGCAGTTACTGTGTTTTATTTGCATTTCTGAAGCGAGTTATGAGCGTTTTATGTTCTGTTTGTCCTCCAGAGCAGAACGGAGACATTTCAGCTGTCTCCAGTAGAAAGTTTAAAGAAGACACGTGATTGAAGAAGAGACTAGAACTTTCCACTGGTCGTCTCATTGTTTCCAAGTAAAGTTCTCCCTGGACAGGACGCACAAATTATACAGTCCTGGAAGAAAATGTGAAACAGTTGTCACAGATGGGATTTAAAATCAAACTTCAGATTTAGGTCAAGACAACTTGAGTTAAGGAACGGGGAGATAAGATGAAGAGGGAAGCAGAGAGGTATTGGTCCTGAAAGAGCGGACTGACTGTTCCTGGCTGTTTGTGAAAACGTTGTAATCTGATCTCGGCTGTGGTGAGCTCATACAGGAGGCTTCCAGCAGCCTCAGACAGGAGTCCACCCATGTTCCTGTGGCCCTGCTGCAGCTTAAATATCATATAATCAGTCAGAGAGAGTGGACCCTGTATGTGCACACCCACACACTCAGTATTTAACTTTTTAGGAGCTGATTCTTTTAAATGGTGAGGAAGAATCTAGAATGAAACCTACCGATTGGCTCATAAACTGGACATTTTTGCAGATCTCACATTTGTCCATCAACACGTTCTCTTCTCCTCCAGCCACAGATGGACTTGAGATAAAATCAGCTGAAGCTCTACCTTCACCCTGACCTCCAGCTGGTCCCAGAGCCCCAAGCATTCACCCAGAATGACCGACCCCACCGAGCTGAGCTCTGAGGGAGAGGGGACTCGGGTGGACATCTGCAGTTTGGAAATAGAGAGACAGTATGACATCATCCCTACTGTCATCTGCTCCATGTGTTGCCTGTTTGGCATCATCTACTGCTTCTTTGGTGAGGACCCCTCTCAGCTTCACGTGCCTCTTGAGTTTAAAGTCGTATAACTCTGTTATCCTCCTCTGCCGCCCCCTTCAGGTTACCGCTGCTTCAAAGCTGTCATGTTCCTGTCCGGTCTCATGTTCGGATCGGTCATCATCTTCCTGCTGTGCCACAAGCAGCACGTCCTGGACACCCAGCTGAGTGTGGAGGCCAGCGCGGGGATCAGCCTCGGTATCGGCCTCATGTGCGGGCTGGTCACCATGCTGGTGAGGAGCGTGGGCCTCTTCATGACGGGCCTGTTGCTGGGACTCTTACTGGCTCTCGCCGGCCTGCTGATCACTCACCAGTTCTACACGCCAACCAGTCTCTGGGTTCCTTTAGGCTCTCTGCTGGGAACGGGCATGCTGTTTGCCGTGCTGACTCTGCAGTGGCAAAAGATGTTCACCATGCTGTCCACGGCTGTGTTTGGGGCGGCCATCATGACTGTGTGTGCTGATTACTTTGTGGAGATGCTGGCTCTGGCCTCGTACGTGTACGACTGCCTGCGCCTCTCACTCGGCCCGGTGCTCTGCTGGTACAGCTGGGTCATTCTGGGAATCTGGCCAGCTCTTAGCCTCATTGGAGTTGTGATCCAGTGGAAACTCACGGATGACAGCTTCTCACACACCGAGGGTAAGGATGTAACGGTTTTATTCTCAGGTATTTCAACAATGTCAGAATCACACTGGGCTGTGACTTAGTAGTTGGAGACGCATAAAAAGCAAGAACATATATGGAATTTCAGTTGGAATCACACTGGATTGGTACTTCTCACACTTTGGTGACAGGTTTTATATGCGGCTTGGTCCTGTGCATATGATGTTATTACAAAGAGCGCTATAGTGGGGGGCTGTGGGGTGGCAGAACACGGCAGGATTTGAAGTAGTTTTCTTGACATTTAGACAGCTCTCCTCTGATTGGCTAACAGCAACACAACCGTACCACTGACTTCGTTTGCTCTGTAACGTTCATGTTTTATCTCCACAAATAACACAAGCCTGGGCGAGTTCTGCTGTGTGGTGGTGTTGCTAATGCTAATGGTTAGCTTCTACTAGTCAAGACGTTCTCTACCGTTTCCTGGACACTAAACCAATAACAGACTTCCCCATTGTGAGTCAAGTTGGGTGAGTCCATGAAGTGACAGTGCGGTTACATGCACACTGATCGACATCCAAGTCAATCCAGGTCAATCTTGTTGTAATAAGCTGGGAGTCTTTATCCTAGTTTACATGCGCATTAGAAAACCGGCCTCTCAAATAAAGTTTGTTCCGCTCCGGTACAGTAGGTGGCACCATGCCCCTTTTCATGTCGGCCTTCTTCCGGCTAGCTTATAGCGACACAAGCGGTAAACAGCGGCTGGCGGGAGTGAAGCAGACGGAATTGAAACAGGATATGCACAACAACGCTGCAGCACAGCTTATTTGGTACGTACTCTACTGCAGTGTTTGCCCTAGAAATTTTTCCAGCCGGGGACCGTTCTGCTGCCGTGCGTTGACGGGGTAGTGGGAGGTGTTGAGCGGAGCAGACCATTACGCTGCTGTGCATCTCCCGTTGGGGGTGGAACCACATAGCCGTGGCGCAACACCACGCCTGAGCTTACGTAGGGGAAGCACTGTCCTGTTTTATGATGTTAGGTGTGTTGCTTAGTGACGATGGTCTCGTCAGGCTTTTCAAATCCTAGAGCTATTTTCTATCAGAAGCTAATGCAGGAGATAGGTGTAGGAGACTATTTTCATGTTCAGTCTGCATGAAAAACTCAGAGTGACCAATTATAATAAGAAATAATTAAAGAATGGTTTTTCAATGTTCAATTCAATTCAAGTTTATTTATATAGCACCAAATCTCAACAAGAGTCATCTCAAGGTACTTCACATAATAAACATTCCAGTCCAGGTCAGTTCATTAAGCCAATCAGTAAAAAGTTTCCTATATAAGGAACCCAGCAAATTGCATTGAGTCACTGACTAGTGTCAGAGACTACAGCAATCCTCATACTAAGCAAGCATGCAGCGACAGTGGAGAGGAAAACTCCCTTTTAACAGGAAGAAACCTCTAAAGGATCCTGGATCAGTATAAGCAGCCATCCACCATGACTCACTGGGGATCAAGAAGACAGAGCAGACACATGCACACACACACACACACACACACAACATATATACCAAGTAGGGCTGCACAATATATCGAAAAATTATCGTCATCGCGATAATAGGACGTGCGATAGGCCCATCGCAAAGCACGTCAAAAACGGCGATAAATTTTTGGTTCAAACATTTCCATCCGTGTCATACATCAGCTTTTTGTAAACCAGCTCTATTTTTTACGCGGAAGTATTATTTGACCAATCAAATGTAGCCCTTCTGATATGCGGCCAATCAGATGGGTCCATTCACGTAATACGCCCGCCCCCTACGTAGACCCTTACCCCAAAATTCCACTATCTCCGCTCCTCCCCCGCTTTCGGCTGCCGCTCACTTCCCTTGTTCGTCATGCTGGCTCAGATTAACGAACGCACTTTGTGCTGAGGTTTCTGGAATCAGCGCTGCTTTCAAACGTCAACTGAGTCCGCTCGGTGTCGTTAAGCAGCTGATAGTAACCGGGCTGACTCCGACACGTGCCGGTGAACCAACCCACCTACCTCCATGTAGCCCCAGGCTCCGGTTAGCTTCCAGCTAAAAGGCTACAGCACTCTCCTCCCAGTCCCACTCTGCTAAAGAGGGCCTGGAAAAGTTCCCCCACACATCAAAGTGATTTTTCATTTATGAGCTTTTATAACCTTGTTAATCAGGATAGTTGATTTGCTGCTGCACATAAACTGTCAGTCAGAAGCTCTGCTAGCCGGTTATCTTAAGAGGAGCTAGTTCAATTTGTTAGCTTGTTATCACAATCATAGTTGCAGTTTCATCATCTGAGCTGCTTTTTAAGATCTAGGTACACTTGTTCAATTTGGGGTTAAAAACAAACGTTTTCACATATTTTCCATGTAGTTTTTTTGCCAGTTCCTCTTCTGAAAGCATGGTAGACAATTGTTTTTCTCTTTCCCTCAGAAAATCTTAATATTCTCCTAGTTTGGCCCAGCACAGTTCACTTCCCAATTACAGCAACAGCCTTATAAAAATGTTATGTTGTAATGGAATTCATGCACTAGTTTTTGTTTGCTTTTAACCCAGAGCAGACATCACACGCCAAACGACATCAACACTGCATACTTTAGTATTCGTTCATTTATCGTGAGTAATATTGATATCGCAATATTAAGCACTGTTATCGAATATCGCAGGTTTTCCTAATATCGTGCAGCCCTAATACCAAGTAGTGTTTCTATGGTTACATTGTGATTTCTTAATAAATATTCTATTTGGTGAGAGAGAAACTTTATTGTAATTATTCTAGTGAATCTATAATTAAACAGGTAAACTAGTAGTAGCACATTCAATGTCAAAGAAAGTAAAATGTTATTATCAGGAGAGGAAGAATGTTTAAATGGTTAGCAACAGTGTTCAAGCTGATGGCCCCCTCCATGAGGCTACCACAGCTCAGCAGAACATCATTGTAGCTTCTTCTGGGGAGAAAAACAGAGAAAAAATAAAATTAACAGCTGAAATAACAGGAAATAATACAGTTAAAGAGCAAATTGTAGAAGAAAGTAGTTGAGTGTGTAAAGTGTTCAGTATGTCCTCCAGCAGTCTAAGTCTATAGCAGCATAACTACAGAGATAACTCTGGATAACCTTGCCTTTTAGATAGAGGCATGTTGGAGGCATGGCAAGGGAGAGCCGTCTTTACCGACTGTACACTCCACCTCCCTCTGCTCCCCCACTCATTAAGATCTGGGCTAACATCAGATTTTAACCATAGGCCCTATCAAATAAAAATGTTTTAAGCCTAATCTTAAAAGTAGACAAGGTGTCTGCCTCACAGACTACAGCTGGGAGTTGGTTCCTGTTCTACAATAAAATGTTTTATTTTATTTTAATTACCTTAAAAGACTCAAAGTCTCTTTTTACACTTTATATTTATTTAATCAGGATCGTTGTCAAGTCGACGCCAGAAACAATGAAACACAACTTGAATATCAGATGAACAACAAGGCTTTATTCAACCGGCATTTATACAAGTTATCAATCATGAACAAAACATTTCTCTTACCGTTGCTTATGGGTGGAGAGCTGAACACCCCAGTTAGAAAACGTAATCCATGATAGGTGAAGAACTGAACACATGTAATCCATGAACCTCGTCAGGTAGAATCCTTCAAGCAGCTCTAACAACCTGAGCTCTGCTCTGCTCCTTATACATCCACTGATGTGCGTGCAAAGCTGCACACCTCCACCATGATTACCCTTGATTACATCCTCATGATAGGTGTGATTGACAAACAGTAGTGATCAATAACTTATATAAAGCAATTATACAACAGATGACAAGTTCATTTTTATTACAGTTCCATAAGAGAGGAGCCTGATAGCTAAAAGATCTGCCTCCCATCCTATTTTTAGATATTCTGGGAAACACCAGTAGACCTGCAGTCTGAGAGCAAAGGGCTCGGTTAGGAACATATGGAACAATCAGATCACTGATGTATGATGGAGCTTGATTATTAAGAGATTTATACGTGAGAAGGAGGATCTTAAAAGTGTTCCACACTTTTAAAGTTTAAGTCACCAAGCCTGTGATTGAAGGTGTTATTCATCCACATTGTGCAATCAGAGGATCCATTTATTCCTCCCAAACAGGGAATATGTGGAATAATTCAAGCAGCTGATCTGATTTAACACAAACCTGTAAAATAAGCTGCGCACATCTGTGTATGTGTATGTATATATATATATGTGTGTGTGTGTATATACATACATACATATATGTGTGTGTGTGTGTGTATATATACTGTAAACACATTTGGCAAATAATGACCAAAATGCAGCACAGCTGATTGGATCATTCATCACAGACCAGATGGACATCGCCCAAAACTTCAACTGTTACATTTGGGTAATCAAACCGAGCGTTTTGCTTTAGGACATAAACGTTCGAAAACTCAGACACGCCTTTATCACACTTTTATGGCCGATTAGAATGTTCTCACAGCTCCAGCAGCAGCAGAAGGTAACTTCAGGACATTACCTGGAACAAGCTTGAGTAATGATCTGATTTAAAGGATCTGGAGGTGATTTAATTATTGGATGAAGCGCAAAGATTGCTGTGACATAATCAGTGACAGATCATTAATCAGACTATCATCTGCATCACTGGAAAAGGGATATAAATCATAACACCATAAAAGTTATTAGGAATAAAATCACCATTTTAAAGGTGTGACATGTGACACAAGACCAGTGGAGCTTTAGCTTTGTTGCTGGAAGTGAAACTAAAAAGAATAGCCCTTTGTACAAGACACACCATGCCGGCAAATCGGCGTAATATTACCGCAATGGTATGTCCAGTGTTTCCCTTACATAGACGTAGCCGTGGCGGCCCGCCGCGGCTGAAATCCCAGCGCCACGCCTACAAGATCCCAAGTTTTATTGATTTTTTTTTTTTTTTTTTTTTGTTGCCGTTTCCCGAAGAAGCAGCGGGAACTACTCTGTTGCTTGTGATCACAGCCGGCAGGCAACAAGGAGGAGGAGGCAGGG